GAGGGGGGTTGTTACTGTTGGTCTGTCACAAACCTGCAGACGTACCACGGAAAAGGAAAATAAAAACATTTCATTTTGTTTGAATTTGGTGTCCATGGCAAACTACAAATCCTTGGGGTGGGGGTGTGTTGTTCAACAACATGAGGAGAATCTGAATTGCAATTCTCAGCTTCTCCAAAACTGATCTTCTTTCACCGGGGCTGTGGCTGGGAGTCAGCTGCATTAAGATCACTACTGACCAAAAGGTCATGAGTTCGAAGCCAGCCCTGGTTGGAGTGAGCTTCCAACCAATTACTGTCGACCTTTGCAGCCCGAAAGACAGTTGCATCTGTCAAGTAGGAAATTTAGGTACCACTTATATGGAGAGGCTAATTTAATTAATTTACGGGACCATAAAAATATCCAGCAAGCATGCAAAGAATGAGGAAGTACTTCATCAGTGTCACAAATGAACTAAATTGATACAGCTTTTAAAAATAATAATAATAATTTCTCTAAAAACAGCCTAACCTTTGCATCTCCGTATACGAACCCACACGATCTCTTTGATCATCTGGAGAGGACCTGCTCACGATCCCACCTGCGTCGCAAGCTCGATTGGTGGGGACGAGGGACAGGGCCTTCTCTGTGATGGCCCCCCGACTCTGGAACTCTCTCCCCAAGGACATCAGACAAGCCCCAACATTGGCAGTCTTTAGGAAGAGCTTGGAGACGTGGTTGTTCCAGTGTGCCTTCCCAGAATAGAAAACTCCAAGCATCATGTCCCAAATGCACTTTACTAGAGATTTAAGATGGTCTGTACACCACACCTATCTCCAAAAACCTATCAATTTCACCTGTCATGCCCAGCATTTTTAAATTTTTTAATCATTAACTTTGGCCCCGCCTTAGTTTTAAATGCGTCGTGGTGTTATTGTCTAATGTTTATTGCTATTGTTTTAATGTCTATTGCTTTGTTCTATGAGTTTATTTATTGTTGTATTTGTTATGCTGTTGTTTTATTGATGTGTTGGGCCTCGGCCTTTTGTAAGCCGCACCGAGTCCTTCGAGAGATGTTAGCGGGGTATAAATAAAGGATTATTATTATTATTATTATTATTATTATTATTTAATTTCCATCAGTAGAAATTACCAATTTCATTGTTGTGTGACACACTGAGCAGATTAGAAGTAATGCAAACTATGTTTATGCACAGAAGTATTTAACAAGGAAGTAAAACAATAGAATGAATGCAAAACGCGTTGGTTTATTGAAGTATTCTTGCTAGTGGTGGTGAATTCTTCAACCATCATTTATTTTTTTTAATTGAACTCTTCTCTTAAAAAAAACCAGAATAAATATTTACTTGCTGGTCTTCATTCTTTTTTAATGGAATGATTCTGGAGGTTGCTACCATACTGTTCTTTCCTTTGAACAGACTGTCAGGCTGATTTCAAACGACCTGAAGAATTATTTATTTTACCGGCCATAAAATTCGAGATGTGCTCAGCCCCTTTTTCCAGAGCAAAAGCATTCACCAAATCATTATATGTGCACTCAGAAGCTCTGCCTTTTTCCTCGACCTGAATATTGGCTGTGGCATTTGTAAGCTGCAGACTCAGAAACCATTGCTTGTTACAACCTAGATTTCAGTGACCTCATTAAATCAATTTGTTTGACTGCCAGCACAGGAAAGCCAGGGATCTTTTTATTATGTTTCTTCCCCAAACTGATATGGGGTTTTCCCCTCTCTTTTTCTCTTTCACTGGAGTTCTTCATTTCTCAGTCTCTGTCTGCATTAATAAAGGAGGCTAATGGTCTCTGTGTTGGTGGGTTTTAATGGATGTGCATACTTATGCATCATTTTGTAAAGTATGGTTAACAACAAAAATAAGTTTTTTGGAAGTTTTTATCATTGTTTGAAAGCAAGTCTAATAATTGAAGTATTCAATAAATTGGAATTTACTTTCTAATGGAGACTTTGAACTTTATAAATTCAGAATAATAACTGAATTAACAGTCTGGTTTAAATATGATGTTGCATTTATAATAAAGACTTTACAACTAAGTTTAAACCAGTTCCCTCAAACACAATAATAGTTGACACCACATCATTGATATACTGTATTAATTCTGGTTATGCTTCTAGTTTAAACAAAATGTTGGGTCTTGCAATATCAAAAACATTATTTTTCTGTTTGCTTTTCATCAATTGCTGTAGCATTGTCCTTTGGGCAGTTGACAGAGTTTCGTATTTTCTTCACACATCATTAGATGCCAAAGCTCTTGCAGAACAATTTTGATACTATAAGAATTCTGGGACCAGGCTTTTGGACAACAGACATAGATAGCACTTTGGACATGGAATTGGATATGGAATTGACTGGAATGATGATATAGCTATTAATACCATTTTTTACTGTTTTAATAAATGTTTTACTTATTGTTTTATTTGTTATTATATTGCTCTGTTATATGTAGTGGCATTGAATTGCTGCCAAATGTAGGCCATCCTGAGTCTCCCTTCGGGGGTTGAGAAGGAACGGGATAGAAATAAATAAATAAATAAAAAATTTCTAGGACTGATATAGCTCTAAGATCCACCACTTAGCTGAAGCCATAACAAATATAGAAGAAAAAAAGTATCATGAAGAACTTTTGAAAAATGTATATAAATTTATTTGAAAACATTATTGATGCATGAACAAACCTCAGGTATATGACCTAGGATTTCTGGAAGATTGTATTGTCAGAACACAGACACCTTAAAGGGCCAGACTCAGATTTAGTTCCAAAATAGTTTATTAAACAAAGAAAAAAGGACTCAGACACTTAACTCAGTGTCTCTGGTCAAAACACAGGCAAAACCAGTTCTGGTGCAAAAAGGAAACTGAAGCAATAATCCGGATTATCCAGAGAAAAGAACCGGATTATAACAAAACGCTCTGAAAGTCACACAAAATAACACAGTGGGCGACCGGTTAACAAACAAAGAAGCCGCAGCGAAGAAAGCGTAGTCAAATGAAGTCCGAGGTCAAAGCAAGCCAAATTCCAAGATAGCGAAGTTCCAAAGTCCACCTAGGCAGCGACAAAGTCAAACCGGTCCGAAGTCAGAGAAGGGGAAATTCACACTCACGAGAATCCAAGCCGAGTCGAAGCACACACGAACAGAAGTAATAATCTGTAGATCCAGGACCCAATGCCAACACGAAACAGGCAGTGACAATTACCCAATGCATGGACATAAACCAACACCTTGCCTTCTGCAAAGATTCCCCATTTCAGAGCCTACTTTTATGTTACACATCATCATCAGAAGATGAGCTGACCTCCCCGTCATTATCTCTTGCAGCTGTTCTTGATTCCACATGTGAACTCCTACTCCCATCCCTCCAACTTCTCCATCTTCTGTCAAGACTTAGATCCCCCAAGTCTCAGATGTATCTCCCGGTTGCCAATCCTCATTACCCATAAATGTGTCACTAGACATCGGCTCAGCACATACATCTTGTACCTCTTTTACCTTAGTCCAGTCCAATGTGTCATCCCCATCCTCATCACTCCCAGACCCATCACTCCCAGAGAAACCCACAAATGATTCTTCATCTGTGGGAGCAGTAAGTATATCCCGGATCCTCTTCCTCTGTCGCTCCTCATCCGACTCTTGCTCCTGAGTAACCCTCTTTGTTCCCCTATTGCCATCCATTGTATCTCCTTCCTCTCCCTCACTCATTGACCCCTTGTCTCAAGAGAACCCTTCGAATGAGTCTTCATCGGTAGGTGCCATAAGTATATCCCAGATCCTTTTCCTTTGCTCTTCCTCATCTGACTCCTGCTCACAAGTACCCCTTTTCCCCCTTCTGGCATCCATACTACTGCTTGCAACGTTATTTACAGGCTCTACTACAACATGTATACTATTCTTGTAATGTGAAGTAATCATGATAAGAGATAGGAGTACAATTTTTCACATTCTTTTTCAATGAGTCAATATCCATCCAAAAAATAGCTTAATGATACCAATCTTTTTGCAGGAAGTATTGTGTGTATATGTGGTATGTATACTCACATACATTTACTGTATTTCCTGGCCACGAAGAGAATTTTAATTCTCACCCAAAGTGAGAATAGCATAAATACTGAAAACTAAAATGTGTCAGTTTTGTTTCTCTGCACCATACTTTGCTGAAAGTTGCAGGGAATATTTCTTGTCCCATCTGTTTTGTGTTTTTAAAAACACCATCTGACAATGCTGTAGAATGCCAACATTATAGGTCTGATTTTTTTTGTAAAGTATATAACTCAAGGGACTCTGGGCCACTAAAATATTCCCGTATAGTTCATGAGCTTGAACGTAGATTGGCTTTATTGTACTTTGTAGTGTGTGTGTGTTTGTATCAGGTCTACGGTTAACTCCTTGGGTTGTTTTTTTTTTTTAACCTTTCTAGCTATTTAGCCATAAGACTGTACATTGTGTTCTTGACAAATGCAAGCCACAGTTTTTTTCTCTTTCAAACAACACTCAAATTGCAGTTTTCTGAAAAGGAGAATAGGAATTTACTAATGGCTTTGTTTGAGGGGAAAATAAATAAGTCTGCATCTCCAATACCCAGTGTATTTTGAAACCACACCTTGTGTTAGAATTGCATCTCAAAATACTTTCTGTATGTTGTGTGCATTTAAATCACTTCTAACTTATGGCAACTCCAAGACGAACCTATCGGAGACCCACTGGGTTTCCATAGCCAAGTGAGGATTTGAACTCTGGTTCCCTGAAATCTTGGCACTGAAACCACTATGCCATGTTGGCTCTCGACATACTCACTTATAATAGCTGTTAAAACTCAGCAACATCAGAGGGATTTATTTGATTTTGAAATTAAAGATGAACAATTGTAGAAATGGGAGGTGAGAAGCACCCTGTCTGGGCTAGTTTTGTTTTAATTGTTGTTCACTTTTTCTGAAAATTTTCAATTTCTCTGTTCAATACCTAATGTTTTCTCATTTCTATGACTTACAGGGAAGTGGTGCAAGCAAACTGTGTTCATTGGAAGAAGAGGTTCTTATTTATGTGTAAAATGAGTGCAAGTACCACTACAGGGATTTTGGATCCCTGCACCTGCAGAGTGTCTGTGCGAAAGGTAAAAATGGAAACTCTTTTCTATTTGCATTGTATTTTTGCTGTGGCAGAGTGCCCTTACAGAGCTGCCAGCATATACCGTTCATTGACTGTATATGCAAATTCTGACTTGAATATGTTTAAGTATACATTTCTACTTGTCTTGCATATTTGTGTATGATTCCATGTTAATTTTTGCACTTCACATTGAGTACTGTATAACTAGCCGTCTACAGTGCTCTCTGGATGCAGGTGAACTACAACTCCCAAACTCAAGGTCAATGCACATCAAACCCTTCTAGTGTTTTCTGTTGGTCATGGGAGTCCTGTGTGCCAAGTTTGGTTCAATTCCATCATTGGTGGAGTTTAGAATGCTCTTTGATAGTAGGTGAACTATAAATCCCAGCAACTACAACTCCCAAATGACAAAAATCCATTTTTTTGAGTGATGGTTGCTCCTTGAGTTAGTAGGTGTCTTGTGGCCAAATTTGGCGGCAATTCGTCCATTGGTTTTTGAGTTATGTTAATCCCACAAACGAACATTACATTTTTATTTATATAGACTAGCTGTACACGTTGCTATGGACAACCTTCCCTCCCTCTTTCTCTTCTTCTTTCTTTCTTTCTCTCATTCCTTCCCTCCCTCCCTCCCTCTTTCCTTCCTTTCCTTTTTTTCTTTCCATCTCTTCTTCCTTCCTTCCTTCTTTCTCTACCTCTTTCTTCACTTCCCTCCCCTCCCTTTTCCTTTCTCTTTCTTCCTTCTCTACCTGTTCTTGGACTGTAACTCCCAGCAGCCCTCCTGATTGTTCTATTTACCTACTATCTATATCTAATCTATATATCTTATCTATCTGGAGGATTGCTGGGACTTGCAGTCCAGGAATAGGAAATACATATGGATTTGGATGTGCCCACAGAAATCCAAAGAGAAGCAAGATTGTGGCTTGAAAGCAGTGCATTTGGAACATCCTCCTCCCCTAAAGGGCCTGGTCTAAGGGATGCTGGGAGCTGTCATTTTTGCACATGCACTGTATCGTCATTTAGCTTTTTTGGGTTTTTAAGTCCCTTCCGCTATTTTTTGGGAGGGGTTTATGAGTGATGGTCACTCGTTGGTCTGTTAGGGGTGTAATGTCCAAATTTCATGTCAATTTGTCCAGTGGTTTTTGAGTTATGTTAATCCCACAAACGAACATTGCATTTTTATTTATATAGATGTTAAAAGGTTTTTCACAAACTGAAGCTTTTAAAAAGATGCTCTGTTGGGTAGCTTTATTTATTTATTTATTTATTTATTTTGTGCCAAAGCATTGCATAAATAACTACAAATCTGATAAAATAAAGGAAGCACAAGCATCTAAATAATTTTAGACCAAAAATGGGCAACAGCGGCCACAGTGTCTGTAGCTTTAAACAGTTCTTCCTCTGTGCATGAGGCATAGTATTGTGGGCAACCATACAGATGCTGAGTCCTGCTCCACAGTCACACAAGGTGGAGGATTCTTCTAGGCAGTGCCATTTTGCCATGTTGTCTTTTGATCTGCCCACTCGGCTTCTGAATCTGTTCAGGGACTTCCAAGTTGCCTATTCTTGGTTTGCCCCTGGAGGAAGACCCTCTTGTTAGGAAGCCACCAATGCATTACTTCAAATATTTGTCATGAAAACCAGACCACATAAACCATAATGCTACCGAAAGATCCACTAGCATGGATGTATCTTCAGTTGTGAAGAAGAATGAAAAGAAAGTAAGAAAAAAATAGAATATACATATGGTTGTTTTGTTTTTTTGCACCATGGTTTGCCAAAAGTGGCATAGGACATTTTAGGTCTCGGCTATTTTGTGTTTGTTGTTTAAAAACCTAAGTAGCAAGCAAATATTAATGAGAGTTACTAACAGCATGAAGATTACTATAGTTATATATCTTTATGAATTGATCTTTCATTATATAAGAAATATTAAAACAACATTCATAATCCATTCTGTCCCTCTTCAAAACCGGATCCTTTGGATTGCAAGACATTCAGGAATAAAATTGAGTGTCTTCTGGAGCTTCAACTTCTGGAGGAAATTGAGGAAATACCTAATCTTTTGTGGTGTGAGTTGAGTGCCCTTTGAAAGCATTAGTAATATCAGAGCATCTCAACAGTTATATTTTATTTCAGGAATTTTATTTCTGCTAAGCCAATAAAACTCCTCACTATACAGAAAATACTGTTCGGTTACATACTTGCATGTGCAGTGTTAGTATCTTGGATGTATAATAACAAATCCTAGCAAAATTCTTTTCATTTTCAAATAAGCAATGATTAAACTATGATTTTGTTTTGTTGTTGTTTTTTCCAGGAATTAAAAGGTGGGAAGGCCTTTGCAAAGGTAAAAGGATTTAAAAATGTACATGAAATGGTTTGCTGCTTTTTCTTTATACATATTTCCAGAAAGGATAATAATAATAATAATAATAATAATAATAATAATAATAATAATAATCTTTATTTATATACCGCTCTATCTCCCCAAAGGGACTCAGAGCGGTTCCCAGGTGAAAAACACAGAACATACAAAGTAAAAACAACATAACTATAAGATTAACAAAACAAAATATACATAAAAATTGTCGCCATAACACACATATATTAAAAAGTTGACAAAATCACGACCTGTCAACTGCAAAAGGCCACCTTACTTGGATCTGCACGCATCATTCGAAAATACATCACACAGTCCTAGACGCTTGGGAAGTGTTCGACTTGTGATTTTATGATACAAAATTCAGCATATAGATCTCATTTGCTGTGACATACTGTGTTTTTGTGTTAGTAAAATAATAATAATAATAATAATAATAACAATCATCATCACCATCATCTTTATTTATATCCCACCCCATCTCCCTGAAAGGACTTGGGGCGGCTTACAGCTTCAATAAATACAATAAATAATATATTGTCGAAGGCTTTCATGGCTGGAATCACTAGGTTCTTGTGGGTTTTTTCAGGCTATAGAGCCATGTTCTAGAGGCATTTCTCCTGACGTTTCGCCTGCATCTATGGCAAGCATCCTCAGAGGTAGTGAGGTCTGTTGGAATTAGGACAAGGCAGGCCTTCAAATGCTAATGAAGGTGATCAGCTGAAACATTCACACCTAACTGCAGCAGGGAAGAGCTCCTTGCCCCACCCCAGCCATTCCACAGATATATAAACCCATTGTCCTAATTCCAACAGACCTCACTACCTCTGAGGATGCTTGCCATAGATGCAGGCGAAACGTCAGGAGAAATGCCTCTAGAACATGGCTCTATAGCCCGAAAAACCCACAAGAACAATAAATAATATATACAGTATAATGGATATTGATGTTAAAAATAATTTTAGGACTAATTGTGTACCACCAAAAATGCATGTGTTGTTTTAGTGTGATAGGCTCCCTAATGACAATTAGACTTGTTTCCTTCTTTACCTAAAAATAGTATTTTTTATTGTCTCTAGCTGGGTTTTGCAGACCTCAATCTGGCAGAGTTTGCTGGATCAGGAAATACCACTCGTCGCTGTTTACTGGAAGGTTATGATACCAAAAACACAAGGCAGGACAATTCAATTCTCAAGGTAATTGTTTAATTTTTTTTCCCAGATTTTAAAGAAACACAGTATTTTTGCTAAATACAGACTGTGGAAACAAGCACCTGCCCTTTCCACTCTGAATATTGACATAAAGCTAATGAAAACGCTAGAAATTTTGGTATCCAAAATGTGGAAGTAAAAATCCAGCTGTCCAAATAAAGTGCAGTGAAAATCCAGCAGAGAATGGAAAATTCCTGATTTATTGTAACTACAGCTGAACAGGCAGGATAAGGATGAACTGATTAGAAGAGGCAATTTTCAAGGATTTTTTAAATTTGCTTGTTAATGGAAATCTACCAGTTTTGATAGGTCATGACTTGTGAAAAATATGAAAATTGCTTTCCACTTACTCACTGCTGAACTCTGCCAAAGGAATTTGTACTAAGATTTGTTGTGGGAGGATAATATTTGCTGATTCTAATCCTTTTCCATCTGAAATGGCATCTGTAATTTTACCTTTATGAATGTAATGCTTGCTATAATCATGCACATTTCTGAGACACAAAATAAGGAGGGATGCCATATTCTTGCAAGTTGACATTGGCTGTGATTCAACTATGTACTTCTTTGGGTGGAATTGGAGTTTAGATCCCAGTTCTGGTGGCACAAGTAGTCAATTCCAACAGAAGTACACTCATGGATCCTAACTATTTCCATAAGCCAAAACATTTCAGTGATAATTATCTTATTCATCCATAGCAACCCTGTATGTAGTAGGCCAGAAATATGGGGTTTATCTCTTTATACTTCTGGTTTAATACTGATTTATTTTCATTTTTTTCTTCCTTATATACAGGTTTTGATTAGTATGCAACTAATGTCTGGGGATCCATGTTTTAAAGCGTAAGTTTATCATATATGAAACAACATTTTATTTCAATGTTCTTAATTAAATGATTGAGTTTTTCAATACATTTTAAACATTTGTACTCTGAAAAAAATACTTTTATAAAGTGGTGAGTGTCATTAGCTCAACCCTCCTGTTTAAGGAGCTCCACTGGCTGCCGTTCATTTTCCAGTCCCAATTCAAGGTGCAGGTTCTTACCTACAAAGCCCTGAACGGTTTGGGACCCGCCTACCTGCGTGACCATATTTCTGTGTACGAACACACACGATCTCTTCGATCATCTGGAGAGGCCCTGCTCACGCTCCCACCTCCTTCTCAGCCGCGATTGGTGGGGATGAGGGAGAGGGCCTTCTCGGTGGTGGCCCCCGACTCTGGAACTCACTTCCCAGGGACATCAGACATGCCCCAACTCTGGCAGTCTTTAAGAGGAGCCTGAAAACATGGTTGTTCCAGTGTGCTTTCCCAGAATGAGGAAAACTCTCAGCAATATGTCCTCAAAATGCACTTTACCATTGAGTTAGGAATAGTGTGTGCATTTGTACAAGTCCAATTAAAACAAAAGTGTATTGGGTTGCTGTGAGTTTTCTAGGCTGTATGGCCATGTTTTGTTTATTGATGTATTCTGGGCTTGGCCTCATGTAAGCCGCACCGAGTCCCTTGGGGAGATGGTAGCGGGGTACAAATAAAGATAATAATATAATAATAATTATTATTATTATTATTATTATTATTATTATTATTAGATACACAGACGAAGAAGTTGCAAACTAGGAATATGCCAACTGCAGGACAGATGAGGGCCAATTTCAATTCCTCCAATGAGTTGTACCAGAGTAACAAAAAACCCAACCCCCTAGAAACCAGATTTAGTCAATTTTCATGGTTTCCTCCTTTCTATTGAAATTGTCCACATGCTTGTGGATTTCAGTGGCTTCTCTGTGTAGTCTTGATATGGTGGTTGTTAAAGTTCACACTTGCCTCAAACAAACAAGAGTTCTTTCTCCCACTCTGGATATTCCACAGAAATATAAACCTCATTTGCCAGGTACCCACAGACCTCACAACCTCTGAGGATGCCTGCCATAGATGTGGGCGAAACATCAGGAGAGAATGCTTCTGGAACTTGGCTATACAGCCTGGAAAACTCACAGCAACCCAAATAGACTTTTGTTTTAAATTTTGTTTTAATTGGACTTGTACAAATGCACACACACCATTTGTTGACAATCTGCTCAGTGTACAAATGTGAGATGCTCCATCCTAGTGCTATGTGAGGTGTACTTTAAGGGTGTGCCGTATACAGTATGGGATGTTTGCAAAGAAAGTTGTATATGTCCAAGGCAGTGAAATATGTGAATAACCGGGACAAATATGTTAACACACACTGTTGCAAGATTTTAATGTGACCAGCTGACCTCCAAGTAGCCTTTCTTTTGGCTGGAAAAAGCAATCATTAACACAACTTGAAATGAAGGATTGTACAGCTGCAGTGTTTGGTGTGCCAACCTAGGTTTCAGATTTCAGGTGTCCTCATTGAAATGGGAGAAACTGGTTTTAATCAGTTTGCAAAATGCCTTTTTGAATAGAAAAATTAACATCAAAACAAGCACCATCTGGATCTCCTAAAAATGTTCAGGAAGCAGGCTTTTTGCGTTTGGAACTGTGACAAACTGATGACTCACTTCAAAGTGCCTCACTGAACTGGAACTATCACATTTTCCTTCTAGCATTGATGTTTACTTTACTGTAATGGACATGGACCCACGTACACACACTCACACATGACCAAACCCCTGTCTCATAGAACTCAGTGGAAGAAATAGGCTGAAATTGAAACAAGAAGTCATGTGTCCTTACTTTCTGCTTCTATCTCAGCTGGATTTTTGAGCTTCAGGGGATTTTCTAGTTATAGGAAGAGCTTGAAGAGGTTGGAAGAACAATTTTAAGTGGTTTTGAGCTGTTTAGACGCTGGGATTTAAATATTATCCAGAAAAACAAGTTTACCAGTATTAAACAACTCTAAAATCAGGGCAGCAAATAAAGAGCAACTTTCAAAACACAGGGGAATTCCAGTCAAGAAACAATCAGGACTAGCTAACACCTCCCAACAAAGGATTTCTCCCAGGCAGGAAGCAGCCAGGCTTTGAATCTCCAAGGCCATTCAGTGCTAATCAAGCTCGCCAATTGCAACATTCACACTTGCCTCAAACAGACAATACTTCTTTCTCCCACCCTGGATATACTACAGATATATAAACCCCATTTGCCTAGTTTCCAACAGACCTCACAACCTCTGAGGATGCCTGCCATAGATGTGGATGAAATGTCAGGAGAGAATGCTTCTGGAACATAGCCATACAGCCTGGAAAACTCACAGCAACCCAGTAATTCCGGCCATGAAAACCTTCAACAACGAAAGTGTATTTTCTGCTTTCCTTTTAATGGTTTATATTTCTAATAGGTTTTAATTTTTTATAGTTATATTTTAAACTTTTGTATGTGGTGAATTTTAGCTATGTCTGCGTTAACAAAAAAAGGCATAGAAATGCATATAGTAATGGTAATTACTATGAAAGGTATAGCATCAATCTCAGTCTCTCTTGGATTGCAGACCTCCATCAACAGGAATGTCTATATCTATTGCTGGAGAACCAGAATCTCTGCAAGAAGACAGAAAAGGCGTAAAAAACACAACATCATCACATCTAGCTATATCAGGTAGGGAACTATGCTGTGATAAGGACTTTGGTGAGAAAAATGTTCAAGAAACAGGAGGTGTGAATGGATGTGAATGTCACTTATGCAAGTTTCTCTTGATATTAGTCTATAAGTCAAGAAACAAAAACTGCACTTGCCATATTTCTTCTTATACTTGATTTCAGAGTCTCTTTAGAAAAACCTAGAGCTATGATTTTTATATCTGGAAAGTTCGTTGCATTATTTCTGCATGTCTCAATTCAGTCTCATGGCAGAATTCACTCTCATCTGTGGAGTGCTATCTGCATTATTTAATTTGCTTATTCTGAGTATGTCAATTAGTTCTTGGTGCTGTGGCTTTATAAAAAAAACCCACAAAACTAGATGCCCAGTCTTATTGGCTGAAAAATGGTTAAGCAACATCAGGAGCCTGCATTGCACCAATAAGAAGGGATATAGTTAAGTGAAGGACCTAAAGTACCGTCAACAGAAATTCTCTCTCCCCACCTTTCTTCTGCCTTTAAAGCCTAGCTGTTGCTTATTTATAAGACTGTATCAGGAGAACAAAGAATTGAACATATCTCTTACCCAAATATTTATATTTTCTCTCCATGTTACTTACTCATGTGCCATTAAAAACTGGTGTGTTTAATCAGTTTTAATGTATTTGTTGATTGTTTATGATGGTGATGGCATCGTACGGTGCTTGTTGTGAGGCCGCTCTGAGTCCCCCCTCAGGGATGAGAAGGGTGGGGTATAAATATCTATATAAATAAAAATGTAATGTTTGTTCGTGGGATTAACCTAACTCAAAAAACACTGGGCGAATTGACACCAAATTTGGACACAATACACTTATCAGGCCAACGAGTGACCATCACTCATAAAACAGTGAAAAACACAGCAAAAGACTTAAAAAGCCAAAAAATAAAGAAACACATTACAACGCATGCACAAAACCACATATATACACACACTAAACACATATACATAGACTCGGCCACAGCAATGTGTGGCAGGGGACGGCTACTATCTATATAAATAAAAATGTAATATTCATTTGTGGGGTTAACATAACTCAAAAACCACTGGGCGAATTGACACCAAATTTGGACACAATACACTTATCAGGCCAACGAGGGACCATCACTCATAAAAACACTGAAAAACACAGCGGAAGAGACTTAAAAAGCCAAAAAATAATAAATGATATTACAATGCATGTGTAAAACCACACATATACACACACATATACACACACAAAAGACATATTTATAGACTGGGCCACAGCAATGTGTGGCAGGGGATGGCTAGTATGAAATAATAATAATAATAATAATAATAATAATAATTATTATTATTATTATTATTTTGAAATGGCCAAAATATTTTTTTAATCTTGAGAATTGTCTGCTGATGTTTAAAAAAATGGAATTATCTGCTGATGAAAGTGGACATTTTCATCATGTACTACAAAATAGAGTGTGTACCTTAGGAATACTTGAACATGGATGCTCCATCTTCTTTCTTTACAGATCTCCCAACCAAGAACCCCTCTATCCCAGATGAGCTGGGAGCTTGTGGCCATTCTAGGACTTCCAGCTATGCAAGTCAGCAATCGAAAGTGTCAGGTAGGAGATTTATTGATGTAAACTAATATTAGCAGTACGTGCAGTCTCCAAGTTATGAACAACATAGGTTCTGTAGATTTCTTCTTAAGTTGAATTTGTTTGTAAGTCAGAACAGGTACATTTTTAAGCTCTGTATGTGTGTGCGTGTAAAAGCTTTAGATAGCATAGGGAAGGGTTCACACCCTGTGATGTTTGTTTTGCTGTCTGTGCCCATTCGGAAGATATCACCCCACTTTCTGTCCCTGTGATCATTGGATTGTTGCACTCCAGGACAGGAATAACTATCTGACTTAAAAAAAACACCAAATGTTGAATAGGGAAAACAATCCTTTTATTGAAGATAAGTAAAAACAGCAGAGTAAAACAGACACTTTAAAGGAATAGGTAAATCCAATTAGGTAAAATGATAAGCAGAAACAAATTAGTCCAAGGTAGTGTTCAGCAATGTCCAAAAACAAAGTCCAGTAACTCTCTAACAAAATCCAAAGAACCAGGAAACGTTGATCCAAGGCATGAACAGGTAATCACAAGAGACAAAAAAACCAAACCAGGAAACAAGAAATCCTTAAGCATGAATCTTCCAAGCAAGTTCTATAAGACGGGGACAAGAACTTAGCAGGATTCTAAACAATGCTTCATCTGGCAATATTTGTCATGCTTGGAACTTTTAAGCCTGTCCAAGCACTCAGATACTGGCTCTGCTTTCCTTGAGCGGCCCTTATCTTTTTCTGTTGAATCCTGGCAGAATGCCGAAGGCATTGCTCAGCCTGTCTGTTTTGACTAATTTCCGCCCGCCTATCTATACACTCATTAGTTTCTGCAGGTGCCAAGTTGTTTTCAAGCCCCAAATCCTGGAAACTCTCTTGGAGCAATTCAGGGAGTAAACCATTATCCCTATACCCTGTAGGAACATTCTCATGGGAAAATACACTTTGAACAGGTGTCTCTCTGTCATTCTCTGCATCAATATCGCTGACCAAACCATTGCCATCTTGAACCTCATTGACATCATTCCACACACCCAAAGCACCCTGATCCTGAAACACAATCACAGGCTGAACTCCAACAGGATTATGAAGAATTTGGCTTGTGGAAACACGGATTAGTGATAAAGCTGCATTTGAGCCACCTTTTCCCCATGAAAACTCTTAAAGGAGTGAATTTCCCTTCCTAGAGGTAGATTTCTCTCTCTTCCTGCTGTCTCATCCCTGTTCTTAACTATGAGTTGTTTGTAAATTGGATTATTGTAAATTAAGGACTGCCTGTAGTAAAATAAAATACTTCAAACACACTGCTAACAATAATAAAACTTTACATCTTGTTTTATACAAATATATCAAATGTGGAAATGGTTATCTAGAATCATGGAAGAGACAACAAAGGCAATCCAGTCCAACCCCATTCTGCCATTCAGAAGCACACAATCAAAACACTCCTGAGAGATGGCAATCCAGCCTCTGTTTAGAAACCTTCAGAGAATGAGACTCCACCACACTTCGAGGCAGTATATTTTCCTTTTGAACTGCTCTTGTCATGGGGAAGTTCTTCCTAATATTCAAGTGGAATCTCTTTTCCTGCTGTTTGAATCCATTCCTCCATGTCTTAGTGTCTAAAGCATGCCTGCTCTAATTGCAATATGACATCCTTTCAAATACATATCAATACATATCACGCCTTAACCTTCTGTTCTCCAAGCTAAATGCCCAACTCTCTAAATCATTCCTTATAGAGCATGGCTTCCAAACCTTTGATCATTTTTTTCATTTTCCACCAGCTTGTCAATGTCTGTCTTGTACTGTAGTGTGCCCAGACGACTAATGCAGAAAATAGTGGGACTATACTTTCCTCGATATTTCTATTGATGAAGCCTTGAATCGCATTAGTTTCCCTAGTTGCTTAGGCAATCCCTCGTTGTCCGAGTAGGATTGTCTTCCAAGATAGGTGTCCTGGCATGGGTCCGTAGGTGACTGTGGAGCCCTATACTTGACTTGCATGTTCTCCCACAGTGAGGGCATTGGTTTCCAGGTGGAAGGCAGTCCCGGTCGGAGTTGGCTTGGCGCACTTTCCTCTTGGCATGTTTCTCTCTTTCGCCCTCCATTTGTGCCTCTTCAAATTCTATAGCACTGCTGGTCACAGCTGACCTCCAGCTGGAGCTTCCCAGTTCTTATTGTCTATGCCAGAGTGTTTAATGTTGGCTTTGAGCCCATCTTTAAGTCTCTTTTCCTGCCCATTAAAATTCCGTTTTCCGTTCTTGAGTTTGGAGTAGAGCAACTGCTTTGGGAGACGATGGTCAGGCATCTGGACAATGTGGCCGGTCCAGCAGAGTTGATGGCGGAGGACCATCGCTTCAATGCTGGTGATCTTTGCTTCTTCCAGCACACTGGCATTTGTCCGCTTGTCTTCCCAAGAGATTTGCAGGATTTTCCGGAGGCAGCGCTGATGGAATTGCATGTGATGTCTGTAGACAATCCACGTCTCGCAGGCGTATAGCAGGGTTTGGAGGATAATAGCTTTATAAACAAGCACCTTGGTCTCCCTACGGATGTCCCGATCCTCAAACACTCTCTGCTTCATTCAGAAAAAAACTGCACTCACAGAGCTCAAGTGATGTTGTATTTCAGTGTCAATGTTGACTTTGGTGGAGAGGTGGCTGCCAAGGTAGCGGAAATGGTCAACATTTTCAAATGTTACACCATTAAGCTGTATTTCTGACATTGGAGAGGGATTAGCTGGTGACTGCTGGAAGAGCACTTTGGTTTTCTCGTATGCTTCTGATATCAAACCATTTGTCATCTATTCTATATCTGAGCTTTCTTTTTTTAACCTAAGTGTATGCCTTACATTTTTCCCTATTGAGATTCAGATTATTAGTTTTGGTCCAGCAATCTTCAGATCATTTTTAATTCTGATCCCTTCTTCTGGACTACCCCTCCCAATTTAATGTCATCTGCAAATTTAATAAGTATGTACTCTATTCCGTCATCCAAGTCATTGATGAAGATGTTGAAAACCCAGGATGGAACCCTGTGGCACCTGCAAGTCACTTTTCAACCAATTACACTATGTAACAAAATTTGGGGGGAAAATCTGTCTTGGTTTGGAAAGTGTTATTTCCAGTTTAATTTTGCGATTCTTGCTTTGAATGTAGTTGTTATATTCCAGAAACTTCATTTTTGTGGCTGCCATAAACTATGTTGAATTAGTTAAGACTCAGTGAGATATTCCTTGAAAAATTATAGCAGAATGTACTGCATGATGTCTCGCAAAAACAAAGTTTTTGCAGTTTAATAAACTACTCTCATTTTTTAATGATAGAACCAATTAGGAAATGACATTTATAACCCCGGAACAAAAATTGTGTTACATAGTGTTACCAATGTGCCTAACAGTAGCATAGTTTAGCCCATATTTTGTAAGCTTATTTGAAAGACTATAATGGGGGACTTTTTGAAAGACCTGACTGAGTTACTAACAGGTGAAACTGAATAAATAATCAAAATTGTTAATTGAACGCACCTATTATGCAAATTCAATATGTCATGGTGGCGCAATGGGTTAAACCCTTGTGCCCGCTGAACTGCAGACCTCAAAGTTAGTGGTTCGAATCCGCAAGATGGGGTGAGCTCCCACCTGTCAGCGCCAGCTTCCCATGGAGAGACATGAGAGAAGCCTCCCACAGGATGCTAACACATCCGGGCATCCCCTGGGCATCTCTGCAGACGGCCAGTTCTCTCACATCAGAAACAACTTGCAGTTTCTCAAGTCTCGTCTGACACAATAAAAAAATACACCCTAGGGAAATGTTTTTTAATTGTCTATCATTTGGGATTAAGTCCTCAAGGAAACAAAAAAATTAGAAATCTTTGAGCATAATGAAAATATATGAGTATAGCAGCAGAGACAGTTGAGCAGCAGAATAAAACTTTATATCAAATTATAACACCTTGTGCATAATCTTCCCCTGCCTTCACTTCTTCCCCCCTCCCAATTTATTTCTGTTTCTAGATGGTCTGTGTAATATATGATGCTTGGCTTAACACTGTCACTGTTTCTTGCACATGTCTGAACGTTACAATATTTATTGAACTCCTGTTTACTGGATGTTGAGAACTGAACTAACCCCAGTTATTGAAAGATGTACTTGATTATTGGAAGGCAGAAGCAGAAACTGAAATGTATTGTCGAAGGCTTTCATGGCTGGAATCACTGGGTTGTTGTAGGTTTTTTTGGGCTATATACTACCTCTGATGATGCTTGCCATAGATGCAGGGGAAACGTCAGGAGAAAATGCCTCTAGAACATGGCCATATAGCCCGAAAAAACTTACAACAACCCAGGAAACTCAAATGCTGCTCAACTGCTGAGGTATGCCTGTTGAGGTTTAAGCACTTGGCATTGAATTAATGGCTTTGAACTATTTTCTTCTAGGATATAGCACCTGCCACTCGAGGTCGTCCAGTACCTCTGAACTCTGCCATAAAAGAAATACGTCTGAGGGAAGTACATCAACTGGGGTGGGCAGTATTCTAGAACCATGTGAAGAGGCTGAACTGAAAAAAAGTGATAATTTGGAGGCGGCCATGAAAGAAGAAGCCCCAGAAAAAAACAACAGGTACAAGACTTAGCAGAAGCTTCTTCCAGCGTGCTTCAATGTTTAGAATCCGAAAGTTATTAAACTTTTAAATACTTTGCAGGCATCCAGTGAAACAGGATTCTGTAGAATCACAGCTGAAAAGGGTCGATGCTACCAGAGTTGACGCAGATGATATTGTGGAAAAAATACTTCAGAGCCAAGACTTCAGTTTGGACTCAAGTGCAGAAGGTTTGTACACTAGAGAATAACAAACCATTGATCATTGTGACTCCAGACTTTCTCATTGACGATTATGTGGGTTTGAACTCCCTTTATGTGATGCTGAGCAAATTCACCTATCAGTAAAAACTTACCGTATTTACCATATATTCCGGCATATAAGATGACTGGGCGTATAAGACGACTCCCAACTTTTCCAGTTAAAATAAAGAGTTTGGGATTACTCGCCATATAAGACTACCCCTCTTCCAACGTCCTTTCCCGTTTCTTTCTTTGTTCCGGGCTTGAGGGCCAGGAGGCTCATGGCGAGACGTAGCCAGTACTAGGGTGGCGGTGGCGGGAACTGCGGACAGCCCAGCGGGACACTACCCCCAGCAAGTCTCCGTGGCAATGCGGCCTGCCGCTCCTCATCCCCTCTGCCCTCCTCCTCCTCCCTCCCTCCCTCCCCTACTCAAGCCACAAGGGTTCAGTCTCCCCAAGGAGCACACTGCATCAAGCTATGAGGAGAGGTGGGTAATAAATCAAATGTATTATTTTCTCTCTGATGGTTATTATTATTTGAAACAGAACAAGAGGAGTCCACAGCAAACAAGATCACTCTGCTGGCTGTTGTATTGGATCACGCGTTGGACACTTCCCAAGTGTCTAGGACTATGTGATGTATCGGCGAATAATGCATGCAGATCCCAGTAGGGTGGCCTTTTGCAGCTGGCAGATGGTAATTTTGTCAGCGCTGATTGTGTTTAAGTGCAGGCCAAGGTCTTTAGGCACTGCACCCAGTGTGCCGATCACCACTGGGACCACCTTGACTGGCTTGTGCCAGAGTCTTTGCAGTATTATTATTATTATTATTATTATTATTATTATTATTACTAGTATGATGGACCTTCCTGGCTTTGGCATAGGTGTCTATGGAGACACTAGGCCTCGCGTGGGCGAGGCGAGGAGGCCGCCCTGCCTCCCTCCCTCCCTTGAGGCCCAAGCCTGGTTAATATACCTGACGTATAAGATGACCCCCGACTTCTGAGAGTATTTTCCAGGGTTAAAAAGTCGTCTTATACACCGGAAAATATGGTATATATGGTATATATCTTGGGTACCCAGCGTTGCCTGGGTTATTTGAAAAAGTCAATTATTTAATTGTACCAAATGCATAAGGTTGTGGGTGAACTACAACTGACATCATGCCAGGTTAACCCCCTCAGTACTTAAAGTTTAATATGTTGGGCAAGTTTGCTCTAGATCAGTGGTTCTCAGCCTGGAGTCCCCAGATGTTTTTGGCCTTCAACTCCCAGAAATCCTAACAGGTGGCAAACTGACTGGGATTTCTGGGAGTTGTAGGCTAAAAACATCTGGGGGCCCCAGGTTGAGAACCACTGCTCTAGATGCATTATCAGGTTTCAATGTGCTCTCTGGCTGTAGGACAAACTACAACTCCCACTATGGTGAGTCAGTCCCCTCAAACCGCTCCAGTAGATTAAATTAGTAATGGGGGTACTGTGTGCCAAGTTTGGTCCAGGTCCATCATCTATGTGCTTGTGGATGAACTACAGCTCCCAGAAAGGAAGGTCAGTTCCCCTCAAACCCCTCCAGCTAGCAAATTTGGCATATCAGGTATGTCTGCCAAGTTTGGTCCAGACCCATTGGTGTTTGGGTTCACAGTGCTCTCTGGATGTAGGTGAACTATAACTCCCCCAAATCAAGGTGAATTTTCCCCAAAGACCTCCAGTAGTTTGTGCTGGTAATGGGGGCTCTTGGTGGAATTCAGAGTGCTCATTTATTGCAGGTGAAGTATAAATCTCCCAACTTCTCTACAACTTCAAAACGTCCAGGCCAATTCCTCCAAAATCCACCAGTATTCAAATTTGGGCATATCAAGTATGCATGCCAAGTGTGGTCCAGATCCATCATTGTTTGGGTTCAAAGTATGCTCTGGATGTAGGTGAATTATAACTCCTATAAATCCCACCAAAGACATCCAGTATTTTTTGTTGGTCATGGGAGTCCTGTGTGCCAAATTAGTTACAGGTCCATCATTTGTAGAGTTCAAAGTGCTCTTAGATTGCAGGTGAACTATACATCCCAGGACCTACAACTCATAAATCATGGTGAATTTTCCCCAAATCTCTCTAATATGTTCACTTTCTGATCAATTCCCCTCTTTGCTGTATGGCAAAGAAAAATAGGAAAGGGTTAAGGGAAGATAGGGGGTGGGATCATGCAAATTCTACCCCAATGGAGAGAGCAAAAGAAACACTGGGATGTCCGTGGTGGAGGAAACACATAAAGTCTAGGATGAAATTGTCCCTGTATTAAAGCCTTCACTTGGGTGATGGGCAGTATGGCATTTGTGGAGGATATTGGCAGGGCTCTTGAACATGTTCATGACGCTTACTATAACCTGCAATGTCATTGGAGGGAGGGCCTTTGGTGTCTCCTGAGTAGTGGAAGCTATAGCTGTTTGTGGAGGCAGGAGTTTGTCTGTGTAAGTGGACACCCCAACCACATGCATACATACATATTTTCACTTTGATTATGTGTATCGATAATAGGTGCATGATGTAATGGTTTGAGTGTTAAGACTACAACTCTGGGGATCAGGGATTGAATCCAAATTTGATGACATTGCCTATTTTTACTTGACTGTTTTCTTTTTCAGAGGAAGGGCTCAGGTTATTTGTAGGTCCTGGAGGGAGTACTGCGTTTGGAAGTCATCACTTACCTAATCGGTATGTTTTGGCAATGTAAGACTCCACTGTCTTAGCCTTAAATTTTTACTGATAACTGACCATTTTAAAATATAAACTGATGGTAAAATGATTTTAGTATACTTAAAAGATCAATCTCTGAAAGTCTGAAATCTAACATAGAAGATCCAAAGAGTAAATAAATTAGGAATAAGGTTTATTACACTATGTAACAAAATATGGGGGGAACTATTCCTGGTTTGAAAGTGTTTTTTTCCTGTTTTTGAGGCTGCTACAAATTCTGTTGAATTGGTTGAGACTATGAGATATTCATTGAAAAACTACAGTAATGTATGCTGCAGGACGTCCCACAAAAACAAAGTTTTTGCAGTTTAATAAACTTTTTTCCATTTTTTATGACGGAAAAATAGGAAATGACATTTATAACTCAGAAACAAAAATTGTGTTACATAGTGTTGTTGTTTCTATCGTGGACAACAAGTTAAACATGAGCCAACAATGTGATGTGGCGGCAAAAAAAGCCAATGGGATTTTGGCCTGCATCAATAGGAGCATAGTGTCTAGATCTAGGGAAGTAATGCTACCCCTCTATTCTGCTTTGGTTAGACCACACCTGGAATATTGTGTCCAATTCTGGGCATCACAATTCAAGAGAGATATTGACAAGCTGGAATGTGTCCAGAGGAGGGCGACTAAAATGATCAAGGGTCTGGAGAACAAGCCCTATGAGGAGCGGCTTAAGGAGCTGGGCATGTTTAGCCTGAAGAAGAGAAGGCTGAGAGGAGATATGATAGCCATGTATAAATATGTGAGAGGAAGCCACAGGGAGGAGGGAGCAAGCTTGTTTTCCGCTTCCTTGGAGACTAGGATGCGGAACAATGGCTTCAAACTACAAGAAAGGAGATTCCATCTGAACACGAGGAAGAACTTCCTGACTGTGAGAGCCGTTCAGCAGTGGAACTCTCTGCCCGGAGTGTGGTGGAGGCTCCTTCTTTGGAAGCTTTTAAACAGAGGCTGGATGGCCATCTGTCAGGTGATTTGAATGCAATATTCTTGCTTCTTGGCAGGGGGTTGGACTGGATGGCCCATGAGGTCTCTTCCAACTCTTTGATTCTATGATTCTATCTCATTTGGTGTGAAAAGAAAAGAAAACACACTTTTGTCCAAATTAGAATGAACATATCTAAGTCTATTTGTTAATATGGAATTTACATGAGCACTCTGAATTATTGTAGAGCGCTAAATAAACCAAATGAGAGGAAAACCCAATTTTAAATTAGAGGCTGATAAATTAAGTTCACTTACTAATCTTGTATGTAAATCTGTATACACATAGCAACTGCTGCTTGGTCCCAGCCCTTGACCTTCATTTCACACTATAAACCGATCACAAGACAACAGGTGGAACCTACATTGGTGAGGCTTGTGCTCTTTTCCTGCTCTCCCCCCACCTACCATTAGTAGCTTACTAGACTCTCCCACTTGTGTGAGTCACAGCAAAGAATTTATTATTTATTTATTTATTTATTTATTTACTTTATTTATATACCGCTTTTCTCAGCCCTTAGGCAACTCAAAGCGGTTAACAGCAGCAATTTCAATGCACACATTACAAAACCATTGGACCATTTAAAAACAATAGCATAACAACAATTAAACATCAATATGACAAATCATTTGCGTCTCGTCAATAGAATCAGAATCCAATCTCATCGTCCGTTATTCCGTGTTCCTGTAATCAATTACACTGCCTAATCGAATGCCTGTTCGAACAACCAGGTCTTCACTTTCCTCCGAAATGCCAATAAGGAGGGGGCCGATCTGATATCTGTAGGAAGGGCGTTCCACAGCCGAGGGGCCACCACTGAGAAGGCCCTGTCTCTCATCCCCGCCAGGGGTGCTTGGGATGCCGACGGGACCGAGAGCAGGGCCTCCCCAGATGATCAAAGAAAGCTGGGGAGAAATCAGTTCTCAATGACCACTCGAAAAAAGAAGACTAAGTTACTTACCTATCGCTAGTTTTTTCGAGTGGTCATTGAGAACTGATTTCTCCCAAGCTTTCTTTGATTGCCTTCCCTTGGCTTCAGCAGGAAATATACTGGTTAGGTGTGGCAGGGAGTGGGCAAGGCTACGCTTAAATAATTGGGTTGAAGTTAGTTGAATTTAAATTGCAGTGAAATCTATAGAAGGTTAATAACTTAGTTTCCATTTAATTTGGTAGAATTAAACTCAATCAGTATATAAAAGCATGTGTTTCTGAGAAATTAACTATTTAAGGTATTTACTTAAAATTATTTATTTGCTTATGTACAGCATTGGGTTATGCTGAGTCCAACAGGCTCTCCAAGGCCATATACAACAAACACAGATTAAAATCATTAAGCACACAAATTAAAAAGATTAGACCAGAACAAATCTTTCAATATAGTTCTGAAAACAATATACTCTTTGCTGCTCACTGGAAACTCAAAAGGGATGGATTTGGCCAGAATTCCCTGCTGCAGTAACATCAGCTGGTAGGCTGTTAGGAATTGTGGGAGTTGAAGTCCAAAACACCTGAAGGGCTGAAGTTTGCTCATGCCTGATTTAACCTCACAGGATGGGGTCCTTAGTTAACATACTGAGAGCAGAGAACTTACACAGATTCACATGACCACTGCTAAGGCCAACAGCGAAACTTGTTGTCTTCTCATTCCATCTATATAAATAAAATTGTAATGTTCATTTGTTGGATTAACAGAACTCATAAACCACTGGGGGAATTGACACCAAATTTGGACACAATACACCTAACAGGCCAATGTATATCCTTCACTCATAAAAACACTGAAAAACACAGTAGAGGGGCCTTTAAAAGCCCTCAAAAGCTAAATGACAATACTGAAAAAAGGGAAGAAAGAGGGAGGGAAGGGGAGAAAAGAAAGAAAGAAAAGAAAGAGAGAGGGAAAGAAAGAAGGAAAGGGAGAAGGAAGCATGGAAGCAAAGAGAAGGAAGGAAGGGAGGGAGGGAAAGAAAAAGGGGAAAGGAAGGGAAGTTAGAGAAGGAAGGAAGGAAAGAGGGAGAGAAGGAAGGGAGAAGATGTAGAGAAAGAGAGGGAAGGAAAGAGAGAAAGAAGAAAAGAGAGACAGCAGAAGAGAAAGAAAAAGAGGAAAGGAAGGAAAGTAATAGAGCGGGAAGGAAGGAAGGAGGGAGTGAAGGAAGGAGGGAAAGAAGGAGAGAAAGAGGGAAGGTTGGCCACAGCAAAGCGTGGCGGGTACAGCTAGTTTGAAAAATAATGAATGTTACTACATTTGACATTGTCAGTTCCACTCCACCCCTTTACTTCATTAGCTTTCCCTCACTTTGACACAAAGCATAATGTTTCAGCATGCATTTCTGCTTGATGTGGGTTGATGATTTTGACAGGAGACACTTTAGTCGTGACATCCGCTTTCTGCTGTATGTATGAATATAAAATACTGTTCTATTCTTTGCTTCCCCCTTTTAACTTTTTCCCCCTGCTTCTTTTTCAGAGTTGGATCAGGAGCATATGAACAAGTAGTGATTAAACGCTAGAACTGGCATTAAATGATAGAACTCTTGGAATTCCAGCACTTTTTTGCTTTTCTACGTTACTGAAGATGGGCTCTTCTGAAGTGTCAGTTTACATTGGCCTGAGTTGTCATACTGAAATGCCCGCCTTTGTACCTACCTGTGGCGAATGGCAGTTTTCTTCTAGTAATTTGCCAGACATTGTGGAACTGTAGATGGTTTGTTGCATTGTTCTATATGTAAATTGAGTTGCCTTTAGGGGAGATAGGACAATTTAACTGAGAATAGTATGTTTACTTTCACTGTCAGCATATGGAAACTCATGCAGTAGTGTGCATTGGTCCAGCTTGGTTTTTGTTATGTCCCCAAATATAAGAGATCATTACCTATTTCAGTAATTTTTAAACACTACTAATTATCTTTTATAGTACACTTATCCCAGTCAAAACAGAATCAATACAAAATCATGTGTGCGGCTCCAAGGAAGTTACTGAGCCAACTACGTTTGGAGGAATTAATAAGAAATATTGCTATGTATTCATGTAATTTTAAGCTGAGCTGCATCTGAGAAGGACAATATGACCACTTTAAGATGAGTGAGTAGTAAGATACGTACACATTATGATTTACTGTTTACAGTACAGTCTTGAATGCCAACATTATTGCCCCTTAGAATTAGCTTTAGAAATTACAAGGTGTAGTGGCTGACATTTGGACGATACCAAAAACTAAAAAAAATCATAGATGTTTAGTGAAAACTCTGCTTTCACTGGAGGGCTTATAGTGAAAAGCTTGGTGCATACAATAGTATGTTTACCTCACTGAGTATCAAGTTGAATTGTTTAACATTTGAAAGAGTGCCTTGTTTTGAGAAATGTTCTGAACTATCTTTTATGAAGCTAAGAACGACCAGCAAGCAGTTATATTGAACTGCTATTAGTTTAAGCTATCCAAAGAACTTTATTTAGCAATTTTCATCACTCCCATCCAAAAGCTCTCTTCTCAAGGATCGTCTCCATTTCTCTACCCAAGTATACATCGCAGGTAAAATATTTGCCCCATTTCTCTTAAAATATATGATTTAATGATTCATAAATTCTACACTGCTGATGTTCTGAATTATCTTTTATGAAGCTACGAACGACCAGCAAGCAGTTATATTGAACTGCTATTAGTTTAAGCTATCCAAAGAAGCACTTTATTTAGTAATTTTCATCACTCCCATCCAAAAGGTCTCGAGGATCATCTCCATTTCTCTACATAAGCAGGTAAAATATTTGCCCCATTTATCTTAAAATATATGATTTAATGATTCTTAAATTCTACACTGTTGACGTATAGTCAGTGCATTAAGTAAGCATAATTAAAATGTAATGCCAGCCATGTGTTTGAATGGTTTGCTTTCAGCTAAGTCTTAATTTGGTTCTCATTTCTACCCGTTATATCACTGAGCTACTCTTAAGACGGAGCTTTTACCAATACATGTCCCTAGTAAAATTGTGACAACCATACAAAAATCTGTACAAGCAAAATGCCTGTGCAACAGCTTCAGTTATATTTTCTGACAGTGAAAGCAGCTTATTTATTTTTGCAAAAGGGATTTTATATTTGGGGTTGAAAAGACTACAAATAATTTAGAGACGTACCAAGCACTGATTAAAATCTAGCTTCAGATGTCACTGATTTTAGGGACTATAATTTATATGCTTCAGGAAAGCTTTGAGTAAGATTTCTGCTATTTTTAACTACACTAAGCAGAACATTTCATTAGTGGTTCCCAGGATTCAAGGTTCTTGAAGAAATATGACTTAAGTGTTTAGCAATTTTTTTAACTCTGAAAAAATATTTTAGAAATATCATTAACTCTTTTCCCATCTGCTTGAATTGTATACACGAACTGCTAAAATGAGATCTATTCTTTATGGTACTAGAAATAACCTCGTTGATATGTTGTCAAAGGCTTTCATGGCCAGAATCACTGGGTTGTTGTGAGTTTTCCGGGCTATATGGCCCTATATTGTCGAAGGCTTTCATGGCTGGAATCACTAGGTTCTTGTGGGTTTTTTCGGGCTATATGTCCATGTTCTAGAGGCATTTTTCCCTGACGTTTTGCCTGCATCTATGGCAAGCATCCTCAGAGGTAGTGAGGTCCTCACTACCTCTGAGGATGCTTGCCATAGATGCAGGCGAAACGTCCGGGAAAAATGCCTCTAGAACATGGCCATATAGCCCGAAAAAACCCACAAGAACCTATTTGGCCATGTTCCAGAAGCATTCCCTCCTGATGTTTTGCCCACATCCTCAGAGGTTGTGAGGTCCTCACCTCTAAAGATGCCTGCCATAGATGCAGGCAAAATGTCAGGAGAGAATGCTTCTGGAACATGGCCATACAGCCCGGAAAACTCACAGCAACCCAACCTCGTTGATGCTTCATACAGTATTTTATTTTGTTTGAACTTCTCTTAATTGAGAGTAAGTAGGAATTAATTTTTAAAGCTGCTACAAATGTAATTGAAAAAATCACATTTATTTTGAGCTGTATATTGAGCTTGCTATTGGGTTTTTTTTTAAGCCACTAAAATAGTGTGAATTTATTGAATGATGTTCTAATTCTGAAAACTGTCAGTCCTGAATAATGGTACACCTGAAAAGATGTGGGCATGAAGAAAAAATAGAGGGGATAAAACAACTATTATATGTCTTAATCAGTGCACCAAGATAGTCCATAATCTACATACAGCTCCTGCATATAACTCAAGTGAGGTGTCAGTCCCACTGAAAGTACACTTATTTTAATTTTAAGCTTGCAATATGAGAATTTACCTTTTATGGTCATCACTGGTGAGTTTTTCTTTAAATTCCATGTGCAAGTTCTATTAAATGTCTGAGTAACTATCATGCACTTTTGTCAACTGGACTGTTTCTATGAAGTGACTCCAGTCGTGTCCTTGAGACCTGGGAAATGACCTTCATGTTTATGTGTGGCATTAATTTTGTGCAAAATGTACAGTGATATACAAATCACTTTTTTAGTAAAATCCATTTTTTTTAAAAAAAAACCCATAAATACTGTATTAGACATACAAAGTGGTCTTATGAATTCAATAAAAGTTTCTGTCTTCAACCTTTATTTGTGATTTTTTTCCTTCAGAAAAGAACAAAAAAAAGATACTTGTGGCTGTAACTTTAAAAAGGGACAGACAAGCTGTACACTTCTGTACAATTGAAACAGAAAAATAAATTTTTCTTTGCATTTCTTTCAGAAGAGATTATTAATAACTGATTAAATCAATATTTTCCATCTAAGCTGCTTAGCAGTATTTTTCTTAAAACCTCTTTTATGTCATTAGTTCACAATACAAATCTCCTGTTGGGTTTTCTTTATCCCTTTTCTTTAAAAATGCAGACAATACAGGGATAAGATTCCAAGAAAAGGAACGGGCTTTAATATTAAAATGGCCTTGGAAGAAGACTGGTCTGGAAGATAATATGCAGTCAGACCTACAAAATTTGCAAGATTGATCATTTTTTAGTTTTGATTCATGTTACCTCTTCTTCAAGCTGACTCTATGGTTAACTTCCACCTTAGAGTGGCCTTGGACGACACAGATTCCTAGGAAGGTGTTCTCTCTCGTTAAAAAATGTTTTCCCCCATTCAACACTGATGTGTGGGTTCAGCTTACTCTTGCAATAATTCATAACTCAGAAAATGAAAATCTTCCTTCTGTATAGCTCTGCTTAATGTCAACACATGTGCACATTTTATTGGTAGACTAGCCATCCCCTGCCACGCGTTGCTGTGGCCCAGTCTGGTGATCTGGAAAATAAAGTAATGAGAAAGTGTTGGTTTCTAATATTTGTAATTTCTTTATGCTTGTGGGTAAACAGTATTTCTTGCTGTTTTTTGTCAGTGTTGATGTGGAGATTGTCTGGTTTGCCTACTCTGGAACATATAACGGTCCTTCTTTAGGGGTCCCTTTCAAATAATCTGTATGTGTGTGGGTGACTGTGAATCATATATAACTATGTATATCTATGGCTGGATGACTCTTTGTCAGGAGGGCTTTGATTACATTTTCTTGCCCTGGTGAAGGGAGTTGGACTGGATGGCCTTAAGTATTTTCTGTTGGTCATGGGGGTTCTCTGTGGGAAGTTTGCCCCAATTCCGTCATTGGTGGGGTTAAGAATGCTCTTTGACTGTAGGTGAACTATACATCCCAGTAACTATAACTCCCAAATGTCAGGGTCTATTTTCCCCAAACTCCATCTGTGTTCATATTTGGGCATATGGAATAATCATGCCAAATTTGGTCCAGATCCATCATTGTTTGAGTCTATGGGGCTCTCTGGATGTAGGCGAACTACAACTCCCAAGGTCAATGCCAACCAAACCCTTCTGGTGTTTTCTGTTGGTCACGGAGTCCTTTGTGCTAAGTTTGGCCCAATTTCATCATTGTGCAACCAGTTAGTTTGATGTATTGTGGGCCTCATGTAAGCCGCACCAAGTCCCTTGGGAGATGGTAGCGGGGTATAAATAAAGTATTATTATTATTATTATTGGTGGAGTTCAGAATGCTCTTTGATTATAGGTGAACTATAAATCCCAGCAACTACAACTCCCAAATGACAAAATCATAATTTTTTGATTGATGGTCACTCCTTTTGTAGTGAGATGTTTTGTTGCCAAATTTGGTGTGATTTCGTTCATTGGTTCTTTTGTTTTTAAGGTACTCATTATGCACAGAGCATTTATATATATATATAGATGATGATGATGATATGGGACAAAGTAAGGGTAAACCCTTATTTATTTTTTGTGGACTCATCCTTTGGAAAATGGCTGCTGCCAACAATCATGGCACCTCCTTTTTTATTAGGGTGCACGGCCTGGATAGGAGCACAGCTAACTCCTGTGCCGGCAGGACTGAAGACTGACAGGTCGCAGGTTTGAATCCCGGGAGAGGCAGATGAGCTCCCTCTATCAGCTCCAGCTCCTCATGCAGGGACATGAGAGAAGCCTCCCACAAGGATGAAAAAACATCAAATCATCCAGGCGTCTCCTGGGCAACATCCTTGCAGACGGCCAATTCTCTCACACCAGAAGCGACTTGCAGTTTCTCAAGTCACTCCTGACATACAAAAAAACCTCCTTACTTAGAAAAAGCAGTATTACTCTGCTTGTTTGTTGCAAGAGAGCATGCCACCTCCTGGCTCAAAATTGCAAGTTCAAACACTCTTTTATCACTATGTGTTGTTTAAATCTACAAATGAATGTCTGTACCAAGCAAGGAAAAAATGACACAAACACTACTTCGAAGAAGCCAATTTTGGTGAGGGGGGGGGGGGGGAGGCACAATTACAGCTATTTTTAGTTTGTGGAGCACAAATCTGCCACATTGAAACTTAAATGGTTCTGTCCTGGGCCCGGTCCTGTTCAACATATTTATTAACGACTTAGATGAAGGGCTAGAAGGCATGATCATCAAGTTTGCAGACAACACCAAATTGGGAGGGATAGCCAATACTCCAGAGGACAGGAGCAGGATTCAAAACGATCTTGACAGATTAGAGAGATGGGCCAAAACTAACAAAATGAAGTTCAACAGTGACAAATGCAAGATACTCCACTTTGGTAGGAAAAACGAAATGCAAAGATACAGAATGGGGGACAATGCCTGGCTCGAGAGCAGTACGTGTGAAAACGATCTTGGAGTCCTCGTGGACAACAAGTTAAACATGAGCCAACAATGTGATGTGGCGGCAAAAAAAGCCAATGGGATTTTGGCCTGCATCAATAGGAGCATAGTGTCTAGATCTAGGGAAGTAATGCTACGCCTCTATTCCGCTTTGGTTAGACCACCTGAATATTGTGTCCAATTCTGGGCACCACAATTCAAGAGAGATATTGACAAGCTGGAATGTGTCCAGAGGAGGGCGACTAAAATGATCAAGGGTCTGGAGAACAAGCCCTATGAGGAGCGGCTTAAGGAGCTGGGCATGTTTAGCCTGAAGAAGAGAAGGCTGAGAGGGGATATGATAGCCATGTATAAATATGTGAGAGGAAGCCACAGGGAGGAGGGAGCAATCTTGTTTTCTGCTTCCCTGGAGACTAGGACGCGGAACAATGGCTTCAAACTACAAGAGAGGAGAATCCATCTGAACATGAGGAAGAACTTCCTGACTGTGAGAGCCGTTCAGCAGTGGAACTCTCTGCCCCAGAGTGTGGTGGAGGCTCCTTCTTTGGAAGCTTTTAAACAGAGGCTGGATGGCCATCTGTCAGGGGTGCATTGAATGCAATATTCCTGCTTCTTGGCAGAATGGGGTTGGACTGGATGGCCCATGAGGTCTCTTCCAACTCTTTGATTCTATGATTCTGAGACACCGTACACATTCTTTACCAAGTTCTGCACTAATTAAATAACCAATTTCTTTCCGTTGTTGAACATTTTCTGTTACATACAGTGAAGATTGGTTACCAAGTTATGTTTGCATTGCTGTGAAAGTGAGACTAAGTGAAAACAAGTCCAACTTCATAGTGAAAACAATGTGGATTATTACGGTCTATTTCAAAGCAAAGAGGCAGTGATTATAGTTTGAGATCCCAGTCATTGCTTTTAATTATAACCTACCTGTGTTCTACTGTATTAACATTTCTTTCAATAGTGGACAAGTATTTTAAAACATATCTCTGAGGTCCTTCTGCTCGTCATCTTCATATTCAGTGTTTATCACCACTGCAGACTCATCACTGCTCAGTGCAATTTGACCAGCTACAAATCTCATAAGTGTTTCATAGTTCCCACAAAGTTGCTTCACTTTGGGAAAAGAAAATATTTTTGCAAGGGGGATGTGAGCTGTATTTCCATTCATAAAGGGCTGTATACTTGCACTGTCAGGTTCCGGTATAGAACAATACTCCAAATACTTTTGGAAACAAGGATGTGACTGGAATTGGGGTTCCGTTTCCACAGGGTCGTTACAGTGCTTTTTATATTGAGACCATCTATGGTCCCACAGTCTCCTTGCAATTATGTCTGCTGTCCGGTGTACTTCATTGACTACTGCAGTTCGCAAGTACTTCTCCTCTTTAAGGCTTGGATACTCGACTTTGAATACCTTTGACATGGGAGAAATGCAACATATAACACAATTGAAGGATAGAAGAGCTCAACTAAAGTATTCTCTCTTTAATTAAGATAAGGTTATCTGGTGTATATATATCTAGCAAGCTATGCACACATGCATACAGTATAATGAAAGTGTATGTGTGTGTATGTATGTACGTTTGTGGGCACGTATGTTTGCGACCGATTTCCTATCGGATCCCACTTCCAGAGACTACTGTGACCCCCACCAATGACAGATCTGGACCAAGTTTGGCACGTAGCCCTGATGTGCCCAAATTTGAATACTGGCCAGGCTTGCTGGGGGTGGGGGGATGTAGTGAAATTGCTACTCTATGTTAAAGTTTTGGTGTATAGCTCTATGTTTACATATGGCAGATAGGGGAAAATAGGCACAGACAGGGTAGCAACAGCAGAGATAGGATTCATTTGCATATGTGAAGCCAATTGGTCATATGCAGATTAGTGTAGACCCAGGATTTGAAAAGGCTGCTAGGCCAAAATGACAGTTGAGGAGAGCAGAGCTGAACATTCCAAAGAGGTGGAGCCAAGGTTCTGAAAGAGGCAGTTAAGAGTGTGGGAGTTTGAAAATGACAGTTAGGAATCTGTGTGTAAAGAGGAGAGTTGGTTTTTGGAGTGCCTGATAGAAATAAGCAGTTATGAAGATGTGTTAAAGACTTCTGATATAGAGAAGCAGTTAGTTAAATAGAGCTCGAGTTTTAAGGAACATAAAGAAGGCTAGTGTTACCTTAGTTCAAAATATAATTCAGCCAAGAGTGTGCAAAGCAAGTAACATGTTTGTGAATGTGAAACATTGATAGTTTATTCAGGAAAGTTAACCAAGTAAATGACACTGACTGTAAGCCTCAAGATTGCAACAAAACACAAATGTAACCACAAGCGTTGGAGCCAGAAGTTATAAATAAACTGTGTTACTTTGTTATACACAAGAATGTTTCATTGCCTGTGATATAAAGTACAAAGGTTTAACAGTACACAGATAGTCCCAGCCAATATAAAAGAAGAAACTGCATCAGTATAAGGTAGCAAAGAGATTTTTAAAGAGGAAATAGTCTCTCTCCGTCGCTACAGGGGAGTTACCTTGAAATTTGGGAGATGCAGTTCACCCATTTTTTGCCATTTTAATCTTATATCTCCAAATTTAATAGAAGTGCTATTTTTAGTAAATTAATAGACAGTATGTCATTAATTTAAACAAATACTTTTCCCCAGTTTTTTAAACCTCTTTTCACATTCCCACCATAAACGCATATAAGTCCCAGTTTCCTTGCTGCACCTCCAACAATTTTGTATATTGTTTCTATTATAATAACAACATTATTGGAGTCATGTACCATCTCTGGGACAGGTTCTTGTGATACCTGTCCAGGTAGCTCAGGAAGTAACCTTGGACAGATCTTTGGTGACTTGGATGTAGTGAAAAAACGGGTTTGGTAGATTTGTTAGAAAGCCCCTGGATGCCAAATGGAGTTGGGCCACTCTTGGTCATGATTATATAAAGAGACAACCTTTTGATTCTCCCTGGAGTAAGAAGAAGAGGTTTCATTCCTTAGTAGCTGGGGAGGGGGGGGGGATGCAATCTGTGGTATGAGACTGTATCCATGGCCGGAATCACTGGGTTGTTGTAGGTTTTCTCGGGCTATATGGCCATATTCTAAAGGCATTTTCTCCTGACGTTTCGCCTGCATCTATGGCAAGCATCCTCAGAGGTAATGAGGTCTGTTGGAACTAGGAAAAGGGGGTTTATATATCTGTGGAATGACCAGGATGGGACAAAGGACTCTTGTCTTCTGGAGCTAGGTGTGAATGTTTCAACTGATCACCTTGATTAGCATTTGATTGCCTGGCAGTGCCTGGAGCAATCTTTTGTTGAGAGGTAATTAGATGTCCTTGTTTGTTTCCTCTCTGCTGTTGTGCTGTTCTAATTTTAGTTTTTTAATACTGGTAGCCAGATTTTGTTCATTTTCATGGTTTCCTCCTTTCTGTTGAAATTGTCCACATGCTTGTGGATTTCAATGGCTTCTCATAACAGAGCACCTGATGAACCAACCTGGACACAGCATATTATTTGAGAACACAGAAATGCTGGATCACTCTCACAACCACCATGTCAGACTACACAGAGAAGCCATTGAAAACACTTGATAGAGACATTTGCAGCATATTCTAAAAAGGTTTATGTACGTAATCCTCTGAAAGGTCTTCATTTATCTGACCATTGTTTTATTTCCCATATCAATAGCAATAAAATAAAATCCATGATATTCTCCTTCCTGAATAATGTTAGTCTGGGATATTATTTGGATCATTTCAAAGAACAGCAAAATTACTCTCAAATTCTGTCATTTTAAAATCTCCAAGCTTGTCTCCATGCCATTTGTTCATATATCATAAGAGTGATCTGTTTGGAAGTTCATTTGATAATTAATAGAATTTACATACCCCAAACTATTTAACACTTACTGCAAATCAGTAACAAAAATCATTTGGTATCGTAGAGGTAGAACATTTTGAATTTTCTTAACAAAATTGTACTAAATTTATTTCCCCAAAGCAATCTACTTACAGTTTTATAAACATGGTCTTGATGTTTCTCACATATGTTAGGTTGCACATGCTTTAGAGATTTTCTCACAAACACTCCTATTTGTGTACAAAATCCAACATCTTTTCCAGGAGGTGGGACTCCTAATCCAGTAAATTCCACCACATAATCATAGCGAGCAGCAATCTCTTGGGCCCTAAATATGACCAAAAATATCAAATAAATGTATCTTACTTATCAAGCATTTTTCAAATACCAGTAGGATGGAGGAAGGGAAGGGAATCTATAGCTGAATATTTGTACAGTGTTATGATTCACGGGGCTGGGAGTATGAAAGCAACTCAAGTAGAAGATACTAGAGAATCCTTCTTTCTTAAAGTTTTATGAGTGCTGCCAAATGGTCCTTTGCTTGTGAAAACCAAGCCAGGAAAGGAAAAGGGGCAAAAAGGCCATTTCAGGAAGGAGCTGACTATAATAATAATAATCATCATCATCATCATCATCATCATCTTTATTTATACCCCACCACCATCTCCCTGGTGGGGACTCGGAGCGGCTTACATGGGGCCAAGCCTGGACAACATATTACAGCAGAATAAAACCAAAAAACATAAACAACAAACAACATCATCAAAATTACATAGTAGAAAAGAAAAAAAGAGCATTCCAATAAACACAGTCACAATAACTGGTCGGGCCACATGTACAGGATAAAACAATTAAAAGACTCAATGAGATAAAAATAGGAGCAGGTTATTTGCAGGGAGCTCATAAAAACAGAGTTGTGAAACTAAACTTCCCATTTGGAGGGTGTGGGGCATAACATTGCACATAACTGAATGCGTAATGCCACACCACATATGTAGTTTTCTGTCGCCACTTTAATACCTGGGACGTACTCTGTTTCTGTCCTTTTACAGGTGCCTTTCTTCTTGACTCAGTGAGGGGGAAAAGAATCTCCTTTCTAAATCCCTCTACCACCTTGTACTGCTGCAGTTTCCCTTTTAAATTGGCTGGGGCTTTCTTGTGAGCTGTTAAACCTTTGTGCTTTATATCACATGCCTGAGACACTCCGGTAAGCAACGAAGTAACAAAGTTTATTTATAGCTTCTGATTCCAATGCTTTATGGTTACATTTGTATTTCATTACAGTCTCGAGCCTTACGTTCAGTATCATTCACTCAGTTAACTTTTCTTATGAAACCCTCACTGTCTCACATCAACAACTATGTTACTTTCTTCATATTCATACTATTCTTCAGTCCCTTGGCTGAACTATATTCTGACTTAGGCCACACTGGCGCCTTCTTATTTTTCCTTAAACCTTGAGATCTATTTTCCCGACTTTCTCTCTAACCGAGGTTTCTAACTGCTCCCCACCTTTTTTTTTTAACTGACAAACTCTAACTGCTTCTTTCAAACTTGACTCCGCCCCTTTAGAATGTTCAACTCTGTAACTGCCATTCTGGCTCAGCGGCCCTTTCAAATCCTGGCATACTCTCATCTGCATACAACCAATCGGCTTCACATATGCAAATTAATCCTGCCTTCACTATTGCTACCCTATTTGAGCCAATTCTTCCCTATCAGCCATATTGTAACCTAGAGCTACACACCAAAAATAATAACTTAAAAATCACGAACACTATCCACAATTTTATATCCACTACATATATCGTACTAAAACAACCATAAATGAGGTATACTTTTTAGAAACAAATATGTTATAAATTGATTGAACTCACCAATTTTGAAACTGTGCTCGATTCCATTCAAATTTGTGATCCGGGTGTCTGAACAAGGTTACAGTTTGAAGTAAAGGATTAAATTCTGAATTCGGTGTGCTGATTACAACCATAGTTGGAGACATAAAACCAAATACCACTTCTGGAAATGTCTCTAATTCATTTGCCTCAAGGTGTTCTATTCTGAAAGTAAATTTACAAAGATCTTGTGTCCTTGGACAAGTAAATACATCTCTATTAGCAATAAGATTGTTTGTTTGAATGCAATACAACTGTTTTGGTTTGCTCCTGACACGATAAATAAATAAATATGCAATATGATGAAATTGCAATGGGAGTTATAATTAGCAGCTCTAAGAAAAAAATCTCTTTCAGACTGAAAACTATTTTCGTCTTTGTATCTAGCAGTAATAGCTAGCTTCTCTTTGATGTACTCAGTATAGTACTGTTACCTCTAATAAAGCAATGTCTCAGTCAACTTTAGAGATCCTGCCCCTTGAGATATAGCCTGGAAATGTATGTATGCAAAGCATTTTCCCCCCAATATGTGACTTTTCTCATCTCATCGACACTTTCCTTGAGCTATGAATTCTCTACCTCACTACATCTCCCTTTATCACACGCATTTCTCTATCACACTATGTAACAAAATTTTGAAAAAATATTATTGAAAGTGTTATTTCCTAATAAATTGTGCGGTGTGACTTTGAAAGCCATTGTTATACTCCAGAAACTTTGTTTTTGTGGCTGTTAAATTGGTTGTGACTCGTTGAGATATTCATTGAGAAACTATAGCAAAATATGCTGCAGGATGTCCCGCAAAAACAATGTTTTTGCAGTTTAAAAAACCCGTTCCTTTTTTATGATAGATCTGTCATAAAATCTATATAAATAAAAATGTAATGTTCGTTTGTGGGATTAACAGAACTCAAAAACCAGTGGGCCAGATGACACAAAATTTGGACAGCATACACCTAACAACCCAACGTATGTCCTTCACTCAAAAAAATTGATTTTGTCATTTGGGAGTTGTAGTTGCTGGGATTTATAGTTCACCTACAATCAAAGAGCATTCTGAACCCCACCAACGATGGAATTGAACCAAACTTGGCACACAGTTCTCCCATGAGCAACAGAAAATACTGGAAGGGTTTGGTAGGCAGTGTCCTTTGGTTGTGGAGTTGTAGTTCACCTACAAGAGAGAGGGCCTTTTCAGTGGTGGCCCCTCGACTCTGGAACTCACTTCCTAAGGACATCAGGCATGCCCCAACTTTGGCAGTCTTTAAGAGGAGCTTGAAGACGTGGTTGTTCCAGTGTGCATTCCCAGAATAATGATCCCATAGCACTTTGTCCTCCAAAGCACTTTATATATTTAGGTCTGCTCGCATGTTCCCATAAACTGCCTTATCACTTTTTCGTCCATGTCCAGCATTATTTTTTAATCTTTTAATTTTAATTACATTTGGCCTACCCATAGATTTTAAAGTGTGTTGTCCTATTGATAATGCATGCGTTATTGTTTTATTGTTTTGTTATTTTKAATTGCTTGTATTGTTATTGCTTYTATTGTTGTATTTTGGGTTCGGTCTCATGTAAGCCACACTGAGTCCCTTGGGGAGATGGTAGCGAGATATAAATAAAGTGTTGTTATTATTYTTATTATTATTATTATTATTATTATTATTATTATTACATCCAGAGAACACTATGGACTCAAACAATGATGGATCTGGACCAAACTTGGCACAAGCACTCAATACACCCAAATGTGAACACAGATGGGAGTTTGGGGAAATGGTTCCAACATTTGGGAGTTGCAGTTGCTGGGATTTATAGTTCACCTACCATCACAGAGCATTCTGAACCCCACCAACAAGAGAATTGGGCCAAACCTCCCACTCAGAACGCCCATGAGCACCAGAGTGGGCCACAGCAACGCGTGGCAGGGGACGGCTAATTAGGAAATAAAATTTATCACCCAGGAACAAAAATCGTGTTATGTAGTGTTATTTGCCCCCATATTATTTACGCTGTATAAAAGACTGGACATTTAGGCTTCAAACTCAAGTGTATTAATTTGTGCCATTTTACCTAGCATGAAAAGTGGATTAGAAACAGGAAAGTATATATCACAGGAATATGACTAATTTTTACTTCTAAAAGAATGCTGCAGTTCCTTTTTTAATAAGTCCCAAACAAATATTTTATTTCCAATACTCACAATTCAATACATGTAATCATATCAAAGCCCAACATACACGGGTCTTTGTGAGCAACTGAACCCTGATAGAGGATAACTGTGAGAGATCTTTCACTCGGCTGGAGATAGTCAACAGGAAGGGGAGACAACGTATGCCTAGAAGCAAATAACAAGTTGTAAGGTATGAAAGTACATTGATTCCTCCACCATATCTTTCCCCAACAGCTTCTGGTTTCTTGGGAATCATGAAATACAGATAACTCCACACCAAGACAATCACTATGCAACAGGTTTGTAAAAGCTGGTCTTGGCCTATAAAGCCCGATATGGTTCCGACTCAGCTTACCTGTCCGAAAGTATCTCCCTCTATGTCACGCCTCGCAGTTTAAGATCATCCGAGGAGGCCCTGCTCTCAGTCCCGCCAGCTTCGCAAGCGCGTTTGGCGGGGACAAAGGACAGGCAGGGCCTTCTCGGCGGTGGCCTCTTGCCTATAGAACTCATTCCCCAGCAAAATTAGGTCGGCTTCATCCCTCCTTTCTTTTAGGAAGAAGCTTAAATCATGGTTCTAGGACCAACTTTTTTGACAGTAGGCATGACAGCACTTTGGCTATTGAATTGGACTGGAAATGGCTATCTGGTTTGATAATAATGTTTTAATTTGTTTTAACTTAATGCTTTATTCATTGTTTTAAACTGTTTATTATATTTGTTATATTTGTTTGTATGTTGCGGCATCAAATTGTTGCCGGTTGTAAGCCACCCTGAGTCCCCCCTCAAGGGTCGAAAAGGACAGGGTATAAATATTGGAAATAAATAAATAAATAAATAAATAAATAAATAAGCAAGACGTGATTAAACGTGTAATATTTTATGTGTTGTCGAAAACTTTCATGGCCGAAATCACTGGGTTGCTGTGAGTTTTCCGGGTTGTATGGCCATGTTCCAGAAGCATATTCTTCTGACATTTCGCCCCCAGTGGTGCAGTGGGTTAAACCCCTGTGCTGGCAGGACTGAAGACCGACAGGTCGCAGGTTCGAATCCGGGGAGAGGTGGATGAGCTCTCTCTATCAGCTCCAGCTCCTCATGCGGGGACATGAGAGAAGCCTCCCACAAGGATGATAAACACATCAAATCATCCGGGTGTCCCCTGGGCAACATCCTTGCAGACGGCCAATTCTCTCACACCAGAAGCGACTTGCAGTTTCTCAAGTCGCTCCTGACACGACAAAAAAACCCCAAAAAACCCACATCTATTGCAGGCATACTCAGAGCTTGTGAGGTCTGTTGGAAACTGGCAAGTGAAGTTTATATATCTGTGAAATGGCCAGTGTGGGAGAAAGAACGCTTGTCTGTTTGAGGCCAGTGTGAATGTTGTAATTGGCCAACTTGATTAGCATTGAATGGCCTTGCAGCTTCAAAGCCTTGCTGCTTCCTGCCCAAGGGAATCCTCTGTTTGGAGGTGTTAGCTGGCCCTGATTGTTTCCTGTCTGGAATTCCTGTTTTTTTAGTGTTGCTCTTTATTTATTGTCCTGATTGTAGAGGTTTTAAATACTGGTAGCCAGATTTTGTGGCTACCATAACCATACAGCCCAGAAAACACACAGCAACCCAGTGTAATTTTTCTCCTCAAAAGCACTGCCAGGCAAGTGCAACTAGAGGACTGGTCTTTGAAAGCATTTCCTATTGGCATTCCTTCATCCTAATCAGCAACTTTTGTTTTTCTCTGCAATACAGACAGAGGTGGTGGAAAAATAAGCAGGCATATCAAATCCACGCAGCAAGAAGTATACTTTCAATTAGGTGAAAAAGCAGTTAAGATAGTTTTGCCCTTATTTTCTTTATATTATTTTCATATATATATATATATATATATATATATATATATAAATTTGTCGTGTCAGGAGCATCCTGTTGTGAGAGAATTGGCCGTCTGCAAGGACGTTGCCCAGGGGACGCCCGGATGATTTTGATGTTTTATCATCCTTGTGGGAGGCTTCTCTCATGTCCCTGCATGAGGAGCTGGAGCTGATAGAGGGAGCTCATCCACCTCTCCTCGGATTCGAACCTGCGACCTGTCGCACAAATATGAAAGCATAAGAAATTATGCATTGGACAACCATATTACTGGGACCGTGGCACAGCTGGCTGTTAGCTTCTGACCAAAAGGTCATGAGTTCGAAGCCAGCCTGGGTCGGAGTGAGCTTCTGACCAATTGTGTAGCTTGTTGTCGACCTTTGCAACGCGAAAGACAGTTGCATCTGTCAAATAGGAAAATTAGGTACCACCTATGTGTGGGGAGGCTAATTTAACTAATTTACGAGGCCATAAAAAAAACTCCAGCAAAGCATGCAGGGAATGCGGAAGTACTTCATCAGTGTCGCAGATGGATGATGAAAGCGACAGCTCCCCTGGCAGTCAGAAAAGTTAAATAGCCTCTGACTGTCTGTCTATATCTGTTGTGTGTCTTTGGCATTGAATGTTTGCCATATATATGTACACTGTAATCTGGCCTGAATCCCCTGCGGGGTGAGAAGGGTCGAATATAAATACTGTAAATAAATAAATAAATATTCCCAATAAAGTTTTAAAGTTTCCATTAAAAATAAGCTACACCAATGATTTTTGAAGGACGTTTTAATACATTTAACTTTCAAGAAAAGGAACACAGTTATTTTTCGGGAGACTATCTCAAAACTATTTCAGTTACTTTTAGAGAAAAGAAATAGAATATGCAGGAGAAAAGCATTCCTGAGACCTATCAGACAACTTTTAATAATAATATAGACAGAAATGGCTCTAATCAGAATTTTTCTTTTTTTAAATGTATCATAATGATGCAACAGCAAACCGTAAATATTCACCATAAATATTTATCCTCGGACTGATTGCATTTTTCTCTTGGTGGCTTCAATAATGCCTTACTTACTCGTTATATTCTGCAGAATGAGATTATTTAGATGGAACTCACTCAAACATAAATTGGCAAGAAAGCAATATTTAATAATTATTTATATATAGATATTGCTTGAAACCCGTATTCTCAAATATAAAATGTACTTTTTAATGGCAATAAAAATATCCCCCTTGGAAAATGTGTGAAAAATGAGTACACACAGTTGGTCACATTCTTCCTCCACCCCTCAAACACTGTGATTAGCTCAGTGTTGTGTCAAATCACAACATCGTAGGAAATTATGTCCCCAGTAGTCTTCTCTTCTTCCAATGCATATTTATCTGATTTTTCTAGGACTTGCAAAATAAGGGATCTCTCTTACTTACATTTTTTCCTTCATCACCTCTTCACTAATATCTACTCCCACAAGCACCTCAATGCAGTTGCAGAATTTCAGCATCCAGACTAGCTTGCAATCGGCACATCCCAAATCAGCCACCTACCAATTAGAATTTCATACAGAGCTGTCACACTTATTAATATTACTTTCAGTTCATTATATTGTGTGTGTGTGTGTATTGAATTACAGACAGTCCCCAAGTTACAAACTTCTGATTTACAAATGACTCATAATTACGAACGGAGGTGAGACAACAGGAAGTGGGGGGGGGGGCAGAGGACAGTTCCATCTTGTCTCCTGCATATGTCATCATTTGGGGACTCTTCCCCCAACACCAACTGCCACTCTGGGCCCGAGTGAAAAGAGAGGGGTCAGGGAACAGTTCCATCTTGTCTCCTGCATATGTCATCAGTTGGGGACCCCTCTCCCCAGTACCAACTGCCGCTCTGGGCCAGAGTGAAAAGAGAGGGGCCAAGGGACAGTTCCATCTTGCCTCCTCCTGCATACGGCATCAGTTGGAGACTCCTCCCCGCAGCAACAAATGCCACTCTGGGCCCGAGTGAAAAGAGAGGGGGCCAAGGGACAGTTCCATCTTGTCTCCTGCATATGTCATCATTTGGGAACCCCTCTCCCCAGTACCAACTGCTGCTCTGGGCCAGAGTGAAGAGAGAGGGGGCCAGGGGACAGTTCCATCTTGTCTCCTGCATATGTCATCAGTTGGGGACCCCTCCCCCCAGCACCAACTGCCGCTCTGGGCCAGAGTGAAGAGAGAGGGGGCCAGGGGACAGTTCCATCTTGTCTCCTGCATATTCAGCAGTTGAGGACCCCTCCCCCAGCACCAACTGCTGCTCTGGGCCAGAGTGAAGAGAAAGGGGGCCAGGGGACAGTTCAATCTTGTCTCCTGCATATTCATCAGTTGGGGACCCCTCCCCCCAGCACCAACTGCTTCTCTGGGCCTGTGTGAAGAAAGAGGAGGCCAGGGGATAGTTCCATCCTGTTTCCCCCCAGCACCAACTGCCACTCTGGGCCAGAGTGAAGGGGGGAGGGCAGAGGACAGTTCCATCTTGTCTCCTGCATATGTCATCAGTTGGGGGTCCCTCCCCCCATCACCAACTGCCACTCTGGGCCGGAGTGAAGAGAAAGGAGGCCAGGGGACAGTTCCATCTTGTCTCCTGCACATGTCATCAGTTGGGGGTCCCACCCCCCAGCACCAACTGCCATTCTGGGCCAGAGTGAAGAGAGAGAGGATAATTCCATCTTGTTTCCCCCCAGCACCATCTTGTTTCCCCCCAGTTCCATCTTGTCTCCTGCATATGTGATCAGTTGGGGATCCTTCCTCCCCAGCACCAACTGCCACTCTGGGCCACAGTGAAGAGGAGGGGGCATAGGACAGTTCCATCTTGTCACCTGCATATGTCATCAGTTGGGGAACCCTCCCCCCTGCACCAACTGCTGCTCTGGGCCAGAGTGAGGGGGGGGGGGGGGCGGGCTGAAGACAATTCCACTTTGTCTCCAGTGCTATTCTAATAATATAATATTCTATTATATAATATATTGTATATACATATATTATAATGTAATGCAATATATATATATATATATATACTAGCTGTGCCCTGCCACGCGTTGCTGTGGCCTATAGTAAACCTTATCAAAGTTGAGGTAGATATCTGGACTATTATGAAAGAGAGGTACCTACCTATTCCTTCCCCCTTTTCCTCCCCCTTTCTCTCCTTTCTTCCTTCTCTACCTCTTTCTTTCTTTCCCTTGGTTTCATCCTTCTCTCTTTCCTTCATTCCCTCCCCCTTTCTTCCTTTGCCTTTCTTCCCTCCCTGTTTGCTTCCTTCTTTCACTTTTTATTTCCTTTTATTTTACCACCATCATAACAATAACAATAATGCAATGCATTGCCTCTGGGACCTGACACCTCTCCCATTCCTCCAGGGTCTCACAGGAACAATAGCATAATAATAATAATAATAATAATAATAATAATAATAATAATAATAATAGAAATAACAACCTTTACCCGCCACGTGTTGCTGTGGCCAATCTTCCCTCTTTCTCTCCTTTCCCTCCTTCCTTCCTTCCTTCCCTCCCATCTTTCCTTCTCCTCTTCTTTCTCTATCTCTTTCCTTCCTTCCCCCTTTTTCTTTCTTTTCTGCTGTCTCTCTTTTCTTTCCTTCCATCTTTCCTTTTCTTTCCTTTTCTTCTTCCTTCTTTCTCTAACTTTCCTTCCTTCCCCCTTTTTCTTGACCTCCCTTTCTCTTTCTTCCTTCTTTCCTTCCTTCCTGTCTTTCCTAGATTTTGACAGGGCGGGAAGGGGCGGGGTGGGGTTTGGAGGTGGCGTGAAGTAAAAGGAGGTAAGATTGGGGTGGGGGAGTGATGGAGCGTGGGGTTGTGTGTGTGTGCGGCGGCGGGGGGAGATGGAGCGTGGGGTTGCGTGTGTGTGTGCGGCGGGGGGGGAGCGTGGGGTTGTGTGTGTGTGTGCGGCGGCGGGGGGAGTGGGGTTGCATGTGTGCGTGCGGCGGCGGGGGGAGTGATGGAGCGTGGGGTTGCGTGTGTGTGTGCGGCGGCGGGGGGAGTGGGGTTGCGTGTGTGCGTGCGGCAGCGGGGGAAGTGATGGAGTGTGGGGTTGCGTGTGTGTGTGCGGCGGCGGGGGGAGTGATGGAGTGTGGGGTTGTGTGTGTATGTGCGGCAGGGGTGTGTGTGTGTGCGGGAAGCGGCGCGGCGGGGCTTGGAGTGGGCATGGTTTCCGCAGAGGGAACGTTGGCCGGAAGGGCATGTGCGCGCGCCAGGGAACTTGCGGCTGGGCGCCAATGCGCATGCTCAGTTGTTTTGCCGTTTTGTGAGTGTGTTGTTGTGTTGTTTTTCATTTTGAGTAGATACGTTTGTACCTTGTGGGTTGTGTTATGGGCATGGGAATTTTGGTTAAGTTTCGTTGGGTTTTTTTTTAGTTTTGTTTTTTTGCCGTTTTGAGTGTGTTGTTGTGTTGTTTTTCATTTTGAGTAATATGTTTGTACCTTGTGGGTTGTGTTATGGCCATGGGAATTTTGGTTAAGTTCCGTTGGGGGATTTTTGAGTTTTGTTGTTTTGCCGTTTTGTGAGTGTGTTGTTGTGTTGTTTTTCATTTTGAGTAGATATGTTTGTACCTTGTGGGTTGTGTTATGGGCATGGGAATTTTGGTTAAGTTTCGTTTGGGGTTTTTTGAGTTTTGTTTTTTGCCGTTTTGTGAGTGTGTTGTTGTGTTGTTTTTCATTTTGAGTAGATATGTTTGTACCTTGTGGGTTGTGTTGGTGGTATATATAAAATCTGAAGAGTCAGAGCGCATGCAGATAAGGTAAAATAACTTAGCGTTAGTTTCAGTTGGGGATTTTGAGTTGTTGTTGTTGTATGAGCTTAGGATAGGAAACTGATAATTTTATATCAAAGTGTTTGTTGTGTTGTGTTCTTTTTAGAATGAAGTAAAAATACAAGACATAAAACTCAAAATGAATATCAATGTACCTATTGTCGGAGTATATCTGTTATGAGATTCATACCAAGAATTGACACCAGTTTTAAGGTAATTTTCAGTATAAATGCAAAAAGGATTTTTGTGTTGTAATCATAGCGTGCTCAATATAAATCGGTACTGACTTACGATGGCAAGGGGATTTTTGATGAGTGTGTTATTGTGGTGTTTTTCAGCAATAATGATGTGAGTAAATGATATGAAATACAAATATAGCTCAACACCATCTGTGCGTTGGTGTTTTTATCGGCACCAGGAGAAAAAAACGGTGATTTTGGTAAGGTTCGTAATATTTTAATATTTGTAATCGTGCAATATAATACTACTACTAATAATATTATAATTATATATTTATATTACATGTTATATTACTACTAATATTACAATATAATGGTATAGTAAAATATAGTAATATTTAATACTGATATTGTACTATGGTCCTCAAACTAAGGCCAGGGATGTGCCCTCCAAGGTCATTTACTCAACCTAAGTCAGAAACGACTTCAAAGCACACAACAACAACAACAACAATAATCCTATTTCATCAGCCAAAAGCAGGCCCACACTTTCCATTGAAATACTAATAAGTTTATATTTGTTAAAATTGTTCTTTATTTTTATTATTGTTTTATTTTTAAGTGTTTTTTGCACTACAAATAAGATATGTGCAGTGTGCATAGGAATTCATTATTATTATTATTTTCAAATTATAATCTGGCCCTTCAACAGTTTGAGGGACTGTGGCCTGGCCCTCTGTTCAAAATGTTTGAGGAACCCTGTTGTACTATGCTAATAATATAATATATTGTATGCATATATATCTTGTAAGCTGTTCTGAGTCCCCTTCGGAGTGAGAAGGGAGGCATATAAATGTCGTAAATAAATAAATAAATAAATCTACCCCTAGCAAGAGAAATTCACTCCTGAAAAGAGTTATCATGGAGAAAGGTGTCTCCACTGAAACTTTATCCCCAATCCTTGTTTCCACAACAAGTCTGTATTCAGATATTTTATTCTAGGTTTATCAAAATCAGCATAAGCAGAGTAGAATCAGCATCTACACCAATTGGGTAAAATATCTAAGCTCATTCAATAGAAAGCACATTTAATAGAAAGCTGCTTGGAGGGGAGGGGCAGGCAAAGGCATATGCTCTAATTTCGTGTTTGATGAATCCACATTTAGCTAAAGTTTCTTGATTCAGATACTGGCAATCTAAGTTACGAACAAGACTGGTTCTGCATTTATTTATTTACTATATTTATATACCGTCCCTCTCAGCCTGCAGGCAACTCGGGGCAGTTCACAGTTGATAGCAAGGCCATAACATACAATTAAATAACATACAATTAAAAACATTAAAATATTATAAAACCATACCAAAGTTTGTAGGTTTGTTCTTAAGTTGAATGTGTATGTAAGTTGAAACAGGGGACATTTTTAAGTGTAACTCCAGCCAAAAAAAAAAAATTCTTTAGCTTTGGATAGTATGGGGAAGGGTTAACACACCTGTGGTGTTTGTTTTGCTTTCTGTGCCCCTGTTCAGAAGATTTCACCTCACTTTCTGTCCCTGTGATCATTGGATTTTGAAGTATATGGCTTGTTGTGGAAACAAGGATTGGTGAGAAAGCTTCGGTGAAGACACTTTTTCCCCATAATATCTCTTCCAGGACTTAATTTCCCTTCCGAGGGGAAATTCACTTCCCGTTTTCTCTCCCTGTTCTTAACTATGACTCCTTTTAAGTCAGATGTTTGTAACTCGGGGACTGCCTGCATAAATTAAACAAGCAATACATCCAGTATTAAACAACAGACTTTGTCATGGGTTCAAAGATATCCAATGGACATGGACCTAATATTCCTAAACTTTTTACTACTACAGTATATATGAGATTTTTACTACTTATGTTTCAGTCGTTTAGTGAATTCCATCCATCCAACTACTCCTTTGTAAGTATTATTAGTATTAACCTTGAGCATGCACTGTATCTGGAGGCCACGCACTCCCCATTCATACATGGAAATGCACATCTAACTGAATGTGTAGTAATATGTTGTTACTACTATATTATCACACAGTATTAAAAGAAAAATAAAGAAAAGCAAATTTCTGCCAAGTTATGTGTACGAACCTTTTTAGGCTTATGTTCACTCACCAACTGTTTTATAAAATGGTAGCGCTGTTTGTACAATGGTGGTGTGAATGTGACCTTTGTGAAATCATCCTTCGGCAGCATTACATCCATGATCAAGGCTAGAAGCAAAAAATTAAATAAAATAGACTCCTTAAATACTCTATTCATAACCATTCTTTTGCAGATTGGAACCTATTACATGTTTATTTCAATTTATATTTATAGGAGGAAACCATGAAAATGAACAATACGGCCCTCCAAGGTCATTTACCTGGCCCTCGCTGTATGGCCATGGTCTAGAGGCATTCTCTCCTGACGTTTCGCCTGCATCTATGGCAAGCATCCTCAGAGGTAGTGAGGTCTGTTGGAACTAGGAAAAAGGTTTATATATCTGTGGAATGACCAGGGTGGGACAAAGGACTCTTGTCTGCTGGAGCTAGGTGTGAATGTTTCAACTGACCACCTTGATTAGCATATAATGGCCTGACAGTGCCTAGAGCAAACTTTTGTTGAGAGGTTATTAGATGTCCTTGTTTGTTTCCTCTCTGTTGTTTTGCTGTTGTAACTTTAGAGTTTTTTAATACTGGTAGCCAGATTTTGTTCATTTTCATGGTTTCTTTCTGTTGAAATTGTCCACATGCTTGTGGATTTCAATGGCTTCTCTGTGTAGTCTGACATGGTGGTTGTGAGAGTGGTCCAGCATTTCTGTATTCTCAAATAAAATGCTGTGTCCAGGTTGGTTCATCAGGTGCTCTGCTATGGCTGACTTCTATGGTTGAAGTAGTCTGCAATGCCTTTCATGTTCTTTGATTCGTGTTTGGGCAATGCTGCATTTGGTGGTCCCTATGTAGACTTGTCCACAGCTGCATGGTACACGGTAGACTCCTGCAGAAGTGAGAGGATCCCTCTTGTCCTTTGCCGAACGTCGTATTTGTTGAAATACACAAGCATGCGGACAATTTCAACAGAAAAGAGGAAACCATGAAAATGAACAAAATCTGGCTATCAGTATTAAAAAAACTCTAAAGTTGCAACAGCACAACAAAAGAGAGGAAGCAGGCAGGGACATCTAATTATCTCTCAACAAAAGTTTGCTCCAGGCACAGTCAGCCCATTGTATGCTAATCAAGGTGGTCAGTTGAAACATTCACACCTAGCTCCAGCAGGCAAGAGTCCTTTGTCCCACCCTGGTCATTTCACAGATATATAAACCCATTTTCCTACTTCCAACAGACCTCACTACCTCTGAGGATACTTGCCATAGATGCAGGCGTAACGTCAGGAGAGAATGCCTCTAGACCAGTGGCTCTCAACCTTCTTAATGTCACGACCCCTTAATCCAGTTCCTCATGTTGTGGTGACCCCCAAGCAAAAAATTGTTATTGCTACTTCATATCTGTAACTTTGCTACTGTTATGTAAATATCTGATATGCAGCATGTATTTTTCATCACTGGACCAAATTTGAATACTGATGGGATTGGGGGGGATTAATTTTGTCATTTGGGAGTTGTAGTTGTTGGGATTTCTAGTTCACCTACAATCAAAGAGAATCCTGAATTCCACCAATGATGGAATTGATCCAAACTTGGCACACAGAACTCCCATGACCACCAAGAAACCCTAGAAGGCTTTGGTGGGCATTGACCTTGAGCTTTGGAGTTGTAGTTCACCTACATCCAGAGAGCACTGTGGACTCAAACAATGATGGATCTGGACCAAACTTGGCATGAATACTCAAAATGCCCAAATATGAACACTGGTGGAGTTTGGTGAAAATCGTCCTTGACATTTGGGAGTTGTAGTTGCTGGGATTTATAGTTCACCTACAATCAAGAGAATTATGAACCGCACCAATGATAGAATTGGGTGAAACTTCCCACACAGAACCCCCATGACCAACAGAAAATGTTGTGTTTTCTGATGGTCTTTGGTGACCCCTGTAAAAACCCCTCACGACCCCTCCAGGGGTCCCAACCCCCAGGTTGAGAACCACTGCTCTAGACCATGGCCATATAGCCCGAAAAAACCTACAACAACCCAGTGATTCCGGCCATGAAAGCCTTCGACAATACATTATTATTATTATTTGCATTGATGGATTTTATAGCAGCATAGCAGAGGCCAGAGTCTAGATTTGCTCTGTGCTTGCAATTTGGGGCCTGAAAAGGGGATGGAAGGTAACACTCTGGCTGGGGAACAAGGTCCTCCTGTGGCTCCCCTTACAATGCCTCCAAAGAGTGGCACTCATACACCACATCCCCCCCCCCAACTGCTACTACAAGGTTCCCCCCACTCTCCCCCATCGACAGGGGAAGTTACAATTGCCTTAACCTTGACCATAAATAGACTTTAACCTTGTCCTTCGTGGCCTGCTTCCCAAAGGCTTGCAGCTCTCCTCCTCAGAGGCTCTCTCTGCTAGGCCTCAGGCTCAGCTCCGCCCAGGAAGGCGGGTCCCAGGCCTTACATTGGGTTTTTTGTAGGCCTAAAACACAGGCATGTGCCTTTCACCTTAAGAACAGACAAGCATCCCGAGTTCTGAGGATGACATGGGAAGGAATCCCACCGGAGCATTGCAGCACACCCAAATACCTGGGAGTCACCCTGGACCTCTGACCTACAAGAAGCACTGCCTGAATATCAAGCAAAAGTGGGTGCTAGAAACAATATCATACGAAAGCTGACTGGCACAACCTGGGGATCACAACCAGACACAGTGAAGACATCTGCCCTTGCGCTATGCTACTCTGCTGCTGAGTATGCATGCCCAGTGTGGAACACATCTCACCACGCTAAAACAGTGGATTTGGCTCTGAATGAGACATGCCGCATTATCACAGGGTGTCTGCGCCCTACACCACTGGAGAAATTACACTGTTTAGCCAGTATTGCACCACCTGACAGGACCAAGGCAGAGACATCTCCAGCTCATCCCTTTTTTGGGTATCAGCCAGCACGTCAACGACTTAAATCAAGAAATAGTTTTCTAAGATCTACAGAGACACTCGCTGGAACACCTCAGCAAGCGAGAGTCCAAAAGTGGCAGGCTCAAACCCAGAACCTCAACCAATGGCTGATACCAAATGAGAGACTCCCCCCTGGGCACACAGAGGACCGGGCGACTTGGAAGGCGCTGAACAGACTGCGCTCTGGCACCACGAGATGCAGAGCCAACCTTCAGAAATGGGGCTACAAAGTGGAATCCTCGACATGCGAGTGTGGAGAGGCAAACCACTGACCACCTGCTGCAATGCACCCTGAGCCCTGCCACATGCACAATGGAGCCAGGATGGGGGGGGGGGGGGGGGGGGGGGGGGGGGGGGGGGGCCTGAGTCTGAGTGAAAGAGGGTCTAGCCTAGCAAACCTTTTGTATCATTACCCCAATACCCCCATGCATATGGGATATATTGAGTATGGTGATCAGATCATGATATGAATAAACATAACAGTTTAAATAATGCACCAGTACGGCCTTTTCGCGAACCACCATGAGAATTTCGGGGGGGGGGGCTGACCCTGCTGCTCTCCCACAAAACAGGTTCTTAAAGATCTATCCACTTTGTTTTCAGTTTATTTAAGTACTAGCTTGAGTACCCGGTAATGCCCGAGTTATTTGAAAAGGGCCTTGTTTGTTTTTGGATGTTAGGTAATATCGGTTAGGAAATTTGTGACACTATTTATTAGGGAAAGAAATCAAGTCTTTGCTTTTGTTTTTAGAATGCTCCCATTAGAAAATGTGTAAGGATGTGGCTGAACTACAATTCCCTGAATTGTGGTTAATCCTTCCCAAATCCTGCCAATATTCAACGTAGGCCATGTTGGGGAAGTTTCCCACCAGAGTGGAAATCATCTATCAGACAGATGGTAAGCTATTTAGCCTCAGCAGACTGAAAACCAAGGTTACAACAACATCTGTTATAGAACTCCAGTATGCTGATGGCAATGTCGTCTGTGCGCATTCAGAAGAAGATCTACAAGCAATAGACAGCTAAGGGCCAACTTCCAACAATAAGATAGAAGGGAACTTAATACTTACAAAATTAAATGCAAGGATATAATTTCTCAAGAATTTCTCCCGCAGTGAAAGCATTGGTTTCCAGGTGGAGGGCGGTCGCAGTCAGGGTTGGCTTGACACGCCTTCCTCTTGGCACGTTTCTCTCTTTCACCCTCCATTCGTGCCTCTTCAAATTCTGCAGCACTGCTGGTCACAGCTGACCTCCAGCTGGAGCGCTCACAGGCCATGGCTTTCCAGTTCTCAGTGTCTATGCCAGAGTTTTTAAGGTTGGCTTTGAGCCCATCTTTAAATCTCTTTTCCTGTCCACCAACATTCCGTTTTCCGTTCTTGAGTTCAGAATAGAGCAACTGCTTTGGGATGTAGTCTGTGCACATTCAGAAGAAGACCTACAAGCCACTCTAAACACCTTTGTAGAAGCATACGAGAAGCTCGGCTTGTCATTGAACATCAAGAAAACCAAAGTGCTCTTCCAGCAGTCACCAGCCAATCCCTCTCCAATGCCAGAAATACAGCTTAATGGTGTAACATTAGAAAATGTTGACCATTTCCGCTACCTTGACAGCCACCTCTCCACAAAAGTCAACATTGACACTGAAATACAACACCGCCTGAGCTCTGCGAGTGCAGCTTTTTTCCGAATGAAGCAGAGACTGTTTTGGAGACCGGGACATCCGTAGGGATACCAAGGTGCTTGTTTATAAAGCTATTGTCCTCCTGCTATATGCCTGCGAGATGTGGACTGTTTACCGACATCATATGCAACTCCTGGTATGATTCCATCAGCACTGCCTCCGAAAAATCCTGCAAATCTCTTGGGAAAACAAGTGGACAAATGTCAGCGTGCTGGAAGAAGCAAAGACCACCAGCATTGAAGTGATGGTCCTCTGCCACCAGCTCCGCTGGAGCCATGTTGTCCGGATGCCCGACCACCGTCTCCCAAAGCAGTTGCTCTACTCCGAACTCAAGAACGGAAAACGGAATGTTGGTGGACAGGAAAAGAGATTTAAAGATGGGCTCAAAGCCAACCTTAAAAACTCTGGCATAGCCACTGAGAACTGGGAAGCCCTGGCCCTTGAGTGCTCCAGCTGGAGGTCAGCTGTGACCAGCAGTGCTGCAGAATTTGAAGAGGCACGAATGGAGGGCGAAAGAGAGAAACGTGCCAAGAGGAAGGCGAGTCAAGCCAACCCCGACCGAGACCGGAAACCAATGCCCTCACTATTTATTTATTTATCGTGTCATCAGCAACCATACCAAAACAAACAAACAGGTAAAAAAACACAAATTTTGCAAACTTAGTAGTTGATTAAATGTCCTTTGACCAGTATCTGGCCACTTGGAGTGCCTCTGGTGTTGCTGCAAGAAGGTCCTCTATTGTGCATGTAGCAGGGCTCAGGTTGCATTGCAGCAGGTGATCTGTGGTTTGCTCTTCTCCGCACTCGCATGTTGTAGATTCAACTTTGTAGACCCATTTCTTAAGATTGGCTCTGCATCTCGTGGTGCCAGAGCGCAGTCTGTCCAGCGCCTTCCAAGTCGCCCAGTCTTCTGTGTGCCCAGGGGGGAGTCTCTCATCTGGTATCACCCACGGATTGAGGTGCTGGGTTTCAGCCTGCCACTTTTGGACTCTCGCTTGCTGAAGTGTCCCAGCGAGTGTCTCTGTAGATCTTAGAAAACTATTTCTTGATTTAAGTCGTTGACGTGCTGGCTGATACCCAAACAAGGGGTGATCTGGAGATGTCACTGCCTTGGTCCTTTCACTATTGGCTGCTACTTCCCGGCGGATGTCAGGTGGTGCAATACTGGCTAAGCAGTGTAATTTCTTCAGTGATCTAGGGCGCAGACATCCCGTTATAATGCGGCATGTCTCATTAAGAGCCACATCCACTGTTTTAGTGTGGTGAGATGTGTTCCACACTGGGCATGCGTACTCAGCAGCAGAGTAGCATAGCGCAAGGGCGGATGTCTTCACTGTGTCTGGTTGTGATCCCCAGGTTGTGCCAGTCAGCTTTCATATGGTATTGTTTCTAGCGCCCACTTTTTGTTTGATGTTCAGGCAGTGCTTCTTGTAGGTCAGAGCATGGTCCAGAGTGGCTCCCAGGTATTTGGGTGCGCTGCAATGCTCCAGTGGATTCCTTCCCAGGTAATCCTCAGAGCTTGGGATGCTTCTCTGTTCTTAAGGTGAAAGGCACATGTCTGTGTTTTAAATGGATTAGGGATCAGCTGGTTTTCCCTGTAATAGGGAGTAAGAGCACCTAGAGCTTCGGAGAGCTTCTCTTCTAACCATCTCAAAACTCCCTGCATCTCAATGCCCTCACTGCGGGAGAAGGTGCAGGTCAAGAATAGGGCTCCACAGCCACCTACGGATCCACAAGAATACTGATCATGGAAGACTATCCTACTCATCCAACGAGGGATCGCCTAAGGCAGTGTTTTTCAACCTGGGGGTTGGGACCCCTAGGGGGGTCACGAAGGGGTGTCAGAGGGGTCACCAAAGACCATCAGAAAACACAGTATTTTCTATTGGTCATGGGGGTTCTGTGTGGGAAGTTTGGCCCAATTCCATTGTGGGGTTCAGAATGCTTTGTGACTATAAATCCCAGCAACTACAACTCCCAAATGTCAAGTCTATTTTCCCCAAACCCCACCAGTGTTCACATTTGGGCATATTGAGTATCCGTGCCAAGTTTGGTCCAGATCCATCATTGTTTGAGCCCACAGTGCTCTCTGGATGTAGGTGAACTACAACTCCCAAACTCAAGGTCAATGCCCACCAAACCCTTCCAGTATTTTCTGTCGGTCACGAGAGTTCTGTGTGCCAACTTTGGTTCAATTCCATTGTTGGTGGGGTTCTTAATGCTCTTTGTTTGCAGGTTAACTGTTAATCCCAGCAACTATAACTCCCAAATGACAAAATCAATCCCCCCGCCAACCCCATCAGTATTCAAATTTGTGCCAAATTTGCTCCAGTGAATGAAAATACATCCTGCAGATCATTATTTACACCGCGATTCATAATGTTAGGGTTATGGTCGGGGTCACCACAACATGAGGAACTGTATTAAGGGGTCACGGCATTAGGAAGGTTGGGAACCACTGGCCTAAGAAGTAAGAAAGCAGGCATTTAAGAGGGATGCCGAGCTGCATTAATACTGTACAACAGGGGTCCTCAAACTTTTTAAACAGAGGGCCAGGTCATAGACCCTCAAACTATTGGAGGGCCGGATTATAATTTGAAAAAAAGCATTTATGAATTCCTATGCATACTGTACATAACTTCTTTGTAGTGCAAAAAAACACTTAAAAACAATACAATAATGAAAATGAAGAACAATTTTAATAAATATTTATTTATTTATTTATTTATTTCGGTTGCTTCTACCCCGCCCTTCTCACCCCGAAGGTGACTCAGGGCGGCTTACAAAAGCAAGGCACAATTCGATGCCCGCATCACATAACAGCAATAAAACCATAACCTCAATTAACAACTAAACAACAATTCTTGCATTATAACCTAAAAACCAATACAAACCAATTTCTCCTCATTGACGGTCAGCGTTCGCTATCTCATAGTTCAATTTCCCATTCCACAATTGTCAGTCCTGTCAGTCCTATTCGTCTGGTTGTCCTTATCTAGTTGTCAGACTGCCCAAAGACCTGGTCCCACAACCACGTCTTTACTTTCCTCCTGAAGGAGAGGAGGGATGCTGATGCCCTCATTTCCCCCGGGAGTGAGTTCCACAGGTGAGGGGCCACCACTGAGAAGGCCCTGCTCCTCGTCCCCACCACCCTCACTTGTGATAGCGGTGGGGTCGAGAGCAGGGCCTCCCCAGATGATCTCAAACTCCGGGGTGGGACATAGAGGGAGATACGTTCGGACAGATACACTGGACCGGAACCGTATAGGGTTTTGTAGGTCAAAACCAGCACCTTGAATTGTGCTCGGAACTGAACCGGCAGCCAGTGGAGCTGACACAGGGGGGTGGTGTGCTCCCTGTATGTCGCTCCGGTGAGCAATCTGGCTGCCGCTCGCTGGACCAGTTGAAGTTTCCGAACAGTCTTCAAGGGCAACCCCACGTAGAGTGCGTTGCAGTAGTCTATTCGGAATGTAACAAGAGCGTGGACCACTGTGGCCAGATCAGACTTCCCAATATAAATTATTAGTATTTCAATGGGAAGTGTGGGCCTGCTTTTGGCTGATGAGATAGGATTGTTTTTGTTGTTGGGTGCTTTCAAGACGTTTCAGACTTAGGTTGACCCTGAGCGAGGGCCGGGTAAATGACCTTGGAGGGCCATATCCAGCCCCCAGGCCTTAGTTTGGGGATCCCTGCTGTACAATGTAGTGTGTCACTCTGCCCTGTATCAGAGGTACTCGCCTGCACTGGGTGTAATGCAGCTCTTGCGAACATGGCCACAGGAAGCAGGGAAAGCTGCGCGTGCGCTGGGAGGGGTTTCTGCAGGGAAACCCCTCCTGCCTGTCCTCTGGCCTCGCGCGCCTCCGCTCTGAGACAACCGTTGGAGCCCTTCCGAGGCCTAGCCCCGCCCCCTTTGCGCGAGCGCCGCCGCGATTGGTCGCCTCGGGAGCGGAAGGCCCTGAGCCTCATTTCCGCGCCAGCCGCCATCTTGTCGGCGGTTGGAGGCGCTCGCTGCGTCGGGAGCCCGTTTTTTTTTCCCCCGGCCGAAGTGGACCCTTCCCCGCCTCTCGCCATGGCCAACAACTGCCCTGTCCTGGGCGCTGGCAACTGCCACCAGCCCCCTCCGCAGCACCAACAGCCGCCTCAGCCGCCCGGGCCGCCGGCCGGAGCCGTTCTCTCGCCGCCACCGCTGCCGCTCCAGAGCGCGGGCCCCAAGCCGGCGGCCTCCGGCAAGCAAGGCAACGTCCTGCCCCTGTGGGGGAACGAGAAGACCATGAACCTCAACCCCATGATCCTCACCAACATCCTCTCCTCGCCCTACTTCAAGGTGCAGCTCTACGAGCTCAAGACCTACCACGAGGTGGTCGACGAGATCTACTTCAAGGTGAGGCCTCAGGAGGAGGAGGAAGGCCCCATCCGCGCAGGCCCGCAAAAGCGCGCCAAAGGGCCCTTCCACACCGCCATGTAACCCAGATAGATGGACATCAAGGCAGATAGATAGTCCACAGTACCCGCTTTGAACTGGGTTAACTGAGAGCCCTTCCACACCGCCATATAACCCAGAATATCAAGGCATATAATCGCACAATGTCTGCTTTGAACTGGAGTATTCGAGTACACTGCTATATTATTATTACTTATTTATTTGCAGTATTTATATTCCGCCCTTCTCACCTCGCAGGGGACTCAGGGCGGATTACAGTGTACACATATATGGCAAACATTCAATGCCAATTTTGACATACAACGTACAGACATACACATATAATATAATCCAGTTCAGTATGGATTTTGTACAGCAGTATGGAAGGGGCTGAAGAAGTGCCATCCCGATCGTAAACCGGTCTGGATGGCACTTCCTGAGGAACCATCTGCACAATGAACCCTTTCTTTCCTGCCTGTTTGAGGCCCATTCCACTCATTCAGTACTGGGTTTTAACTTTGCTTTAGACATTGTTTCTTAATTATTATTATTATTTGGTCGTGTCAGGAGCTACTTGAGTAACTGCAAGCTGCTTCTGGTGTGAGAGATTTGGCCGTCTGCAAGGACGTTGCCCAGGGGAGGCCTGGATGATTTGATGTTTTTATCATCCTTGTGGGAGGCCTCTTTCATGTCCCCGTATGAGGAGCTGGAGTTGATAGAGGGGGCTCATCCGCCTCTCCCCGGATTTGAACCTGCGACCTGTTGGTCTTCAGTCCTGCCAGCACAGGGGTTTAACCCACTGCGCCACTAAATGTATATGTTCTTATTCTCACATTTATACATTTTTCACTGTAAATAAATGTACCGTATATACTCGAGTATAAGCCGACCTCATTATAAACCATGGCACCTAATTTTACCACAAAAAACTAGGAATACATATTGACTCAAGTATAAGCCGAGGGTGGGAAATGCAGCAGCTATTGGTAAATTTCAAAATAAAAACAGATACCAATAAAATTACATTAATTGAGGCATCAGGAGGTGATTTTTTAAAATATTTACATAAAACTGTAATTTGAGATAAGACTGCCCAACTCTGATTAAATCATGACATATCTTCAATGTAAATGTACTTACGTATCCTTCCAACAATAATAGAGTAAAATAATAAAAATAATAATAAAGTAAAATAATGGAAATGCAATAATAACAGTAATAATAGAGTAGAATAATAAATGTAATAAATTTATTTATTTATTTATTTATTTGGAGTGCTTCTACCCCGCCCTTCTCAACCCCCTAGGGGGGACTCAGGGCGGCTTACAAAAAAGGCACAATTCGATGCCCAACCATTCACAAAATGCAATACAATATACAATATGCAATACACAAATTTACTATATAATATCAACAATTATAACTAATTAAAACAGTCAAACAATATAGTAGCAGCAATAAAATCATCTTGTGGTCAATGTTCGCCAATCCATAGTCCGTAATCCATCTGGCATCGTCATTGTCCTTTCCTACTCTGGTTGTCATTGGTTGTCTTTGTCCATCTGCCAGCTTACCCGAAGGCCTGGTCCCACATCCAGGTTTTTAGCTTCCTTCTGAAAGCAAGGAGGGATGTTGATGTCCTAATCACTCCCGAGAGTGCATTCCACAGGCGAGGGGCCACCACCGAGAAGGTATATTTTAAAAGAGTAAAATAATAAATGCAATAATAATCATAAATAGTGTAAAATAATAAATATTATAATACTAATAATAGGGTAAAATACTGTAAATGTAATAATAGTAAAGAGAGTAAAATAATACATGAAATAAAAATAATACTAATAACAGTAAAATAATAAATAACTTTGACTCAAGTATAAGCTGAGGGGAGCTTTTTCAGCCTAAAAAACGGGCTGAAAAACTAGGCTTATACTCGAATATATACAGTATATGTGTGTCAGTGTGGACTCAAACCTCTTCCACACAGGCATATAATGCAGAATATCCCACAATTTCTGCTTTGAATTGGATTATCTGAATTCACACTGCCATATATCCTAATTCAAAGCATATAATGTGGGATTTTCTTGTGTGGCAGAGGTCTCAGATAACCCAGTTCAAAGCAGATATTGTGGATTATCTGCTTTGATAGTCTGTGTTATATGACTGTGTGGACTGTATTAAAAGGTCAGTGTAGTTATGGCTGAAGAGATGCAGCCTAGGGCCCCTTCTACACTGCCATATGATACACAGATTTTCTGCTTTGAACTGGATTATATGGCAGTGTCGACTCATATAATCCAGTTCCAAGCAGGTAATGTAGATGATTTGCTTTGATCATCTGGGTTATATGGCAGTGTAGATCCAGCCTAAAAAGCCACAAGGTTTTGTTGAAGGCTTTCATGGCCGGAATCACTGGGTTGTTGTAGGTTTTTTCGGGCTATATGGCCATGGTCTAGAGGCATTCTCTCCTGACGTTTCACCTGCATCTGTGGCAAGCATCCTCAGAGGTAGTGAGGTCTGTTGGAACTAGGAAAAAAGGTTTATATATCTGTGGAATGACCAGGGTGGGACAAAGGACTCTTGACTGCTGGAGCTAGGTGTGAATGTTTAGGTGTGAAAGCCACAAGGTTGTTTTGTTAGAAGGCTCTGAAGCAGCTACGGATGCATCTACACTGTAGAACGAATGCAGTTGGTTTATTTATTTTATTTATTTCTGGTATTTGTACCCTGTCTCTTCTCTACCCCCGAAGGGGGACTCAGGATGGCTTACATTAGTAACAGTACAAAGCCGCTACATCACAATTGACACCTCTATCAGCTATGGCTCAATGCTGTGGAAGCATGGCAGTTGTTATTATTCCATTTCTCCCCCAAAATTATTTATTATTTATTTATTTGTATTCCGCCTTTCTCTACCCCAAAGCAGACTCAAGGCGTCTTTATATATGGCAAGTATTCAATGCCTTTGGACAACAAACAGTCAGAATGCACTTCAGTTAAATGAAATGCACATTAAAACATATAAAATATTGCATTCACTATTAAATTCATGCCATCCTAGGAGACTGAGGGCCCTTCCACACAGTCATATAACCCAGAATATCAATGCAACTATGTGGAAGGGGCAGAGGACCCCATCTACAGCTCTGTATAAAATCCAGATAATCTTTAAACTGGATTATATGACAGTGTCGACTAGTACAACCCAGTTCAAAGCAGATAATCTGGATTATTTGGTTTAATAATTTCGATTGTACTAGCTGCCCCCTGCCACATATTGCTGTGGCCCAGTCTGTGTATATGTGTTTTGTGTGTGTATATATGTCTATATTTGTATATATGTGGTTTTGTGCATGCATTGTAATGTGTTTTTGTGGGTTTCTTTTGCTTTTTAAGACTCTTCCGCTGTGTTTTTCAGAGTGATGGTCCCTTGTTAACCTGATAGGTGTATTGTATCCAAATTTGGTGTCAATTCGCCCAGTGGTTTTTGAGTTATTTTAATCCCACAAACGAACATTACATTTTTATTTATATAGATGGTATTGCAGAAGGGGCCTCAATCTACACTGCCATATAATCGAATTCAAAGCCCTCAAACCCTGTTTTCTTTGATTGCAAAACATTGGATTATGCCTTTTGGATCTTAGGGTGTGAGTGCATTGTAGAGTTAATGCGGCCAGAGACCATTTTAAGTGTCATAGAATTATAGAGTTGGAAGAGAACACATGGGGCATCTAGTCCATTCAGGAAAAGCACAAAATACCCCCTGACAGATGGCCATCCCGCCTCTGTTTAAGTGCTGCATTAGTTCCTGTCCCAAAAATTCTCAGAGTTCCCTGGAACCTTAGGTTTCTGTGAGAGATTGTGACTGAACAAAAAAACACCCTTTTAGCTGTGATCATAATATTTATCCAGGGGTTTTATGAAATCTTGACATTATTTCAAGGGTTCCATCAGATGAAAGTTGGAAATGGCTGTTCTGTGATATGATCATGTTAGAAGCGCCCCTAATTCCAGTTTCCACTGAACTGTTTAGGCTTGCACAGTCAGCCTAGAGCCATCCAGAATTATTGCATACGTTAGCAGCTGAGCCCAATGCTGAATCCCATATCACACTTACAATTTGCAGAGCTATTTACTGTCTGGCATAGCAGCCAGCTGTTGAACAAAACAAACTCAGAATAATGGCAGGGATCCGTTTTTGTACTTGCCACACTGATTTTTGGATTTTATATTTTGGTAAGTGCTTTCTCTTTCTCAGAAGCTAGGGGTGGATGGAAGTTTCTGTAACAACTGTCAAACAGTGAGATGTTTTTCAACTCCACAGCCAGAACAAACTTCTGTGTTCCTTTGAAGTTCAGCAACATGTTACAGACAAAGACTTGCCTTTGTTGAAAGGTCACGGTTGTGAAGGGAGTCAGGTGTTTTTACTGGAGCAAAAAACCCTAGTTCTGTGCTTCCTTGCCTAAATGGCCACTACTTTCCAGAGGCACAGACTTGTATGTAATTGGTGCGCTGCCATCTCCCAATCTCAGGATGAAAAAGAGTAGTTCAGTAGCTTTAGATATTTATAATTGTACAACTGAACTGAGGTGGTTAGAGGCCATCAGAAAGGAGTACCAATGAATGGTCTTTTGTTGAAAATAGGATTTGTCCATGGAAAGGTCTTAATAATATGATCTGTAGAGGCAGGTTTACAGACCAATTCTGCATGTGTCACTTGGACAGTAGGTCCTACCCAACTTACTCCCATGTAAATGTCAATGTAGAGTTGCAATCTTAATTCTAATTATGCATCAGCAATTCCCCAACCTGATCAATTTAAAAATCAGGGTGGGTTGTTTTAAAATACAATTAAGACATATTTTGGACCATGGTATAGATCTGACTATTAAAATATACTACTGTACAACTCAATAGTTTACAATGTCTAGGAATGTATCAGTTGTGGATATTTTAGATCACTTTTCTTCTTTATCAGTAAATTAAAAGTATTTGAGGAAATAGTCATATATAACATACAATGGATGCAGGGCTTGAAAATTAAACAGTGAATACAGAGTGGAGGCAGCAGTAAGTCCACTGCAAGGCTCACATTATGAGAACCCTCCTATTGCCACTTCTGCCTTATTGCCAAATGAGTAGAAGTGCTGCAACCACCACCTTGAAGGTAGAAGCTGATGACTGGCATACTCATCAGAGGTGGTCAATCTCAATGAGTATGTGCTTGGCATCCATGGCTTGCCTTTACTGCCCTATGTCAGATTCCATAATTTTTTGCTATCCACATGGGGTCTTTTTTAAATATGATTTTTATTAGTGAATAACATAAGTGACATTAAACAAACACTTATTGAACACACAAATAATTAAAATAGCTTATACATACCTAACATACTGGTTTTTATATAGTGAAAGTGGGTGAACATTATAAAAAGAAAAGTGGGAATATAGAAGCGAAAATAAAGGGAGAAAAAAAGGAAAAAGAAAAGAAGAAAAAGGAGCAAAAAATCAGCATCATGACGAATATACACATACATTTTTCCTTATCACTTTCAGATCGCTTCCCATGGTATTACTTAACTCTCTTTCCCTACATGTTCCTAATATATATGCCACTTCCACATGGGGTCTTGAAATACCTGTGGAACCAAACATCCTAGCATATGGACTTAACAACGCTAGTCCACATGAACAGGTCTTGGCCTTGAATGGTTTTTTGTGGCTCCACCACTGCACATTTTTTGAGTATTCAGCTCACACAGCATGACCTCTCTTCATCTCAAGCCAAGTGCCAGCAAGGCATTTCTTCCATTGCCCTTTCCACAAAGCTTACAGGGGTAATACTCGAGGGGTGTTCATATGGACTCTGGTTGCTAAGGCTTGCTTAGTCACCAGTATGAACAAATTCCATGGTTCTGCTAGTAGTGGGTGGGTTGGACACACACTCCCGTGTTTCAGAAGACAAAAAAAGAACAATAAAAACGTGGAAAAAATCAATAAAACAAATTCCCCATAGTGTCAAGCAAATATAACACACTTATCCTATAGAAACTGAAAAACCAGAAGTTCTAATGTTTTGATATTGTACATAGCCTTAAAAAGTGTTCTCATTTTTAGATATGGTTTTGAGACATCAGATATGTGAATATCTTGTCTAAGACATATTATTTATCATCCTGAAAGAAAATATCCCATAACCCTCACTTCCATTTTCTTTCAGAATAAGGGGGCTTCCAATTTTCCATTTCCCCCGCAGGCTGTTGGATTTTATTATGTAAAGCCGCTGGTTTTTTTTTTTTCTGACTTTTGGGTTCTCATTAACCAAGTAGCAACTGTACTTCAGAGGCATATCTTCTTTGAATCTAAGGATCCTATTTAACCTTAATGGTTACAAACCACTGATAGTCTTGTTCTGAAAGTTCAGGCAACCTGTCTAAGGTCATTTAAGCCACCTGCTGTTGCCGACATATTTTTGTCATGAGTTCTTTAGACTAATATTTTGATTTCCCCATAGATATTTTACTTAGTTGATTGTAATAATCTGATTTGTATATATCTGGACATGATTGATTCTCAGAATTGGTTTACTAAAGCAGCAGTCTTAATTTTCATAAAGATCACAACTTCATTTATATTAAAATACAAAGCAAGTGTGTTTCTCACTCAGTGGTTTTTTAATGTGAATTTAAAATTATTGTATATTGCTTTTGATTAATTGGTTTATTGTTTATAGGTTACACATGTTGAGCCTTGGGAGAAAGGAAGCAGAAAAACGGCAGGCCAGACAGGGATGTGCGGAGGGGTAAGTAGAAGTACGTGCCTTCTGAATTCTTGGAGTTTTCTATATGATAGCTACAATTGTGTGTTTTGCCAAATCAATGTAAAAAGAAAAATACAGTGTCACAAGCTTTATTTGAAATTGGTAAATTTGTCTACCGAAATGTCCCATCAATAAGATCTTATTATTGGTGAGACTGAGTTCTTGAAAGTCACTACGACTGCTTTGTTGCTGTAGTAGCTAGGAAAAAAGAAAACATGAACTACAGCTATATACAGGAGGAAGCCCTTATTCCATAGTTGCAAATAGAACCTTGTGCACAAACAGGTTCTGGCCATCTGGCATGTATGTAAGCCAGTAATGTGGGATGGGAAACTTTCCATGGAAACCAGTAGCATCAGATAGTTTTGGTGTGGAATTTTTTTCATTTCTGAAAGCACATTTTTATGATGTTAATTAGTAACAAAGTGAAAGGGTGCAATATTAATTAAGTTGGGCAATTTTAAAGCTTTTCAAATGGTTATAACAAAATCTGCATATCTAATAGAAAGTGTTCATATGACATCATAACTCAAAAATCGCTGGACTAATTGCCACCAACTTTGGCCACAAGACACGTACTAACCCAAGGAGTGACTATCACTCAAAAAATTTATTTTGTCATTTGAGAGATGTAGTCGCTGGGATTTATAGTTAACCTACAATCAAAGAGCATTCTGAATTCCACTAATAATGGGATTGAACCAAACTTGGCACAAACGACTTCCATGGCAAACAGAAAACACTAGAAGGGTTTGGTGGGCATTGACCTTGAGTTTTGGAGTTGTAGTTCACCTACATCCAGAGAGCACTGTGGACTCAAACAATGAAGCATGTAGACCAAACTTGGCACAAATACTCCATATGCTCAAATATGAACACTGATGGAGTTTGGGGGAAATAGACCTTTACATTCGGGAGTTGTAGTTACTGGGATTTATAGTTCACTTACAATCAAAGAGTATTCTCAACTCCACCAACAATAGAATTGGGCCAAACCTCCCACACAGGACCCCTATAACCAACAGTGTGTTTTCTGATGGTCTTTGGCGACCCTTCTGACACCCCCCTTGCAACCTCCACCCCAGGGGTCCCGACCCCCAGGTTGGGAAAAGCTGCCTTAAAGCCATCCTGTTCAACTCCCTTCACCAGGGCAAAGCCCCCCTGACAAAGAGCCATTACACACACACACACTCACACACATATATATATATACACACACACACACACGTATACACACATGTTTAAGACAGATATAGTATTATAAATTTGAAAGGGACCCCTAAAGAAGAAACAATTATATGTTGCATGTTCCAGAGTAGGCAAACCAGACAATCTCTACATCAACACTGACAAAAAAACAACAAGAAATACTGTTTACCCACAAGCATAAAGATATTATATATTTTTATACTGGGCCACAGCAACGCGTGGCAGGGGACAGCTAGTCTAATACTAACCAGTTTAAAAACCTTGCCTTAAAAGAAAAAAATGTAAACCCTTATCTATTTAGGGCATTGGCAGATCTTTTGAATTGGAACCATTAGTATAAATACGCACACATTTCCTCTTTGGCAGGAGTGCTTTTTGTTTAGTAGGTGGAAAGACTACATTTTCTTCCCATGTGTAAAGATTATTGCATACTTCATATCCTGATGAGGCTTTTCAGCTTCAGCAAATGCTAGTCATGGTTTATCTTCTATATTACCTGTGGCTGGATCAGATTGTTTTCGTAAAGTTTTGAGTTGATAGAAAAAGATACTTGAATATAAATGAAAAGCAAGTTATGTTGAATACTTTCCCCTTTTGTTCCCAACATTTAAAGGTGCGTGGTGTTGGAACTGGTGGTATAGTATCTACAGCCTTTTGTCTCCTCTACAAGTTATTTACCCTGAAGCTAACTCGTAAGCAAGTGATGGGACTGATAACACATACAGACTCTCCTTATATTAGGGCCCTTGGATTCATGTATATTAGGTAAGCAGCAATATAATTAATTTTCACGTAAATATCTTCATTGCAAATACCATTGATTTATGCTATTTCTTTGTATTTGAAGGTACACACAGCCTCCAACAGATTTATGGGACTGGTTTGAATCTTTTCTTGATGATGAGGAGGTATGTCAACAAGGGTAATACTTTGTTTTCTTTTTCTTTTTTTCTGACATATTAATAGAAATAACTGAGTTAAATGTCTTTAGGTTGGAAAGCGTTAAAAGAAAAAAATATGATGGGAAGTAAAACCTTTGTCATTTTGGATGGTTTGCAAGATTGCCATGAACAATAATTAAATACCATTACTATACCCTCAAAATAGTTAAAAGTATCATGTATCGTGAATCTAAGTGCTTTGCAGGGGAAGGCATTGGTAGACTGATGCTAACAGACCAGGAAACAAAAGCAAAAGAAATACATAAATCTTACATTTTTCACAGTAAGTGTGTTATACTTTATAGAATTCACTAAATATTCTCAATACGGGAGGGGGGGGGAGTTCATAGTACAGTCTTGTAGAGCAGTGTTTCTCAACCTGGGGGTTGGGACCCCTGAGGGGGTCGTGAGGGGGTGTCAGGGGGGTTGCCAAAGACCATCAGAAAACACAATATTTTCTGTTGGGCATCAGGATTCTGTGTGGGAAGTTTGGCCCAATTCGATCATTTGTGGGGTTCAGAATGCTCTTTGATTGTAGGTGAACTATAAATCCCAGCAACTACAACTCCCAAATGTCAAGGTTTGTTTCCCCCAAACTCCACCAGTGCTCACATTTGGGTATATTGAGTATTTGTGCCAAGTTTGGTTCAGATCCATCATTGTTTGAGTCCACAGTACTCTCTGGATGTGGGTGAACTACAACGCCAAAACRCAAGGTCCGTGCTCATAAAATCCTTCCAGTATTTTCTMTTTGTCATGGGAGTATTTTGTGCCAAGTTTGGTTCAATTCCATCATTGGTGGAATTCAGAATGCTCTTTGATTGCAGGTTAACTATAAATCCCAGCAACTATATCTCCCAAATGATAAAAATCAATCCAGCCCCCGACCCCACCAATATTCAAATTTGGACGTATCAGGTATTTGTGCCAAATTTGGTCCGGTGAATGAAAATACATTCTGAATATCAGATATTTACATTACATTTTAAACAGAGGGTGGATGGCCATCTGCCAGGGGTGCTTTGAATATTCAAATATTCCTTATTCTTGGCAGGGGGTTGTACTGGATGGCCCATGAGGCCTCTTCCAATTCTATGATTCTGATTCTATTATTCATAACAGTAGCCAAAATTACAGTTACGAAGTAGCAACGAAAATAATTTTATGGTTGGGGGTCACCACAAAATGGGGGGCTGTATTAAGGGGTCACGCCATTAAGAAGGTTGAGAACCACTGTTGTAGAGTAACCTGATGTTCTAATTCCTACTACAATAGACTTTGGGTTTTTTAAAAAGGTTTTAATGAGATATAGGCACTCAGTCTCTTCATATCTGGCTTAGAATTTCATTTTTGCTGTTTACCATATAATTAGATTAAAATGCAGCAGCACTGAGAGAGAATTTCCATGTGTTGTATTTCCCTCGTTCCACCACTGCTGAAGATTTACCAAAAGTAGATCAAACTGCTCTGTTTTCCCCAGTTCTTCACTTTTGAAGATGTGAAAGTAGATCAGTATGCTCTCTCAGTGCATCTGCCTAAACCGGTTAATGGTTTGACTAATTCTGATATTTGTTAAATACACTATTTCTGAATGTACCTTTCAGGTACCACATTTCAGCTTCTTTAGATCTTTAGATCTCTGTCTAGCCATTTTATTTGGAAAAACTGTATATCTGAGCACTTAAGTGTGTGTGAGTGCAAGCAGTTTTACATTTAGATTTTCTCTTCTGTTGTAGATAACAAATCTCACTTTCCTTGTGTGCTTGCACTATAGGTTTGGGCCTGACAATAGCTGACTAACATGTCCTGAGCTGTGAGAGGGCATAGCAAGAAGGCCTTCATGCGGTAATGACCCTTTTCCGAGACAATGGTCATCATGGATTATGAGTTTCCAATTATTTGTTCCTTTATTTATTTTTTGCATAACTCTAAATTAGAAACATCACTGCTTCATGGCAGTTGGTTTGCTATTGCTTCCAATGTAGATGGAGTCCATTTGTACTACAGCCTTTTCTGATCACTTTTAGTTAGGCCACAGTGCTGAGTTGTGACTGCAGTCCTCAAAATGAGGTTTTAATTTAGACCAAATTATGTTCCATTTTGTGCAGTAGCATAACAAGATGGTAGCACCCGAAACAGCGGAATAGAGGGATTTCATGTTAATCGGTTAAGCAATAGACCCTTTACTATCCAGCAGCAGGATTGGTATATGCACCTGCATGCATTTTCATTAAATCAACCTCCTAGGCTGTAACATATGGCCAAATGCAAAGGTTACAAGAGTTGATGTTCAGAGGCGACAACTTTACAGCAAAAGAAACCTTATAGTCATCGTATTTGAAACTTAGAAGATGGCAATTAGGGTAGCCGTGTTGTTTGAAAAACAAATAAAAGGTTGTTTATCACAATCAGAATTTGTTTTGTTTTGTGTTTGCTTTATGAAGGATCTCGATGTGAAAGCTGGTGGCGGTTGTGTCATGACCATTGGAGAAATGCTGCGTTCCTTCCTTACTAAGCTTGAATGGTTTTCTACATTATTTCCAAGAATTCCTGTACCAGTCCAGAAGAACATAGATCAACAAATAAAAGCCAGACCTAGGAAAATCAAGAAGGACGGCAAGGAAGGAGTAGAAGAAGTAGACAGACACGCAGAGCGTAGACGTTCAAGGTTATACATTAACTTTAAAAAATATTTGCTTAACAGACATGTTCTTACTTTTGTAATTTCACATAATCAAAATATCCTGTCCTTTATATGTGATTTATATTAATAGTATTGTATTTATTGTTTTTGTTTATTGCTTTTGTTTATTGATGTACTGTTGGGCTTGGCCTCATGTAAGCCGCTCCAAGTCCCTTGGGGAGATGGTGGCGGGGTATAAATACAGTTTATTATTATTATTATTATTATTATTATTATTATTATTACGTCCTTAAAACACTGCCTTCTAAAACAATAGCAGTCTGAAATGTTCGAATAGCTTCACATTGTCTCAGTAATCTTTACATATCCCTTTATGAAGATGATAGTATTCTCATATAGAAGATGAGCTTTTACGGTTTTCATTGCTGAAGCAAAATTTAAGCTGGGAAATCTGCTGGTGCACACACTCTTAATTTCCATTATATGGGATGAAGTGATTCCAGGCATTTATCGCCTGTATTAGGATCCTGCTCTCCCAGAGTTTTCAAATTAGGTAATGAGGGCAGTTCCTCATATAACAATTGAACCCGTTCTAAGCTATCTTGAAAATGCTCTGTTGCTTTGTTCGATAATTACTTACTCGGGTGTTTTTTTTAATGAATCCAAACAATCAAAAGGGTTAATGATTCACTAAAAAATTGTAAAAACTCTGTCATCTATTTCTGTTCGCCCTTCTATACATTATGCAAGATGTAATGCAGTTATTTCTATCCATGTCAAAGGTCCAACAAATATTGGAGTCGTTATTAACATCTATAAATTTGACAAGAATACCACTGTTACAAATGGCTGCAAAATAAGGAAAAGATAATCCTAGAATCCTTGTTAGAAAAACTGAATTTCTTAAGCGTTTGTTTTCATGTAGGTCTCCAAGGAGGTCCTTGAGTCCCAGGAGGTCACCTAGAAGATCAAGAAGCAGAAGTCGTCACCGAGAAGGCCGTGGATCATCCAGTTTTGATAGAGAATTGGAAAGAGAAAGAGAGCGGCAAAGGCTAGAACGTGAAGCCAAGGAGAGAGACAGGGAGAGGCGACAGTCCCGAAGTTCTGATCGAACGTTGGAACGTCGTCGAAGCAGAAGCCGAGAGAGGCACAGGAGTCGAAGCCGTGACCGGAAAGGAGACAGAAGAGAGCGGGACAGGGAGAGGGAGAAAGAAAATGAACGCAGTAGAAAGAAGGAGCGTGACTATGATAAAGACAGAGGCATTGAAAGGGAGAGAGAGCGATCCAGAGAGAGAGATCGCTCAAGAGAAAAATCAAAAGACAGAAAATGCAGAAGTGAAATAGATGAGAGGAGGCATAAAGATGAAAAAGATGAAAGGAGACATAGAGAGGAGAAGAGAGATTCCAAAAAAGAGAGGAGACACAGCAGGAGCCGAAGTAGGGATCGGAAGCATAGAAGTAGAAGTGTGAGTAGGAATGCTGGCAAGCACAGCAGGAGCAGGAGTAAAGAGAAATTGAGTAAACACAAGAGTGAAAGTAAAGAGAAATCAAATAAACGGAGTAGAAGCAGAAGCAGAGGAAGAACTGATAGTAGTGAAAAGTCCCGAAAGCGAGACCGTAGCCCCAGTAAAGAGAGGTCGCGAAAACGTAGCAAAAGCAAAGAACGTTCCCACAAACATGACCACAGTGATAAGGACCACTCAAACAAACACGATCGCCGGAGCCAAAGCACAGAACGAGAGAATCAAAAACAATCTAAAAACAAAGATGAGACTGTATGAATGTTCAGAAGTGGATCACATTGAATCCTATAAATGTTTTGAAACCTTGCTTATTTTTTTTCTTAAAGTTAAGATTGTGCAGTAGTTGATGAGCACTCTTCAACCTCCCTTTAGGCTGCAGATTGTCATTTCCTATTTTGAGTAGGGAAGTGCCTTTGTAATCCCATTAAACGCGTTGACTATTTCAGCCCATTTGTTGAGTTACATTCATGATGCAAATCTGTTCGTGCATTTTTTTAAAAATTGTTCAGATGTTTCTGAAATGTACAATCTGTACATATGTCCTGAAACTGTTCTAATTCTTTTGGCATGGTTTGCCATGTTGGTTAAATTTATATACGGCAATAAAACTGCCACTAATTCTACTTTGTTTTATAGATGTGGAATTATGGTTTCTATCTGAATTAGCATGGCTGAGCTTTGCATAATAGTATGGCAGAAGCTTTTAAGGATGGGTTTTGAACATGTATTATATCTAAAATATTTATGTGCATTCAACATCCACGAAGGTCGCGGTTCTAGGACTCGTGTGTCCATTTGTACTTCTTGTCTTGGAAAGCATTCAGAATGCAGTTTTATTTGTGAAACTCAGTGAATAATACATTTAGATTAGCCTTTCAAAGTAACACAGGGCCTATGGTTTTGTTTCTGGTGTCTTTGTCATAGCTGAGGTTGATGCTACCTCTTAGGGACACTGTTAAGACTGATACACCTAAGTATCATATCTGTGTAGATTTTCTGGTAAGGTTGTATTCTTCATGTAAACATTTTTTCAATAGTTTTTTTTTTACATGCCACTGTTCTGTCGTTCGTAAAACAACCCTATGATAACAAAGAAACTGAGTTAATTGAGTCAGGGAAACCAAATAAGGTCAATCAGCAAACTTCAGGTTCAAGCTTCAAAATATTTTCAAGCAGACCATCTCCATATTCTCCTTTTCTTTAAGGCATTATGGTTGTTGGTTTTTAGAAGGACTTGAAATCACTGCTTGAGCTGAAGCATTTTTCTCCAGCAAGAAAAAAAGTAGTTACACTGGTTATATGTGAGATAATGTCAAAATACAGTGTTGAAAGAAAAATCATATCACAAACGTAGAATTTGTTTGGTAGACTTGTTCTAGTGACCTGTATAAGAAATATAAAATATCTGGAATAAAGACTGGATTAATTTATATGTGGCTATCCGGTTCATTGCCAGGAAAAAAAGTCATTTGTGGCTTGTTTTTCATAAATATTAGAATTGCCAGTTCAAAGAGTAGGTTCCTCTAGTATCTGCATTTGATAGGTCAACCTTCTAATGGTGTTATAAGAGGCACATACTTTAGTAAACTTTTCCATATTGTTTAGTAAATACCATTTTTTTTTCAGTTCACTGTTGCTCATGAAGTTATTGGATATGCAGCTAAGGAGAGTGAAAATAAGTTGCCCATGCTCCTTCAGGAAACATATGAAAGAGGTCTATTTTGGACATTTTAGGATCCAATGAAATTGAAAGGCAATACAAGAACATTCAATACTTGTCCCAATAAAATGATGGAAATATTAATACAGGTATATTCTTACCAGCTTGCTTCAGTCTGTTTTTTCAAGAAGTCCCTGGTGGTGATCTGCACCTCTCCTTCCTCTGTAAATCACTAAAGAATTATATAGAAAAAAAGGTTCAGTTCAACAATTTAAGGCTTGAGTGACCAGCAGTTTAGTGTGGTTCATTTTGATTCCATATGGATTAAATGAGTGTTCACAGTGCCTTTGCTTGCAGAATAAAAATTTACTCTTGGATGAGCATCCTCATCCAAGATCTGTTGGGATTCGCTTGACTGGAATATATGGCAGTGTGGACTCAGATAATCCAATTCAAAGCAGATATTGTGGGATTATCTGCTTTGATATTTAGGGGTACATGACTGTATGGAAGGACCCTAAGTGATGGAAACCAGGCTGAATATCCCAATTGTTTCTGCTGTTAACCTCTTTTCTGTCTATAAAATAGAAGCCCAATAGGATAATATGGTACATTTGGAAGTTGAGCCGTGATGCAGTTTGGTTTGTAAAAAAAGACAATTGATGGCCACCTCACCAGATAGAAAGATTCTGAATTAATTTTATTGCATGTTCACACTTGAATATTTTTTGTTTTTGTGCCTAAGCTATTTTCCCATAGGTATCTTAATCATTTTATTCCAGTTTAGGTTTATAATATGTTAACTTTATTTGTTTCCCTTCAGCTTTTCAAAATCTATCTGAAAGCTGCCATCACATGGTAGATAGCAAGCTTGAACCAATAGGTTACATCATGGGGCTGTTAAGATGTCTAGGAGTTTGGCTCCTTCAAGCTCTGGTCTACATAGTAAGCCTTAGGAAAAATAGATTAAGAAACACAGTTATTTAATTTGTATGCCTTTTATTGGGCTTTGTATAAAATGGTAACAAGCACCTTGACAGTGACGTATTTCTTTACAAAATAGTAATAAGGTCTCATGGTAGAATTTGAATTTTCTGATTATAAATGTTTTTGTTTTCTTTTGGGGGTTTTTTGGTCGTGTCAGGAGCGACTTGAGAAACTGCAGGGTCACTTCTGGTGTGAGAGAATTGGCCGTCTGCAAGGACGTTGCCCAGGGAACGCCCGGATGTTTTGATGTTTTATCATCCTTGTGGGAGGCTTCTCTCATGTCCCCGCATGAGGAGCTGAAGCTGATAGAGGGAGCTCATCCGCGCTCTCCGCGGATTCGAATCTGCGACCTGTCAGTATTCAGTCCTGCTGACACTGGGGTTTAACCACTGTGCTACCGGGGGCTTCTAATTTTCTAATTTCCTAATAATTTTCTGATTATAAATGCTTAAGTCAGTGTTTCTCAACCTTCCTAATGCTGTGACCCCTGAATACAGTTCCTCCTGTTGTGGTGACTCCCAACCATAATATTATTTTTGTTGCTACTTCATAATTGTGCTACTGTTCTGAATCGTCATGTAAAGATCTGATATGCAGGATGTATTTTCATTCACTGGACCAAATTTGGCACAAATACCCGATATGCCCAAATTTGAATACTGGTGGGGTTGGGTTGGGGATTGATTTTGTCATTTGGGATTTGTAGTTGCTGCTGGGATTTATAGTTCACCTACAATCAAAGAGCATTCTAAGCTCCACCAACGATGGAAGTGAAACTAACTTGGCACATAGAACTCCCATGACCAACAGAAAATACTGGAAAGATTTGGTGGGCATGACCTTGAGTTTTTGAATTGTACTTCACCTACATCCAGAGAGCACTGTGGACTCAAAACAATGATGGATCTGGACCAAACTTGGCACAAATACTCAATATTCCCAAATGTGAACACTGGTGGAGTTTGGGGGGAAATAGACCTTGACATTTGGGAGTTGCAGTTGCTGGGATTTATAGTTTATAGAGATTTATAGAGCATTCTGAACTCCACCAACAATAGAATTGGGCCAAACTTCTCACACAGAAACTCCATGATCAACAGAAAATACTGGAGGGATTTGTGTGAACTGACATTAGTTTAGTGTTCACCTACATCCAGAGAGTACTGTAAACCCAAAATACTGTGCCAAGGGGGTTCCTAAGACCATCAGAAATATGTGTTTTCTGATGGTCTTTGGTAACCCCTCTGAAACCCCCTCGCGACCCCCCCCCCCAGGGGCCCCAACCTCCAGGTTGAGAAACACTGGCTTAAGTCATAGTTTAAAAGAGGCACTATCTTAAAATAAATATGACTTTATAAAGACACCCAAGTTTACTTACCCATTCCAACTGAACTCCCAGAACAAGTCACTACAAAAATGAACATGCAATGATGAATTATTTAAAAGTTCAAAGCTTTACTTTTAAAAGAGAATTTGATATTATTTATTCAGGAAATATTTATATAGAGAGATTAATATTTTGAAAATGAAGTAATGGTTCTGGATGGTTAGTTTTGAACACTGAAACCAGTCTTTAAATGCATATTTCCAAAATTTAAAAGTGCTGGCTTGAAAATGTGAGTTTAAAAATAGATGGACCTACAACCATAGCAGTTCTGTGATTTAATATTTGTAGTAGTTGTACACAAAATCAGAAACTGTATTCAGATGTATCTTCATAGATAGATGTCTAGCATTACTAGGCAAGTGAAGATATTGACAAACCATCCACCCACAAAATCACTATGCAGAGAAAGTTCATTTTCTCAGTCTCCAAGATGCTCCTTTGCATGCTGATACTCCAGACTGACATGGCTATGTCTTGAATTCTGCTTGACTTGTAAGCAATACAGTTGTTATTCTGAAATGCAGCCGTATAATAAACATATTTTGCTGCTTTATAGAATTCATGTCCATGAAAATGTCCACATACTTTGGCAGCACATCATAAACAATAACTATTACAGAATAGGCATTTAGGGATTACAGTTTATTTCTTTAATATGGCTCACAATGTAGAGTTTACTCTGTAGCTATCACCAAAAATAGTTCACAGTGGCATAAGATACAGCAAGTTTTAAGACATTTTTGTAACATCTGTATGATAATCCATTTTAGGTGGCCCTCAGTGAGGAACAGTAGACTAGAAAGTTGCTACGTTGCTGTTTTCCACTTTACATTGCTCAATTTCCCCCAAATTTGACATTTCTATCAGGTTCCCCATTTATTTGTTTGTTTATTTTGGGCATTTTTACCCCACCTTTCACCAGTTTTACCCAAGACAGCTTACAACATAGTCTTTACCTGAATATATCTTCTTAGGACAAAATCCAAGTCTTGATCCTTCATCAGTTACCGGTGACACCACAACTGTATAGACATCTCCACAGGGTATCTCAGTGATATCGCAGTAGGTCAGGTCTGTGTTAGGCGTACAGGTGAAATTTCCTTTTGATCCGTAAAGAGCAGTACTATAGTTTATTGAGCCTTCAGAGGTATGCCAATGTATTCGTATGCCATTGTTGTCCAGTCTGTATAGTTGCACCCCAGAAGGGCAGCAGGCACCTGAGAAGAAGAAAATCAGCTTTGCTGTATTTCATCCCGCATAGAGAGTGCCTAGCCAATATAAAGTCAAATTGAGTCATCTTGATGAAATGTCTATGCTATTAGAGCAGCTCTCTAAGAAATTGTGAATTATCTAGGCTCACAAGACAACAATGAGAATTTATGAACATCTGAAGCACAGCTGTAATAATGCTTCTGAATGTCCCAAGATTAGCTCTTCAGACAGACAGATAGGTAGCTTAACCTTACCCCCAGATACCAAGATGTATTAAATCACCCCAATATATTCATGTATTTAGCATTCTACCCCATTCTTTTTACCGGGTTTGAGAAAACTGTTGTTTCAGCTGCCTCTAAGATCCTAGAGACCTTTAAATGCTCGTGACTGGATTGTTGTGTTCCTCCAAGTGGTTTCCAACTTGTAGCAACCCTATAATGGAGTTTTCTTGGCAAGATATTTCCAGAGGGTTGCCATTATCTTCCTCTGATGCCATGTGTGATTTGCCCAGGCACCTAGAAAATTTCCAGGCAGTGATTCAAACTATTGTCTAGTCCAGTGCTTAAGGAACATTGGTTCAATGTATATGGGATGCCACTCTTGCCCACCACTGTAGTTTGTTGTGTGCCTTCAAGTCAATGACAGACTTCATGGTGATTCTAAAGTATATCTCACAGAATTTTCTTGGCAAGATTTCTTTATAGCTTGTTGTTGTTCATTCGTTCAATTGTTTCCGACTCTTCGTGACTTCATGGACGAGCCCACGCCAGAGCACCCTGTTGGTCGTCACCACCCCCAGCTCCTTCAAGGTCAATCCAGTCACTTCAAGGATACCATCCATCCATCTTGCCATTAGTTGGCCCCTCTTCCTTTTTCCTTCCATTTTCCCCAGCATCATTGTCTTCTCTAAGCTTTCCTGTCTGTTCATGATGTGGCCAAAGTACTTCATCTTGGCCTCTACTATCTTTCCCTCCAATGAGCAGTCGAGCTTTATTTCCTGAAGTATGGACTGGTTGGATCTTCTCGCTGTCCAAGGCACTCTCAGCACTTTCCTCCAACACCACAGTTCAGAAGTGTCTATCTTCCTTTGCTCAGCCTTCCCTATGGTCCAGCTCTCACATCCGTAGGTTACTATGGGGAATACCATTGCTTTAACTTGGCGGATCTTTGCTGCCAGTGTGATGTCTCTACTCTTCACTTTTTTATCAAGATTGGTCATTGCTATCCTCCCAAGAAGTAAGCATTTCCTGATTTCCTGGCTGTAGTCTGTGCCTTTATAGTTTACATTGGAGTAAACATATGGCTTGATTTTGATCAACGAGTTCTCAACTGAAAATGCTCCACTTTTAACTTGCCTTTTAAAACCTAGGAACTATAGATTAAACAGTACAATTTTCAGATGTAATTTGTTGAATGCAACTTCTATTTATCAGCTCATGAAGCACAGAATCTTAGATCTAGAGAATGATTAAGGCAAATAATCCCATTGAATGTATTGTTGAAGGCTTCCATGGCTGGAATCACTGGGTTGTAGGTTTTTTGGGCTATATGGCGATGTTCTAGAAACATCTCTCCTGATGTTTCGCCTGCATCTATGGCAGGCATCCTCAGAGGTTGTGACCTCACAACCTCTGAGGATGCCTGTCATAGATGCAGGTGAAACATCAGGAGAGAATGCTTCTAGAACATCACCATATAGCCCGAAAAACCTACAACATTCCCACTGAATGTTCTGTCCTCACCACCATCTAAATATTTTCCAGAGGAATTTGAGCACCTGGAACTGTGTAAGATTGGGAAGTAGGATATAGGCACCTCCATTTGCTCTGTACAACTCTGGCAATTCCAAAGGCATGTAGGGATATTGGGGGGAGGCGATGGTGAGGAATTCTTGTTTCAAATTTATTCAACTTAAGGTTTTTAAAATCCAATATAATGAGCATAAATTACCAAAAAATGAACGCTTTGGAGAAATACAGTGCGTTTACTTTTATTTTAAAGCTATTTTCCATGTACGTACTTGATGAAAATCCTCCATATGTACAATTTGATATTAAACCTGTTTCACTAATTGCTTGGACAGACACACTGTAGTTGGTTCCACATGTAATGCATCCCAGGAGGCAGTACTTCTGGAGCGTGTGGCACCTGGCAAATCCTGTGTGTGCTTCCAAAGTTGTTATGTGTGTTATTGCACCAGTCCCAGAAGACCAGCTGATGTTTGTTACAGACTGTGTCACTTGGGTTACCGTAAGATCAGCCGGGCAGCAAGGAGCTGAAAAGAAGAAAAATGTGATTATGTTGTCGAAGGCTTTCATGGCCAGAATCACAGGGTTGCTGTGAGTTTTCCAGGCAGTATGGCCCATGTTCCAGAAGCATTCTCTCCTGATGGTTTTGGCCACATCTATGGCAGGCATCCTCAGAGGTGAGAACTGAGATGTGGGAATGCTTCTGGAACAGGCCAAACAGCCCAGGAAACTCACAGCAACCCAAAATATCATTGTTTCTGTTTTGTTTTTCAGGCAAATACAGAGATCTCCCTTCTTAATATATTTTAGCAGTTTAGAAGTATTTGAATGAATTTTCAATGCCTAAAAGGAACATCAGACTCTCATACATGCATAATTTTGCACTGACTACCATTAATTTCTGTAATATTTTCCATCCTCATTTTATCTCCTGAAATATGCTATATCCTGTGGATGTCCATCTAAAAACACAAAGGGTAACAGTCAGTCTTGTAAAAGCAGTAAAATGTGCTGAAGTTTAACTTGTATTCAGCATTTACAACCTGAGAAGAACATCTGATTTTAATTACTATTTTTTAAAAATGAAGTTAAAGATATGATGAAATGTTTACAGTATTATATTCTGTTCATTTGGCCCAGTCTGATTTCCTAGTAGTCCAGTCCTCTAACTGGATCAATCAACTAGCACTTTATCTGTCTTTTATGCAAGTAAATATATGCAGTATTTACCAAATGACAGTATAGATTCCTTTGTTATATTGGAAGAGGGATAAACTAAAAGTTTCATATTTTAAAACAGTTCCTAGTAAAGACAGATGCTTAATTTTATTTATTTTATTTATTTATTTCGAGCACTTCTAGCCCGCCCTTCTCAACCCCCTAGGGGGGACTCAGGGCGGCTTCCAGCCGGCACATATTCAATGCCTACAATTCAATGCAATAAATAACATAACAACAATAAACATCAATAGTTAAAACATTAAATTAATGCAATAAAATCTCCTAAAAGGTCAGCCTGGTGGCCATTGTTTCGCCGGTACATGAGTCCATTCAGCATATCGTAATCCATTTCCAAAGCTTTTAGTCGTCATTGTCCTTATCAGTCTGCCTGATTACTCAAAGGCCTGGTCTCATATCCATGTTTTTAATTTGCTTCTAAAAGAGAGGAGGGATGGCGATGATCTAATTTCCCCGGGGAGTGAATTCCACAGGCAGGGGCCACCACCGAGAAGGCCCTGTCCCTTGTCCCTGCCAGTCTTGTTTGTGACAAAGGCGGGGCCGAGAGCAGGGCTCCTCCAGATCTTAAATTCCTAGGTGGGACGTAGACAGAAATACGTTCCATCCCTCGAGACTTAAGGTGGGTGGCGATGGCGGCAGGCTGGGGTGACTAGGAGCTCCTAGAAACCCAACCACGTAGAGAGGTCTGGAGGAGCTACAGTCCCCACTCTCCTGGTGGATCGATTATGGGAAGTGTCGCATAGCCCAGTAGTTGTGACCCCAAAGACCCCAGTGGGACCCCTGCCCTTCAAGGGAGAGGTTCCGAAAGGGCCCGGGGACGCCGGAGGACAAGTGGACCACTCCGTGGGAAGCGGATCAAAAGGATCCGTAGACATTGCCAGCGCTGCTCACCTTAAAAGAGGAAACCACCAGTTTTGAAGGCGGAGAGTCAAGAAAGAGAAACGTAAGTTTCCATAAGAACAAATTCTTATTCAAAAGACGGGAGGGACCTCTTGAATCTTTTTAAATGAAATGAGCAAAAGGCTTGAAATATAAGGTCCCCTCTCTTAAGGATGTTTTCCATCTCATTGCTGTGGAAGATCTAGGGCTTTCGGACAGGCCCTATATCCCAGGATCTGATCCCAGATTTTCGGCTTTAAACTGGATTATATGAGTCTGCACTATCAGATCCTGGGATATAGGGCCTGTCTGGAAGGGCTCACAGAGAGGTGTTCTCGCAAGGTATTTTTAGATCCTCCAACATGATTCCCTAGTTAATTAATTTCTCTAGGGTTCACACCTAAATGTATACCCTACAGATATGGGGGTTGTACTGGATTATTAAATGAGAGTGATCCCAAAATGTGAACAGCATCTCTAAATCATTTGCAACTTACCAGTTTCTAAGGGGACACTGTAACTCGGCAAGCTCTGCCCTGCTTCTGTCCTTGCTACAACACTGACAGAAAACGAAGACCCACAGGGGAGATTAGGGATAGTACATGAACTTCCAGAGCTTTCACAGTGCCATTTTCCTGCTGCTCCTTTGGCAGTGACTGTATACGTTGCTTCGTCATTATTGGCATGCCAGTATACACTAATTACTGAAACAGCATCCTTAGAGACACTTTTGATTTCTGGACGACATGGAGCTGAAATAAATAAGGCATATTTTAATGGTACACTTAGTTTTGATGTCTCTATTGCATTAATAGATCAGCAGCAGAACGTTATTACATTCGGGGTCTGACATTCCCTGTCAAGAGTCCCCATTCTACAAATGTTTCTGAAGACTATTAGAATCATTCAAAAAACCCAACATACTTTATACAATGCCTATTTCACAATCAATTGCAATATGCCTATATTTATATGGCATCCAATCTAGGTCCTTCCAAAGGTTTCAAGCCACAGCATCCTGCAAAGCCAACTGGCATGAGTAAGAGAGGATGTAGTCTCTTTGGTGCCCTCCAACCTATGGAAGGCACCAAAATAAGGAAAAATAACCTTTTCCAATGCACACATTTTTAAGTGGGCTTCGTAGTATTTAAATCTATATAAATAAAAATGTAATGTTTGTTTGTGGGATCAACATAACTCAAAAACCATTGGATGAATTGACACCAAATTTTGACACAATACACCTATCAGGCCAACAAGTGACCATCACTCATAAAAACACAGCTTAAAGGACAAAGCAAAAAAAACAACAAAAATACATTACAACAAATGCACAAATATATCTATATAAATAAAAATGTAATGTTCATTTGTTCATTAACATAACTCAAAAACCACTGGATGAATTGACACCAAATTTGGACACAGTACACCTATCAGGCCAACGAGTGACCACTCATAAAAACACTGAAAAACACAGTGGAAGGGACATAAAAAAGTCAAAAAAGCAAAAAGACCCCATAGCGCATGTACAAAACAACTCCCCTGGCAAACAAAACACACAATAGCATATCCACACTCTCTTCCAGACTACATCTCCCAGCATCCCCTAGACCAGGCCCTTTAGGAGAGGAGGATGATCCAAGTGCACTGCTTCCAAGATGCAAGCTTTCTTCTTATTGGATTTCTTTGAGAGCATCCAAATCCCTGCATATTTCCAATTTCCTATTCCTGGACTGCAGCTCCCAGTAATCCTCCAGATAGATAGATTAGATTGAGGTAGGTAGGTAGGTAGGTGGACGGATGGATCAGGGGGACTGCTGGGACTTGCAGTCCAAGAATAGGTAGAGAATGAAGAAAGGGGAGAAAGGGAAGGGAAAAGAGGGGGGTGGAAGGAAAGAAGAAGAGAAGGAAGGAAGGAAGGAAGGAAGGAGAGAAAGAAAAAAGGGAAGGAAGGAAGGAAGGAAAGAGGGAAGGAAAGAAAGAAAGAAGAGAAAGAGGGAGGGAAGGTTGGCAACGCATGGTGGGTACAGTTAGTGTGTGTGTGTATGTGTGTATATACACACACACACACACACACACATATATACAGAGAGAGAGAGAGAGAATATATATATATATACACACACATACACAAATATATACGCACACAAAACACATATGCACAGACTGGGCCACAGCAATGCGTGGCAGGAGACGGCTAGTTGCAAATAACAATGCACAGGAATGCACAGACGGCATATGAGTCTGTGAGTATTATTTCAATTATTAAATAAACTACTCTTTTTATTTATTTTCACACATTTACATCTTTTATATTCCTGACACATGCAAGCAATGAAACCAAAACGAACCAGAGTCCAACAGTGATAGTCTATGAAAAATAATTCCTAAGTGCCCTCAACATTTGGAGGTCTAGTACATATCTGGGTTTTGAAAAGAGCTTTGGGAGAAAAGACAGCAGATAAAGTCGTTTGTTAGTAGAAGTGTACTTAGCACAATGCAGGCTTGGAACTTGCTGTCACCCTTAAATTTCGAAAAGCAATGGAAGAAATGCTCTGAACAAGTCCAGGAATAAACTGGAATTTGTTTCTGTTAGTATTGTACAAAAAACAAATTTACTTAGGAAACAAGCGCCATCCTGTTGCACAATGAAAAGGCGTAGGCTAGTATCCTGTTTGTGAATCCTGTCAGTTGGACTTAGGCCAGCAGAACTCACATTTATGTTCATTGTGTAGGTCAGAATTTTGTTTCAACCATGCAATGATCAAAATTTCAAAAAACCATCAGTTGTAAGCAGCAAGATGGACATTTCTGTGTTGTCAAAGAGAAAGGGTGGTGGGCAGGGATACATCCAGTTATTTTCTTTGACTTGCAAGCACCATCCGGGAAAATAAATAGACGCATGATAACATTCATCCTCCTCTGACAATACGGGAATGTTATGGGAAGTGGCTGCATTGCTTCATGATATACATGTGTCACCTCATGTTGGATCTCTGCCATCTTGCAATGGTTCTCAACCTGTGAGTCTTCAGGTGTTTTGGCCTACAACTCCCAGAAATCTCAGCCAGTTTAACAGCTGTTCAAAGAGTTGAAGGCCAAAACATCTGGTGACCCACAGGTTTATTTATTTATTTATTTGGGGTGTTTCTACCCCGCCCTTCTCAACCCCCTAGGGGGGACTCAGGGCGGCTTACAAAAGGCACAATTCGATGCCTAACAATTACAAAATACAATACAATATGTTGTTGTTGTTCATTCGTTCAGTCGTCTCCGACTCTTCGTGACCTCATGGACCAGCCTACGGGAAACATGGATACGGGTACCACCCCCAGCTCCTTCAAGGTCAGTCCAGTCACTTCAAGGATGCCATCCATCCATCTTGCCCTTGGTGCCCCTCTTCCTTTTGCCTTCCACTTTCCCCAGCATAATTGTCTTCTCTAGGCTTTCCTGTCTCCTCATGATGTGGCCAAAGTACTTCAACTTTGTCTCTAGTATCTTTCCTCCAGTGAACAGTCGGGCTTTATTTCCTGGAGGATGGACTGGTTGGATCTTCTCGCAGTCCAAGGCACTCTCAGCACTTTCCTCCAACACCACAGCTCAAAAGCATCGATCTTCCTTCGCTCAGCCTTCCCTACGGTCCAGCTCTCACATCCGTAGGTGACTACAGGGAATACCATGGCTTTGACTAGGCGGATCTTTGTTGCCAGTCTGATGTCTCTACTCTTCACTATTTTATCGAGACTGGACATTGCTCTCCTCCCAAGAAGTAAGCGTCTTCTGATTTCCTGGCTACAGTCTGCATCTGCAGTAATCTTTGCACCTAGAAATACAAAGTCTGTCACGGCCTCCACGGTTTCTCCCTCTATTTTCCAGTTGTCAATCATTCTTGTTGCCATAATCTTGGTTTTTTTGACGTTTAGCTGCAACCTGGCTTTTGCGCTTTCTTCTTTCACCTTGATTAGAAGGCTCCTCAGCTCCTCCTCGCTTTACAATACAATATACAATACACAAATTTACCATATAATATCACAGTTATAACTAATTAAAACAGTCAAACATTATACTAGCAGCAACAAAAACATCTTGTGGTCAATGTTCACCAAATCCAAGTCCGTAAACCATTTAGCATCGTCATTGTCCTTTCCTACTCTGGTCATTATTGGTTGTCTTTGTCCATCTGCCAGCTTACCCGAAGGCCTGGTCCCACATCCGCTCTGTTTCCGCTCTGTAGCTAACCTGTACAGTTCTGTTCTGTGCTTTAAAAATGTTTAAGACTATCAACTCATCCGCCGCATGTGAGGTTCGCTCAGTGATATGGTTTTTGTCAGCAAGGAACCTGCCTGCTGGAGAAATTCATCGACAGATTTGTGAAAAGTACGGTGATACTGTTATGAGTGAAAGCCAAGTGCGTAAGTGGGTACGACAATTCAAAGATGGCCATGACAATGTCCATGATGAGAACCGCTCTGGTCGCCCTTCGATTTGGTGGCTTCAGTTGAAGCAAGGATTCATGAAGAGGGTATTTTAAAATTGGTTCAGAGGTATGATAAGTGTTTGAATAAACTTGGCAACTATGTCAAAAAATAGAGTGAAGTATGTGCTTTCTGAAAATAAATTTACTTTTTTGAAATAAACTTTCATTGTGTACTTATGTTCAAACAGACCTTACTTAAAAAATACCCCTCGTAGAATCTGTAACAGAAAAATATTGTTCACTGGACTTTAAATTAAAACCATACCAGTTGCCACAGGTTTAGATGCACATGATGTGTTGCTGCCTCGGATTTCACTGAAAGAGTAGACGGTGATATTGTATTGAGTGTTGCACTGCAGCGCAGACAAGGTGCATATGGTGGCAGTGTCATTGCACAAGAATTCATTCGGCCAGTCAACAGCTTTGGTTTCATACATTTCAGCACCACGGACAGGAGGCCAGACAATTTGAATTGTGTCGCTTGACACAAACACTGGGTTAAAATCACTGGGGCAGCAAGGTGCTGGGGGGAGAAAAGGAAAGAGTTTATTATGAAATATTAGAGAGTATTATCAGAATAAATGTTTCCTTATGCATTTATCTAAAAGTGACTGGGAGGATCTCGAGCAGTGGGCACTAGGTGCTTTCTCTGGGGACTTTTATAACAGCAACAGAGCAAGGAATCTCTTGATCAGCTCTTAGCAACACTTCCCCACTATTTATGCAGATGACCCCATTATTATTATTATTATTATTATTATTATTATTATTATTATTATCTATATTTATATACTGCCCCTCTCAGGCCAGAGGCGACTTGGAGTGGTTTACAAATGGCACAATTCGATGCCTCATTACAGATATCAACATAGCAGGGATTATGTAATACCAGAGCATCCTTTCTAATTGCTAACATTATTTCTTCTCCTTAGCTACCAAGTGCAGCTGGAGCTCTTCTCAAATGACATAACTTTCCAGGGCCACTTGCTTGGCACTAATAACCATCATGGGTTAGGTAAAGGTTTTCACATTAAATCCAGTCTTGTCTGACTCTGAGGTGTGGTGTTCATCTCTATTTCTAAGCCAAAGAGCCGGCGTTGTCCATAGACACCTCCAAGGTCATGTGGCCAGCATGACTGCATGGAGTGCTGTTACCTTCCCACCGGAGCGGTACCTCTTGATCTACTCACATTTGTATGTTTTCAAACTGCTAGGTTGGCAGAAGCTGGGGCTGACAGCGGAAGCTCTCGCTGCTCCCCGGATTCGAACCTGCAACCTTTCGGTCAACAAGCTTAGCAGCTCACTGCGCCACCGGGGGCTCCTCATACAAAGGCTTAATTTCTTTAATATCATGAGATCCCTTGTATACATATTTTATCATGTAGAGCAGGGGTCTTCAAACTTCTTAAGCAGATGGCCAGCTCACACTCCCTTGGACTGTTGGGGGTCAGAATATAGTTTGAAAAAAGCAAATTCCTGTGCACGCTTCACATATCTTATTTGTAGTGCAAAAAAAAAAGAAAAAAAAAGAAAGAGCAATAGAATGTTTAAAATAAAGAACCATTTAACCAACATACATTTACCAGTATCTCAATGGTAATTGGGGGCCAGATTTTGGCTGATTATATAGCCAAGTTAATTAGGATTTTTGTTGTGTGCCGTCAAGTCATTTTAGTCTTGGGGCAACCATCAATATAGTTTAGGGTAGGGGCCAGGAAAAGGACCTTGGAGGGCCACATCTGGCCTTATTTTGGGTCCCTTGATATAGAACTTATTACCAATTCTGTCTAATCTACCAAATGTTTCTTTATAAATAAATGGATGTTCTTACCTGTTGTATAGTTAAATATGTCCCCTAAGGGGCTCTGCCCCGCCTTGTTGTAGGCAAAGACACTAATGAAATAGGTGAAACCGCAGTCAGATTGGAAGTGGCATTGAGTATGTGATGTGTTGCAGTGCACCTCCAAGCCATCATCACTTTTCACAAAGACAACATAATAATCACTGAGGTCAACATCCGACCAGGAGACTTCAAGGCTTCCAGGCTCATCTTCTTCAATTGTTATACTTTCCGGAGCGCAAGGGACTGCAAAGACAATTTTTCAGCAAATATATCTATATAAATAAAAATGTAATGTTCGTTTGTGGGATTAGCATAACTCAAAAACCACTGGGCGAATTAACACCAAATTTGGCCACAAGACACCTACTAACCTAAGGAGCAACCATCACTAAAAACATATAATTTTGTCATTTGGGAGTTGTAGTTGCTGGGATTTATAGTTAACCTACAATCAAAGAGCATTCTGAACTCCACCAATGATGGCATTGAACCAATCTTGGCACACAGAACTCTAATGACAAATAGAGAATACTGTAAGGGTTTGGCGGGCATTGACCTCGAGTTTGGGAGATGTAGTTCACCTACATCCAGAGAGCATTGGACTCAAACAATGATGGATCTGGACCAAACTTGGCACGAATACTCCATATTCCCAAATATGAACAGAGATGGAGTTTGGGGAAAATAGACCTTGACATTTTGGAGTTGTAGTTACTGGGATTTATAGTTCACCTACAATCAAAGAGCATTCTGAACCCCATCAACAACCACACTGAACCATCAGAAAATACATAAGGCCACCCAGTCCAACTCCCTTCACCAAGGCAAGAAAACGTAAACAAAGCCCTCCTGACAAAGAGCCATCCAGCCATAGATATAAATATATATGATTCACACACACAGAGAGATATAGTATCATAGATTTGAAATGACCCTTAAAGAAGCACAATAATATGTTGCATGTTCCAGAGTAGGCAAACCAGACAATCTCCACATCAACACTGACAAAGAAACAACAAGAAATACTGTTTACCCACAAGCATCAAGACATTGCATATATTAGAAGCCAACACTTTCTCATTACTTTATTTTCCAGATCACCAGACTGGGCCACAGCAATGCGTGGCAGGGGACGGCTTTTTTATATATATATGAAATGTAAAGTTATTTTTTAAAATAATTCTTCAGTAGGAACCAGTCATGAGTGGGGGCAGAGCTCAGAATAAATTTACCGCATTACATTTAGAAAGTAATTTCTCAAACTTTGGAGAAATGTTTATATATTTGAGAAATTACTTTCTAAATGTAATGCGGTAAAGTTATTCTGAGCTCTGCCCTCACTCATGACTGGTTCCTGCTGAAGAATTATTTTTAAAAAATAACATTAAATTTCAGTATCTTAGAAGTAAGGATATAGTTTCTATAAGCCTTTACTGTAGTTGTTTTTTGATGTTTTATTTTTATTTTTTGCTGGCCTATGACACCCACATTGTCACATCAGCATCCAAAAAAGAGGCAGTAACAAGCAGTCTCATCTGATTTCCCCCTCCACTATTGAGCAAGGCCATCTTCCCTGTGCCTATAAACTGATATAAGAAGTTACGTGGCAAAATGAGTACAATTATTACTGGCCAACTAGGGTCATAATATAGATTGTTAATGACTTTGGAAATTTCTTTAGAAAAAGAACTTAATTGTAAGTATATAGTTAGTTTAGTGAGTCACTTCCAATATTTTAAAATTCCAAGAAACAAGATTTTAATTTATGTTTTGTGGATTTGCTGTGCTTTTGTAGAACACCTGATCTCATTGAGACCACTTATACTGAAGATGCACCAGTCTCTTCCAGAGACAGCTGTGTCGGTGAATGCAACAGCATTGATCAGAGGCACATTTATTTACCTACGGGCTTTTTGTTACATAAGTATGGAAGCTAAGTAGGGTCAGCATTGATTAGTACTTGGATGGAAGACCACCAATAAATAATAGGTGCTGTAAGATGCATTTCAGGAAAAGAAAATGACAAAAACCACACCTGCATATTCCTTGCCTATGGGGTTGCCATAAGTCAACTGACAATTTGAAGGCACATACCCACATCTTCAAGTCACTTGTTGGCTTATGACAGTGGTTCTCAACCTGTGGGTCCCTAGATATTTTGGCATTTGACTCCCAAAAATCCTAACAGCTGATAAACTGGGAGTTGTAGGCCAAAACACCTGGTCGAGAACCACTGGCTTATGAGGACCCCATTAATTTCATGAAGAAAATTTCATTTTCTTCATCACGTAACCCTCAGAAGAGGTTTGTAAACTGCTTTGTCTGGAATATAGGCTTAGTATTCCCTGGTATTATCCCATTCATATGATGTCTTAAAAGTATTTTGGCAATTTATGTCTTCACATTAAAGTGAGAAGTGGGAAACTTAAATGGCAGGTACTTCCACCACTATCATCCCTGTATCTTCCACTGGCTGGGTGATGTTAGAGATATGGCCTATACCCCAATATCATTGGGTTTTCATCAAAGCAAATCCCATATCAATGATAATAATAATAATAATAATAATAATAATAATAATCTTTATTTTTACCCTGCCACCATCTCCCCAAAGGGGACTCAGGTTGGATTACATGAGGCCAATTATTATATCTATTATATACTTTATTTTTCATTCTACACCAATATTTTATTATTTATGTCTCCTGTTATAATCAGTTGGCAAAAGTACAGAAGCCTGTGCTTCATCACATGGTTCATTTAATAGGTTCTTTACCTGTTTTGAAAGCCATTGCCTCTGTGGGCAAGCTGGAACCAGCCTCATTACTAGCTACCACAGACAGGGAATATTTCGTCCCACAGTCAAGTGATAGGATCGTGCAAGAAGTAGACGTAGTATTACAGTTGAGTTTGGAGAGGCCACTGAAGGCTGCAATGGCGTATCTGGAAGCCCCCTCTGATGGCATGCAGGAAACAGTTGCTCTAAAAGCTCCACTTTCAAAAACCACTTGGACATCTTCTGGTGCACGGGGCCCTATAATGGAAGGAAAAAATAGATATAAAAAGGAAATGAGTAGAAATTGTTGGGCAAGTGGGCTTATTAGCAAAAGAGCCTCCTCATAAATGTACAGCAGGGTAATTTATTAGCAGCAACGTGATGCAACACCAGTAGCTGAAAGTGATAAAAAGAACAAAAACCAATGTTATCTCTGGGTTGCTGTAGGTAAATACTGTAAATAAATAAATAAATAAAATTCTAAGTTTGGCACTAAACAAAAAATATATCAGGATTCCACAAGATGGAGCCATGTAGTCAAATTAGTCTCAATCAGCTATAACACTCATTTAGATCTTATTTAGACCTCTATATTCCTTGCCACAAAGATACTTGTTTTGCTTTCCAGATTGCTCCTTACTTGTTCTTTGGTTGTAGGTGGAGTCATCCCCCGGTATTCCATTAGCATCCCAAGCATGTGCCTTGATGGTATAGAGAGTTCCTGGGTCTAGGCTTGAAAATATCAAGGAGTCGTTGGTAGTGTTTTCCTTCAACATGCCACCCAAACCATCTGCTCTCATGATAGAAATGAAGAATCCAACAGCCATACATACAGCTCTCCAGCTCACCACTATGCTGTCATGACTTGGGGAATTTGCTGCCAGGATGGGTGCAGGAAGTACTGTGAAAGTGCAAAAATGAGACATTTAATAATATGATTTTATGCCTATGGACACAGGAAAGCTTAAATGAGTTCTGAGTTAGCAGTACTGAGATTATTTATCATTTGGTGTTTTGTATTCAAGCACAAAAACAATTGTCCATACTTCTGAAAGATGCATGCACATCTCTCTCTCAATCTCTCTCTTATTTATTTATTTACATTTTTTCTATCCCGCCCATATCAGCCCGAAGGTGACTCAGGGCTGCATCTATCTATCTATCTATCTATCTATCTATCTATCTATCTATCTATCTATCTATCTATCTATCTATCTAAAAATGCTCTGTTGATTTTGAGTGACATCATAACTCAAAGCCCTCTGGATGAATGCCACCAAATTTGGTCACAAGACACCTACTAACCTCAAAAAATGATTTTGTCATTTAGGAGTTGTAGTTAACCTACAATCAAAGAACATTCCGAACTCCACCAATGATGGAATTGAACCAAACGTGGCACACAGGACTCCCATGACCAACAGAAAACACTATAAGGGTTTGGTGGGCATTGACCTTGAGTTTTGGAGTTGTACTACATCCAGAGAGCACTGTGGACTCAAACAATGAAGGATCTAGATCAAACTTGGTATGAATACTCCATATGCCCAAATATGAACACAGATGGAGTTTGGGGGAAATAGACCTTGACATTTGGGAGTTGTCATTACTGAAATTTATAGTCACCAACAATCAAAGAGCATTCTGAACCCCACCAATGACGGACTTGAACTGAACTTCCCACACAGACCTCCCATGATTGACAGAAATTATTGTGTTTTCTAGTGGACTTTGGCGACCCTTTTTACAATCCCTCATGACCCCCCAGGGGTCCTGACCCCCAGGTTGAGAAATGCTGCCTTAAGGCCATCCAGTACAACTCCCTTCACTAGGGCAAGAAAACATAAGCAAAACCCTCCTGACAAAGAGTCATCCAGCCATAGATATAGATAGATAGATAGATAGATAGATAGATAGATAGATAGATAGATAGATAGATAGATATGATTCACACACACACATATAAATGTATATGACAGATATAGTATCATAGATTTGAAAGGGACCCCTAAAGAAGGACAATTATATATTGCATGTTCCAGAGTAGGCAACGTTGACAAAGAAACAAGAAATACTGTTTTTTCCCCAAGCATAAAAAATAAAGAAATTACATATATTAGGAACCAACTTATTCTCATTACTTTATTTTCCAGATTACCAGACTGGGCCACAGCAAAACGTGGCAGGGGATGGCTGGTGTATGTATATATAGATAGATGGATAGATAGATAGCTACACCCAAATGCCTATTGGAATCTCAGAAGATGATAAAAACAGGCTTCATCTCGATTATGTTCTCTAGTAACTGGTATTTAAAGGCATGCTGTCCGAGGCCCCTTCTACATTGCCATATAAAATCCAATTAACTGCTTTGAACTGGATTATATGGCAGTGTAGACTCATATAATCCTGTTCAAAGCAGATAATGCAGTTAATCTGAATTATATAGAAGTGTAGAAGGGGCCTGAGATGTGAAGTTGCAGTACAGCAGACCTATACAATTTACTTTTGGACTGCTACAGTGGCCATGGTGTTTTGGAACATTCAGGAATTTAAAGTTCGGAGGAGGGGAATCCTATGGGCAGAAGAGATCTAAAATGATAAACATCCCTGTTATCACTTTATTAAAAGAAATATCTTCCTCCATTTGAAGATTAAGAGTTGGATTTAAATTGTCCGAAGAAGGATGTTAAAAGATTTGCAACTGTAGCATCTGATGTAGCAAAATCAAAATTAAAAAAATACCTGTTTTGGCCTTTTTAGAAAGTGAAAGCTGGCTTCTTCCTCCAGCGTTTATAGATTGGATGGTGATTTTGTACAGCGTAGCAGCCTTCAGCCCTGTCACAGTGCCTGGTGAACCTGTGACTATTGTTTCAATGAAGGACTCTCCGTCCTGTGCTGTCAGCAGGTAACTGGATGCTCCTGGGACTGCTGCCCATTCTGCTGTGATACTGTTACTCAGCTTTGAATAGGCTTTTTCAATAGTAGGAATCTCTGGAGCTTTGGGGGAAAAAAGAAAAGGAATCACAATTATTTCAGAACTGAGAAGCATGTCAGCATTCAAGGGCATGACTTTGAGCTGCTGAATGTGGTGGATTGTTTGGAATAAATGAAACCAGGAAGTACTGTTTTGATGGCTCTCTGAATTACAACAAAGTCTTTGATGGTATAAATTACGAAAAACAACAACAATAATAAACAACTTGTATTGTCGAAGGCTTTCATGGCCAGAATCACTGGGTTGTTGTAGGTTTTTTGGGGCTATATGGCCATGGTCTAGAGGCATTCTCTCCTGACGTTTCGCCTGCATCTATGGCAAGCATCCTCAGAGGTAGTGAGGATGCTTGCCATAGATGCAGGAGAAATGTCAGGAGAGAATGCCTCTAGACCATGGCCATATAGCCCCAAAAAACCTACAACAACCCAATAAACAACTTTATTTATACCCCGCCACCATCTCCCCAGTGGGGACTCGGAGTGGCTTACACGGGGCCAAGCCCGGACAACATATTACAGTGGAATAAAACCAAAAACATAGACAACAAACAACAACATCAAAATTACATAGAAAGAAAAAAACCCAGTAAGCACAGTCACAATAATAATAATAATAATAATAATAATAATAATAATAATAATACTTTGTTTGTACCCCATTACCATCTCCCCAGTGGGCGGGCCACATGTACAGGATAAAACAATTAAAAGACTCTAATGAGATAAAAATAGGAGCAGATTGTTTGTAGGGAGCTCCACTGGCTGCCGATCCAGTTCCGAGCACAAAAGTGCTGGTTTTGACCTATAGAACCCTATATGGCTCTGGCCCAGCGTACCTGTCAGAACGTATCTCCTTCTACGTCCCGCCTAGGAATTTAAGATCTTCTGGAGGGGCCCTGCTCTCGGCCCCGCCCTTGTCACAAACGAGATTGGCGGGGACGAGGGACAGGACCTTCTCGGTGGTGGCCCCCCGCCTGTGGAATTCACTCCCTGGAGAAATTAGATCATCGTCATCCCTCCTCTCTTTCAGAAGGAAATTAAAAACATGGATATGGGACCAGGCCTTTGGATAATCTGGCAGACTGACAATGGACAATGACGACTAAAGCTTTGGAAACGGACTATGATAAGCGGAATGAATTTATTAATTACGGACTTGGCAAAATGATGACCACCAGGCTGGCTTTTTTTTTTGTACTTTTATTGTATCAATGTAATGTTTTAATTGTTATAATTTATTTTTACTATGTATTTTACTGTGTGAGTTGTAGGCATCAACATATGCCGGTTGGAAGCCGCCCTGAGTCCCCCTTCGGGGGTTGAGAAGGGTGGGGTAGAAATACCCGAAATAAATAAATAAATAAATAAATAAAAACAGAGTTGTGAAACTAGACTTCCCATTTGGAGGGCGTGTACTCCAGTGGCAGAAGCGTTGAGGGAAGCAATATCATGTTGTACACCTCCTCGCCAAAGACGCAGCGAAAGAACTATGGATTGCTCTTTGAAAGAAATTAGTCTGCCACAAGGTTTGATTGTTCCTGATTCCTAATCTGTACTCAGGACAAAAGACTACAGTCAGGACAAAATATGGAGAAATTAAATAGCTTTCACTTGGCAAGTGGATTAGAGATGGCTGCATTGATGATGCCCGGGGGGAATCTATGGATACTGTGGACTGCTAAAAAACAACAACAACCCTAAATCAAGTCCTAAAGCAAATCAAGAATGAATTCTTTCTAGAAGCTAATGTGACTATACAGAGACTGTGACACTTAAAATATCATGAGATAGTAAGACTCACCAGAAAACAGTAATGTTTGGTAAAGAAGAACTTACAAAGAAATGAGGAAGATGGAAAGATTCAGTCGAGAAACCACATCCCAGATTCTGAAGATTTCAGCAAGGCTGATGTGAACAGATTGAACTGGTGATCTCTCCAATTTTGTAAGTCAAAGCCGACTTAACGGAAGTTAGCAAGAACAACAACTGTGTGTGTGTTGTTTTGGTTTTTAGGTCTGTTCCTGGGGTTATGAGTTCAGAAAATTGAATTGGATAGACCACATCAGCTCTAGTTTCTTAGGCATGATAATCATGGCTTTCTATAGGCGAGCAAATAGCAACTGGTATATGGCATATGTTCTGTGTCTCAAAAACTAGAGCTGATGGGAAGAAACTGGTGCCATTTTTGGAATCAGCAGGTCATAAACAGGGTTAACATTTGAGGTACCAAAATGCATGTTAGTCGCCAATCCTTAGTTCCACAAGAAGCCAAATTTTTCAAAATCCAATTATCACAGGGATACAACATGGGGTGAAATCTTCTGGACAGGGGCACAGGCAGCAAAACAAAGGTGTCAGTTTAGACACCTTTTCCACGCATTCTTCGAGCTCTATTTGCCCAGGGCTGTGGCTCAGTTAATAATAATATATAATAAAACTTTATTTATATACTGCTCCATCTCCCCGAGGGGACTCAGAGCGGTTCCCAGGTAACATCACAAAACATACAAGATTAACAAAACAAAATATAAGCATATAAATTGTCGCCATAACACACATCTATTAAAAGTAATCCTGCCTGTTCAAGACAATTAAAAAATTTAAAAGGCCGGGCCAAGATTTGTGCAAGCCCAAAAATTTTAGGGGCCCGGGGAATTAAGTGCAATGCTATGGTAGGCAACAATAATATTAGGTACGGGCCTGTGGCTGTTCATTCCAGGGCCGATTAGAGGAAAGAATCTGGGTAATTTGGTAGGAAGAATAAGGCCGTATTTGACAATGTGTAGGGCTGAGTTAGAACTTGTTGAAAGGCTTGTTGAAACCACCAGGTCTTCAAGCTCTTACGAAAGGAGGGGAGGGATGGGGCCTGTTTTATTTCCCTTGGAAAGGTGTTCCAGAGACGAGGGGGCAACACTGAGAAGGCCCTCTCTCTCGTCCCCATCAACTGCGCTTGAGACGGTAGTGGGACCGAGAGGAGGGCCTCCCCGGAAGATCTTAGAGCTCGTGCCGGTTCATAGAAAGAGATGCAATCGCGGAGATACGTGGGGCCCGAACCGTTTAGGGCTTTAATAATAATAAAGCCCTAAATGGTTCGGGACCCGCCTATCTCCACGATCGCGTATTATTATTATTATTATTATTATTATTATTATTATTATTATTATTATCTATCAGTCTACACTACAGACTACACTACAGACTCGTCCAGTAATATTTCTAAGTATAGTTGGCGTTGTCTGTAGACACCTCCTAGGTCATGTGGCCGGCATGACTGCATGGAATGCTGTTACTGAGGCCCCTATCTTTTCAAAAGTCTGCCTCAATTGCATAAATGCATAAGAGCAGATGAAGTGAACATCAGTTTTAATTAAGAGAAAATGCTTCGGCTATGAGAAGTTTGAGAATAATGTGGTAAAGCTTTTTAAAAGAGACTCGTGGGAGGAGAACAATCTTACAGGAATAGATGCGGCCTGACAATAATACAATGATATTACTTGAAAAATATAATTCCACAAGGGCATTCAGAGTGTAAGCCTGTACTTTGAAACACGTTTTCAGAGATTTTGGCAGTATTAGAGGAGCTCTTCTTCCACGAGCAAGATGAGCTGTTTTTGAACAATATTTCCATTGTAGTGAGCCAAGACATTCTTTCATTCATTCTGAGTTAGTCAGCCTGCAATGCAGATATGTCTCCCTTTTCCACCATTAGTAATTCTGATTGGCCCTATTTAATAAAGGATTATAGCTAGGGATTATTCAGAAATAGGAGGCATAGTTACTGAGATCTCTCATTTTTCTTAAATTGAGGTCAGATTTGAAATTTCTTTCTCTATTTAGATTAAATACATAAAACATTGCCCAAGTAAAGACTTGGAATTCAATGAATGGGATATTTCAGTTCATTTTATTACAAAAATTATCTATGGACTTGGTTTACGTGTTGGTTCACATGTTCATTAAATGAGAAGACTCTTAGGGATATGCCTGGAGGCCCAAATTCAGTTCAGAGACAAATTTGGGAGTCATATATGGACCTAAATTGGAGTGATCTGGATCCCTAATTGAGAACTGAAAATCCAAATCCACACTCCATCATTGCCTTGACCCTAAAAAGGCCTGAGATTCCACAGACCCTGTTAACATGAATCTCAAGACATCCTTTTAGAGAGATTATATTTTTTCAGAAACAAGCAAATCAACTTATTGTGGAAACTGCTTCCTACTAACCTGTTAATTGCATAGTATGGGCTTCGGCCAGTAAAATCCCATTGATGTCAATGGCTTCCACCTTTACTGTGTAGACTGTGTCAGGAGACAGTGATGTTAGAGTGCCTACAATGGTAACATCAGTGAAATAAGCCATCAAAGAATGGCCCACTATGTTCACAGGTGATGCCATTACTCTATAAGAAAAAGCTCCTGGAAATTTGGACCATCGGATGTAGAGACTCGTTGATGTCACATCATATACAGATACAGTGAAACCTGGAAAAAAATAGAGAGCCAAGAAGATGGAAAGTACATCACTAACCATTGAATTAGCAGTTTACTCCACTCAGGGGATTGTTTTGGAAGGGATTTGGAATCTCTTAATGCCAATTTTTAAGGTAACACTGAAATTTGCTGGATTCTTTGATGAGGGTAATGATAATCATGTAGGTTTGTTATATGATCATGCCTGTAAATGCACGGATGTGCTCTTTACATATAGGTTTTCTTGCATTTTGCAGCTCACAGTGGATATAGCCATCTCCAGCACTGTGGATGGCATTTCTCTGAATAAGTTAGTCTATATAAATAAAAATGTAATGTTCACTTGTGGGATTAACGTAACTCAAAAACCACTGGACGATTTGACACCAAATTTGGACACAAGACATCTCTTGGGCCAACGAGTGACCATCACTCATTAAAACACTGAAAAACACAGAAGAAGAGACTTTAAAAGCAAAAAAACCCACCCCAAAAATACATTACAACACATGCGCAAAACCACATATATATACACACAAAACACATACACAGAAAGGGGGAGGAAGGAAGGAAGGAAGGAGAGAAGGAAGGAAATAAAGAAGTTTAGAGAAGGAAGGAATGAGAGAAGGAGGGAGAGCAAGAGGGAAAGAAGGAGGGAAAGAAGGAGGGAAGGAGAGAAGGAAGAAAGAAGGATAGAGAAGGAAGGAGAGAAGGAGGGAGAGCAAGAGGGAAAGAAGGATGGAAAGAAGGAGGGAAGGAGAGAAGGAAGGAAAGAAAGAGGGGTAGAGAAGGAAGGAAGGAAGGAAAGGTAGAGAAGGAAGGAAGGAGAGAAGGAGGGAGAGAAAAAGGGAAAGAAGGAGGGAAGGACAGAAGGAAAGAAAGAAGGACAGAGAAGGAAGGGAGAGAAGGAGGGAGAGAAAGAGGGAGAGAAGAAGGGAAAGGAGGGAAGGAGAGAAGGAAGGAAAGAAAGAATGGTAGAGAAGGAAGGAAGGAGAGAAGGAGGGAGAGAAAGAGGTAAAGAAGCAGGGAAGGAGAGAAAGAAAGAAAGGTAGAGAAGGAAGGAGAGAAGGAAATAAAAAAGTAAAGAGGGAAGGAAGGAGAGAAGAAACGAAAGAGGGAAGGAAGGAAGGAAAGAGAGAAAGAAAGAAAGAAAGAAAGAAAGAAAGAAAGAGGGAGGGAGGGAGGGAAGGTTGGCCACAGCAACGCATGGTGTGTACAGCTAGTTATATATAAAATGAAAACATGCTACCCTACATCTCATGAGTTTGTGGGAGAAGAGTGAGATGAAGATATTTTGTGGCATCCCTTCAATTTTAGCAGAATGTCATGCAGTGAAATTGTGAAGTTTACCATTGTATGCACATTGTGCCTAGAAATATTGCCATTTAAGTTAATGGGGTTTACTTCTGAGTATCTGTGTACAGGACCACACTATTGGTATGGTGTAATAGTGAATAAGTTGTGCACTAAGAAATATCCTGTTAAAATATCAGTTTTAGGCAAATATGAACTAGATTGTCTTAGGCCCCCTCTACACTGCTATATAATCTGGATTATCAAAGCAGAAAACCCACATTGCCTGCTTTGAACTGGATTATATGAGTTTACACTTCCATATAATCCAGTTCAAAGCAGATAATCTGGGTTTTATATGACAGTGTCAAAGGGGCCTGAAACAATCCAAGTCTTTCAACCTTAGCATCTTGCTCTGGAGCTAAGCTATATTATAACAATTGTAATAATACTCATTCTCCTTGAAGCATACCTTTAAGTCTCATGGTCAAAGTAGCCATTAAGGAGAATATGTATGCCATGTGCTAAACCAGTTTTGCTCACACACGCAGGGAAGGTTTACCAAGGATGTATTCCTCAGCAACTTGCAAATTATGGTTGTCTTTGCCCTCCAGTGACCAGTCACAAGACAAAGCATGCAAAATAATCAACCAAGGTCAATAATATCCCATGCCACCGAAATTTGATTTTATCCCTCCAGTACAATTCCGTGAATGTCTGTGCAGAGAAAAGCTTTATCCGTTGACAAGTGTGCATAGAATTGTGACAAAAATGTCATAAAGAGGAAAGCACAAACAGAAAAAATGCTTCATTAGCATTAAGTAGGTCTATAATACGCTTAAAGAATAAAGGTCAGATTATATTTTGTCACACCAATACTTTTGTCTATAACGGTGAATTTAAGAGTAGTTAAAAGGAGGAGAAATATATACAAAATTGAATATAAAATTAAAAATTTCAATGTATTTTTATTAATGATTTTTTTAAATCACTATACAATTAATTGCAGCAGAACACAATTTTAATATTTTTATGTTAATTCAAATAACTGTAAAACTGGATCCCAAAACTTTTTGAAATAGCCATATCCAAAGGAATGACTTGTTTTTCATTATTTGGTATTGGCATTACTTGTAAGCAACTGCTGTTGTTTTTGTTGTATGTATCAGATGCCATGAATCTAACCTGACTACTTTAAAAAAATTATAACAATGTATTTATGGATTAAAAGAGCAATAAAGGGGGAATTTTCAATTAAAGTTTAAAAAAAACACTGCAGAAGGAAATACCTTTCAGGTTTTACCTGTGTTAGCAGAAAAAACCTGTAAAAGAAGATATAAAATGTTAATAACACCATGAGAAATGGATCATATGGAGATATCTCATTTGTTTTTGTTTCTAACAATAGAATCTTAAGCCATTTGCTCAATTAGATTTAGTCCCTCATTTTGACTTTAGCCAGATCTCAGCTTTATAAACATCACAAGACAACTATTTCCTTAAACACAAGTGTGAATAACTACCACACCATATATCATTTGATTTTGGCTGGTTAAATGTGTAGAGATGTGTACAGCAGCTACAGAGCTATTAATGGATTTGGTGTAGGAATGCAGATCATATTACTTAATCAGCTCTCAACAAACTGTGGGCCCTTCCACACAGCCATATAACCCAGAATATCATGGCAGAAATCCCACAATGTCCGCTTTGAACTGGGGCCCTTTCCATACAAAATCCCACATTTTCCGTTTTAAACTGTGTTATAAAGCAGTGTGGACTCATATAACCCAGTTCAAAGCAGGTACTGTGGATTGTCTGCCTTGATAGTCTGGGGTATATGGCTGTGTGGAAGGGTCTTGGGTTATGTGAGTCCACACTGGCATATATTCCAGTTCAAAACAGATAATGTGGGATTTTATTCAGCTGTGTGGAAGGGACCTGAGTGTTTGGTATATGCTTAGATTTCAGAAAATGTATTAATCAGATGGAGAATCACAACTGAAGATATACTATGTTCAAATCCTGAAGCAAATGTACTTGAAATGACTTGGCCAGACATCTCTCATTCTTACGCTGCTAAGTAAGCAGTATTCTCAGAAATAAGAGATTTCGGGACTAGAAATTAAATTCCATTAGGTAACAATAATGTATTTATTTGACCAGTCATATGACCATTTCAAAATAGAACACGAGTACAGCAAAACCTATTGAGATTTTATCTAATTAATTTCCTCACTCCCCAATCTTCTGGAGACAAATTATTTTCAATACAAATAGTTATAAATAAAAAAATAGAACACGAGTAAAAACATTAGGTGAAAGGCTAAATATGTTTCTAACTAAAGCAAATCAATTGTAGATTAAACTACATGTATTCCGATATTACACTGAAGATACTACACAAGTAGAGCAAATAATGAATTAATAATAATATGAGGGGATTAATTTATTGCAGGATATCACATTCCACTAAACTGTATAATCTTTACTATTTAAGTAGACATTTCTCTTAAGCTATCCGAAAGGCTAAAAGAAAAACAACATTTAAAAATAAGTAGGATTCAAACAAATGCCAGGCAAAATTTAGCAATTTGCCAGGTAACAAATATAAATAAAGCATCAAATAAAGTACTACTTAGACTCACCATTTTAAAGCTGATGAGAAGTAGTCCAGAAAATACAAAATGTTTACATCTTCCACCAATCATTCTGCAAACTTGATTTTAGTCACCAATTTGGTTATGAAAATAGTAATATGATCAACATCAAGAGGTAGAAATTATGTTCCTCCCAAAAGTTATCAGTTAGGTCTTGAAGGCAGTGAGAGCATAGAAGCTCCTCCTCTGGACACAAACAGCCTGCAATGGCTGGAGACTCATTTTGGCATATTTCAGAATAAATTTCCATTTTATTTAATTAGGTGGAAAGGAGTGCAAATGCTACATTAATATGCTTTTCAATAGCACTGATTTTGTTTAACATATTTAATATTTTGTGAAACGAATAGGGAGAAATTCCCAACACTCTTTGTATCTGAATGTACACAAATCCCACTAAGTCACACATACGTATAAACACAGAGATCGATAACTGAACGTACTCTCCGGGCTTAATCCCATACATTTTTGTTAATTTTCAGTTTTTTTCCTTACCTCTAGGGAATGCTTATGACAGAAGTTGTACCCAAATGGCATAAAACATCCTCATATTTTCTTTAAGAGTCATTTCAAATGCAACAAGAAATGCTACTATGCAGCAATATCCCATTGCATAATGAAACCATTTTCCTATTAGTTACTTCAATTTTGAAAATGAATTTCATGATGTGATCCTGTTACTCCCAAAGTAACAAGACAGAGATGATGACAAAAAAACAAGACTCTGGTTGTCATTTGTTGTTTCCAGGCTCTGAAGAATAGTCTACTATTCTTCTGTTCGGTGGAATGTGAAATTGTAAAATCAGACGGGGATTATGTTCCCCTTTCATTAAAAGACAACAAAAACCTTTCGGCTTTTATTTTAACTGAACAGAAAAAGTTCTGTTCACAACTTGCAGGTAGAAATGCTTGTCCAAACAGCTAACATCAGAGTTATTTTTAAATCACAAGTTCAACCCATGGAGATTCTGAAAACAAATCCTAAACTGTTATAATAACTAATAATTATATCTTGCCTCCATCTCCCTGAAGAGACTCGGGGCAGCTTACATGGGGACCAAACCCAATATAAACAAGGTTGCAAAGTAACACAATTAAAACATATAACAATCAACTGTATTAAAACAATAACACGAATAAAATAAAATCAATAAAATCGAATACATCATAAAACATAACCAAGCAACAAACAACAAATAGCGGAGAAAAGTGAGCATGTGCACATTTGAGACTAATAGGGCAGGACAGGGCTTTTTGTTGTTGTTTATTCGTTCAGTCGTTTCCAACTCTTTGTGACCTCATGGACCAGCCCATGCCAGAGCTCCTTGTCGGCCGTCACCACCCCCAGCTCCTTCAAGGTCAATCCAGTCACTTCAAGGATACCATCCATCCATCTTGCCCTTGGTCGGCCCCTCTTCCTTTTTCCTTCCATTTTCCCAGCATCATACTCTTCTCTAAGCTTTCCTTTCTTCTCATGATGTGGCCAAAGTACTTCATCTTTGCCTCTACTATCCTTCCCTCCAATGAGCAGTTGGGCTTTATTTCTTGAAGTATGGACTGGTTGGATCTTCTGGCAGTCCAAGGCACTCTCAGTACTTTCCTCCAACAACACAGTTCAGAAGTGTCTATCTTCCTTTGCTCAGCCTTCCCTATGGTCCAGATCACATCTGTAGGTCACTGCGGGGAATACCATTGCTTTAACTATGTGGATCTTCGTTGCCAGTGTGATGTCTCTACTCTTTACTATTTTATCGAGATTGGACATTGCTCTCCTCCCAAGAAGTATGTATCTCCTGATTTCCTGGCTGCAGTCTGCGTCTGCTGTAATCTTTGCACCTAGAAATACAAAGTCTGTCACTGCCTCCATGTTGTCTCCCTCTATTTCCCCATTGTCAATCATTCTTGTTGCCATAATCTTGGTTTTTTTGATGTTTAACTACAACCCAGCTTTTGCGCTTTCTTCTTGATTAGAAGGCTCCTCAGCTCCTCCTTGCTTTCGGCCATCAAAGTGGTATCATCTGCATATCTAAGGTTGTTAATGTTTCTTCCAGCAATTTTCACCCCAGCCTTGCATTCGTCAAGCCCCGCACATCGCATGATGTGTTCTGCATACAAGTTGAATAGGTTGGGTGAAAGTATACAACCCTGCCATACGCCTTTCCTAGTGCAATGTAAACTGTAAGGCTGAGGGCTGGGAATAAAGTGCTGGAGATCCTACCAAAAAATGAGGGCTGGGCAGACATGATCAGTAGATGAACCATTATTTGAAGGCACATTGGAACATCCAAGTCTTCAAGTCTTTCCGAAAGGTTGACAAGGTGGGGGCTAATCTAATCAACCTGGGGAGAGAGTTCCAGAGCTGGGGGACTATCACCAAGAAGGCCCTCTCTCTTGTCCCCATCAACTGTGCTTGCGATGGAGGTGGGAGCCTCTGTGGTAGATCTTAGCGCTCGCGCCGGTTCATAGAGAGTAGAGAGAGAGATATGGTCACAAAGATAAGCAGGACCCGAACTGTTTAGGGCTTTATAGGTAATGACTAGACTTGTGCGTTTGATTCGGAAATACCCTTGATTTGGATTTAGTTTGGATGTTCAGCACTTTTGAAGCCCCCCCCCCCACCCGCCGACAATATTAAGAATTTGAATCAAAAGGAGCCTTTGATTCTTAAGTTTCAGATGTGTTCAGATGTAGCTGTAGCAGAACTAAAATTCACACAGCAACCAAGCCCTGCTGAGAGGTGAAGCCAAACCTGTTGGCATGCCTCTCCAACCAATCAGGGCTGATGGAGGGGGGGGGGGAGAGGCAGAGATCACTAAAAATGTTGTTTTTAAAATCTTTGAAAATTCCCAAAAAAATCAAAGAGTAGACAATATGTTCTACCACTGTAGCAAGTTTCACCCCAACAGCTTTAAACATGAGGGAGAGAGAAGCCCCTCAAGTTTCCCCACTGACAGTAATGTTTTCCTTAATGTGCATGAGTAACCGCCATTAACAAAGAACTTAAGAAGATTTGGAAATTTCGTAAAGTTTCAAAATCCCATGACTCTCATGTCCTATTTTCCATTTTTAAACCCCAGGAACCCCAGTATTGTCTTCTTTTTAATCTTTGTCATATTTCTCTTGCGTCAGAAATCTTACTGGCAACACTCCACTGAGCTTGTTTGCTAAGCTTGGGGAGGAAACAATGCTATCGAATTACATTATGGTGGACTGTTTTTAAGAAGCTTTCCACTTACAATTTTGAATAGAGTCACACTGTCAAACTCAGAGATATCTATCACAATGTTCTAATGAGTTAGGCGAGGGTCCTCTATTTTGCTTCTTGGAAACTCCATCCTTTGAAATAGCAACTTGAAATTGGGTGTTGCTAATTGCGTAACAACTACAGAGCATCCTGTCAAAATTTGACTTATTTCTTTTTCTGATGAGTTACGCCTGCTCTCTTTTTTGCTTCTAGCTATCCCCACCCTAAGTCTGGAAGTGTTTACTTAAAATTCAGCACTGAATCTTGGAGGATAGCCAACAATCCTTTTTCAAATGTTTAGTCGAACACTATGAGCTGATTTTTTGATCATGTCACAAACAACTTGAAAAATTGCAAGTTGCTTCTGGTGTGAGAGAATTGGCTGCCCAGGCGATGCCCGGATGTTTGATGTTTTACCATCCTTATGGGAGGCTTCTCTCAAGTCCTGCAAGGCTGACAGACAGGAGCTCACCCGGTCTCAGGTCAGCAGTCCAGCCTGCACAAGGGTTTAACCCATTGCACCACTGCAGCTCCACTATGAGCTGACGAAGATTTTTATTTATCGTGTCAGAGCAACCATACCATTGTATTACATTTCTAACAGAACAAAACAAACAAACAGAAAAAAACCACAAAGTTTGCAAGCCTGGTAGTTGATTAAATGTCCTTTGACCAGTATCTGGCCACTTGGAGTGCTTCTGGTGTTGCTGCAAGAAGGTCCTCTATTGTGCATGTGGCAGGGCTCAGGTTGCATTGCAGAAGGTGGTCAGTGGTTTGCTCTTCTCCGCACTCGCATATCGTGGATTCCACTTTGTAGCCCCATTTCTTAAGGTTGGCTCTGCATCTCGTGGTGCCAGAGCGCAGTCTGTTCAGCGCCTTCCAAGTCGCCCAGTCTTCTGTGTGCCCAGGGGGGAGTCTCCCATTTGGTACCAGCCATTGGTTGAGGTGCTGGGTTTGAGCCTGCCACTTTTGGACTCTCGCTTGCTGAGGTGTTTCAGCGAGTGTCTCTGTAGATCTTAGAAAACTATTTCTTGATTTAAGTCGTTGGCGTGCTGGCTGATACCCAAACAAGGGATGGGCTGGAGATGTCACTGCCTTGGTCCTTTCACTATTGGCTGCTACTTCCCGGCGGATGTCAGGTGGTGCAATCCTGGCTAAACAGTGTAATTTCTCCAGTGGTGTAGGGTGCAGACACCCCGTGATAATGTGGCATGTCTCATTAAGAGCCACATCCACTGTTTTAGCGTCGTGAGATGTGTTCCACACCAGGCATGCATACTCAGCAGCAGAGTAGCATAGCGCAAGGGCAAATGTCTTCACTTTGTCTGGTTATGATCCCCAGGGGATCCTCAGAGCTCGGGATGCTTGGCTGTTCTTAAGGTGAAAGGCACATGTCTGTGTTTTAGATGAAGTACACTCTATGTAACATGATTTTTGTCCCTGGGTTGTAAATGTCATTTCCTAATTAGTTCTATAATAAAAAAAACTTGGAAAAACTGGAAAACATTTACGAATAATTGCAATGATGTGAATTTGAGATAACGGACTGCTGGGCGTCCTCTTCCAGCCATGCCGGAGAATGAGCAAGACGCGTATGATTTGAATGCAATATTCCTGCTTCTTGGCAGGGGATTGGACTGGATGGCCCATGAGGTCCCTTCCAACTCTGATTCTTTGATTCTCCTGTAAATAGTTCTGTTTGTTATTTTCTGTAGCTGTTAGAAAGTAACTAAATAAATGTGCCACTTCAAGGCTTTGAAGTTGATGGAAGATTGTGTATTCTGTTTTCTTTGCATGCCTCATTGCA